CCGGCAGAGCAGTGGTGCCAGTGTGCCAGCTGGTGGTTGACAGGCCGGCAGAGCAGCGGTGCCAGGTGCTAGCAATTGACAGGCCGGCAGAACCGTGCTGGGGCTAGCAATCAACAGGCCGAACAGAGCAGCGGTGCATGGGCCGGGCAGCCCTGGTGGTGAGCTCGTCTGCATCGTCGCCGGTTGGGCCAAAGCGCCGGCCGAGTCGAGGTGCCAATGTGGAGACGATATGGTGACGGCCCGCCCGAGAGGTATCATTGACGGTGGCAGTGGTATCAGTAGCGCTGATGCCGGAAGCCCCAACGCTGAAGCAGCCGCCCCGATGGTGCCCAGCTACAGTGGGAAGCATCCCTTCTCTGGTAGCGGGAGCGGCCGCATGCCGCTGGCCCGACATCATCGAGGGAAATGACATGCCGCTGGCTCGAGGTCTTCGGGCTTAGGTACCTGCACTATGTGGGTGCGCGGTTACTCATCCCTGCGCCCTGCCAGAGCTTGAAGTCTCCCGCCCTCCGTCCCCCAGCATCGTTCCTCGACTGATCACAAGCTGCGTCTCAGCTCGCCTTCTTGTATCGCCTCGCTCATCCTGTATTAAGTACTACTGGATTGTGTGCTTGAAATACATGGATTTGTGCTTGTACTCCCGGATCCAATCCAGCGAGCTGCGGCAGCTCTACCACCTCATAGTGTGAACAGCCGCGCCTGCAGCGGTTCTAATCAGATATGATCTGTACGCCGAAGACGTAGGGATAGTGAGGTAGGGGCAGAATACGAGATAAGGGTAAATACGAAGGATAGGGGCTATCTGTCTACTTGTGGCTGACGCGACAAGATTAGGTGAATTTTGTGTTCCCACGCCCTTTCCCACGCCCGCGGCCAGACAGCTGGACAGCTCGCCAGACGCGGCATCCCCAAAATGCGAATTCCCCGTTAACCTGAGTGCACCAGCACCTTCTGGACCTCCCGCGGACTCTCGTGTCCCAGTTTCTCTTGACCTCTCAAGCTTGTACTCTGGAACCCCTGAAACACTGCTTTTCTCTGGCTTTTCTTGTTCCGCTTTGCCGAAAGTCTCTTCCGAGGCGTTTACACAATGGCGCACCCTCTCATCTGGCCAGGAAAAGTTTTCTATTACCCCATCGGCAACACGTCGCCTGTCTCGTTCACGCAGGATATCCCAGAAGATGTCAGCGCTCGAATCCTCCTCCTTGGATGCGGCGATCCAAGAAGTATCTTGTACACGTCATACATTCAAAGTCGGTCAGGTAAGCATCAAGTTAATATCAAACAGTGATCAGTCCACTGATCGTTGATCCCAGACAGACCCTTGGATTTTACGTGTTGTGATCATGAGCCTGCTGTGATAGGTTTATCTTCATCTTGATATCCATGCACGTTTTTGTCTAATATCAAGTATTAGCACGAAACATAATCCTGCTCACGATGCTTACCGAAGATGGTTTGGAAGATAAGCTGAAGAACATATGGAACATATTCTTCGACTTCTACATTGATGATCAGTCGTTTTCACTCCTTCAGGAGCACTGCGAAAAACTTCTAGCTGCCTCGACAACGATTGACGTCTGGAAGGCCTCTGCATATAGCCGTCCCATACGGTTCTGCACTGCTGATACGCTTCTCCAGGTACGCCAACATTGGCACCTATATGTTAAAAGTGCATCTTTTTCCGAGGGAGAGAAGAAAGCATTCAAAGATCGTTTCACTTCAAGCATGAAGAAAGCTTCGATGGTAGAGGAACAGTCGATGAATCTAAGCGTCACTCGCTCTGCCGGTCCTCTAGCGTTCGAGGCAGCTAAAACGCTAAGTTCTGACTTCGATCGCTTCTGGAAGACCGGGCTCACGGATCCTACCTCCCTTACCACCCCCAATGTTAACCCAACATTCGCGTATTCCATGGGACGGGATAACTTCTCCGTTCATTACGGAACGTATCCCCTCGCTTGCTTTCACTTGGCGGAACCGTTCTGTTCCAACGGTGGTGTTTCGCTTCTAGAGGCCACCATTTCGTCCGCTCGAAAACAGTTTCACGATTGGTGTATATCCATCTCAGGCGTTATGCGCTCTGAAGCGGAGCCAAGCGATCGGTGTCCCTTTGTAGTCAGGTTCTTCTGCGGCGACGCACTCGCTTTCTGTAAAGCTTTGCATCACTGCCAGGAAACTGGGTCGACTCGTACCCCTCACCTCATGGCCTCCTGGAGAACAACTCACATCCACCTCGACGACAGCTATCACTCATCTTCTGTAGCACTCGCACCGACTTCTTTCAACGTCGTTGACACGTCCAATCTCGTGGATCACCTGGGACTGATAAATGTACTCATCGTCGCTGAACCTCTGCTGGATAAAACCCCCTTCTCAGCGCTCTATACTGAGACGCTGCTGGCATCAGGCGCAGACCCTATCGCCGGTATTCTAGCGATCATCTTCGGAGACATACATGTTATGTCTGCTCTGATTGGCCTGGCTCCGACCACGCTTGTGTCACGCTTCGCTACGCAATCAAATACCCACGAGATTGTCTTACAGCAGGTAAAATCAAAATCCCCTCAGTTTCACGAGCGCTTGGTCTGGAGGCGTCCCGCACCAGCAAGTTCCTTTGCCAAGTCACCAGTTGGGCGACCCTCGTTTACCCCTGATAGTCTGTCGCGCATACTCACCAGTGTCTTCATGAAGATGTTCTCCAATGAAGACCCCGTGCTGATGCGCAGAGCAGTTTCAACATCTGTATCCGGTATGCGAGACAGCACTCTCATTCACTATGTCCGTCGTTCCTTCGTCGAGTTTCTCTCCCATGTTAGACGTCATGTCGACGCCGACTGGGATCGTACCATCGTGACTACATTCCACGCAATTCAGGATGACCGATCTCTCCTCTTGGGCTCGAACTTCTATCATGACTTCTGCGTTCACATGCACGAATCTGGCGTCTACACAGCCGATTGGCTCACCCCTTCTTTTGTTGCGTCTCAACAAAGAACGTCGACACTTCCTGCTCTGCGCCAGTGGAGAAGTGTACCCGCTGTCGTCTGGATAGTTTTCACTGTCCCTCGTTTCCGACTTCAGAAAGTCGAGCCTCTCCTTGACCAGGCTGCGACGCCAATTCTCCAGTGCGACCTCCAAGCTCCCCGTGCTCATAACATATTTCCATCACCGATAGTAACCTACGGTGAAGTTAAAGTAACGGGTAAAGGGGAGGACAAGCGTGTCGAAATCATTGAGGACAGCAAAGGTCGAGACGGATCTTCATCTCTCGTCGTTGCTTTGCAGGTACCATCGGCGGGCATAATGGCAGAGCCTGGGTTCTCGGTAGCTCTGGCCGTGCGGAGCACGCCTCAGTCAATCCAAACTCTGATGCAGCGCATGGGGCCGCGTATGCAGATTCACAAGGTTAGCTTGGAAGACAAGAGCGTCCATATCCTTGCGCACTCCCCTTTCCATCCTGAACGAGAGACAACGGCATTCCAAGAACTGCTGCGATCGATGTCCATTTCTGAAGCACCACGAGTCAACATTATGATGGATAGCGCTAGCGACAAGATTGACACGATGACCGTTCGGGTTGATGTAGTAGGAGCCAAAGCTAAAGAATCGCTTTCGAGTGGTGCCTCGGTGGACATGGAACCTTATGGCATTTGTGCAGTGAGAGTCTACTGTGGCGAGCACAGTCAGCTTCACGCTTTCCCTCTACCTGTCGACCATGACATTGCGAGACTTCGTGTCGCACGAAAGTCGTCTTACATCGAGGTAAGCGCATGCTTAGATATTCTTTACGACCGTATTCAGAGTTTATAGGTCGTTTCTCCGGTCGTCAACGCTGCATCGTCTCTGACCCGTAGATTCCCGGTCTATATCACGGATGAGGGATCCGCTCTCTGGAACGTACATCGGCTCAACTTGGACAAATCTCCGCTCCTCAATCCAGACCGCTTTCCCGCAAACAAGGCCTCGTTTAACTCGCATGTCTCCCTCATGATGTCCGACAAGGAACGTGCCATCCATGATGGCACTCGCATCTCAGATAGTGCAGCTCAGCACATCATAGTCAATCTCAAAGAGTCCATCCATTCAGTATTTCTTCACTCATTTGGGGAACAGGGGACGAAGGTACCGTGTGTCTTTGGACTTTCAGACCCTGATCCGGACGCTAGCCGTGGGGGAGTCTACACTCTTCTCTTCGTGCCCTCGATCCGCCTGGACCTTGTTGGAAATACCTTCGTCGCGGAATGCTGGGTCCTGCCGCTTACGGTCGATACCGTCGGTCGGTTGAATACCGCTCTAGCAAGCATCGGCCCGGGAATGGTACAAGTGAATACGCTAGGAAAAGAAGTAGAAGCTTGGAAGGAGCTCCTGCCCGCCCTCGTCGAGCGCTGCCGTACGTGGACGCACAGAGACACGTGCGAATATCGTGCTGAGGGCGCCAGCATCCCGTTGTCGATCAAGCACGAGGAGAGTCCTATATGCACCTGCGGGCGTGGCGTGGGCGCAGCGGACGTGGAGCTCTTCAGTGGAAAATGGAAGGCTTTTGTGCCATATGTTACGCGTGCGGCGCTGAGCCCGCTGTTCGCGGTGCCGTACATGGAGAGCGTTGGGAAGTTCCTTTCCGGTCCGAGCGCAACCTCAAGTGTGGGGCGGGCCGCTCCGCCACCGAATGGCGAATCTTGTGCGAAGTGCCACGGTCCAGGACAGCCAAGTCTGCTCCAATGTGGTCGATGCAAGGCGGTCAAGTACTGCTCAGCTCAATGTCAAAGGGAGGATTGGAAAACACATAAGCAGGTCTGCAAGTCTTGAAAGCTATCTCATGTCACCATCTGGGTTAGCATTTGAATACATATGTGTGGTGTCACCCGGCACTCCCGTGACACCACTAGACGCTTCTGCTGGTTGAACTGAAAAACTCGAGCAATATTGATTTGACAACATGATAACAGCTGGATGTGTGGTATAGCATACATGACGAATCCTACGATTCGACGCATATTCCGACTACCTCGCACAAAACACAAAATATGACCGCTAAATAGTAGTAAAAAACATGGACAGTCCAGCACATCCGGCGACAAATGAGTGACAATGGTAAATATAGGTCAGATGTATCATGCATACGCTCACCCGGCTTCTCTCAAGAAATAAGTCGTGGTTACCTGTCCAGTAGTCTCTTCTCGACGTGACTCCGCTCCAAGTCTGGGCTGTCTAGTGCACCTTCAGAATGTGAAAACCATGTCGGCGACTCGGGAAGCGACAGCCTCGACGCGTACTGGAGCTCCCTATTAGGTGATGGAGGAGTGCACACCAGTGACGGTCCCGAAGAATGTGCCGGGGACGGAGACGGTGCCAGCGACGGCTGGAAAGAAATCGCAAAAGACGCTGGTGACGTAGGCACGTCGAGGTGGATACGTGAGCGCGAGTGACCGCTTCGCGAGAATGCAAGTTGGACATGTCGCTGCGTTGGAGACCGTGAACGCCCTGTACCGAAATCCGCATCTCCTGGGCTCAGAGTGGACGGGTGCGAGCGCGGCCGTTCCTGGTTGTTGCTTGCAGCCCGTCCAGGTGGGCGAATCGACGCGCGGGACAGGGTGCTAGGCGGCGTTGTACTCTGAAGAATACTGAACGAGACACGAGAGCGGCTGGGGCTGATTGTCAGGTCCAGGTCTGACTTGAGATCAGCTGCCCGGACTCGCGTCTGCATCGGGTATGGTGGGTGGTCTCTGCTGATGACCGTGTCCTTGCGGAATTCAAGTGCGTTGCTACTTCTTTCCGGGTCTGAGTCGGTGCCATCAGAAGAGCGCTGTCTGGAAAATTCGACACGAATAAGAACCATGTAGAATGTGATTGAGATGATGGGGCTGATCTGATGACGTATCACTTCATCAAAATTTGGAAGCACAAGAGAGGAAGTGTGAGACGGACCATGTCAAGCAGTATATAGTATGCCCAGTTTTGCGTCAAGAAGCAAATGAGTGTCGCGCAAAGCGTCGCCGAGTAAAGCAGACCCGAATCGACAATGATACGCGGCAGCGGATCCAAGATGGATTGTCTGGCCTCTGTCGTGCTGTATCGCGCCGATGCCCGTGCAACGATCCAGATGCGGTATGCAAGCAGGCCTGTCAATCCCAGTAAGTTTCATGTAGACACGCTAGATAAAGACGGATAATAATGGCTCACCGGTGCTGAGCGCATTCGCGATCAGTGCTTCGAAGATGAATGCTAAAATCCACGAGACTGCATCAGAGGCGAAGATATTGTTCGGATCCTGAGTTTCGTGAGCCATCTCGTACACACTCCCAAAGCCTGAAACTATTGGCGCACATGAATCACTGTTGCTCGACATATCCCGTTATATCAGCTCACCTCCAATGGACAACCATAAATATACGGGCATAGCTATCACCCAAACAGACTGCCAAACAGTGTAACAGCGGTACATCTGAGACGCCATGTAGCATTCGCGTGAGGAGTTTTCAAAAAACAAGTTCGGATAAACGTACCAGGATCATGTCCGCTAGCATGGTCTCGAGCACGTACAGCGCGGTTTTTCCAACGAATCCCCACTGCCTGATGTTGGCAAAGAACAAAGCCTGCTGGGGCTGAGTCTCATTGCCATTCTTGACCAGACCGTCGATCAGACGACCAACGCCGATCGCTAAATGCTGAGACAGGAAACGCCAATGCGTCTTGTGAGATAAAGTCAATATGCCAGCGAAGGTCGCGTACGTACCGCAGTGCTCAGTATGAGCAGCGAAGTTGCGACAGTCACGCAACGCGGGTTGATTTCTCGGAGCCGTTTGCCATGTACAAGCACCCGTATGGTTATTCCGTACATGAAGACCGAGAACCCTAGATACCAAAACATGGGCTGTCAGATTCTCCAAGCAATGGTCAGACGCGGTTTGGGAGGTGCGTACCATACAGAATCCCCTCCAACACCGTGGAGATGATTGAGGCTGTATCAGGCGACGGGCCATGCGGATGCATAGCGCCCATTGCAAGCGGGGTGAACTAACCAGCCTTATATGGCGGATGAACCGGGGGAGGATGTATCAGTGACGGATTTGAGTGCCCAGAGCAGAACCTCCTCTGGCGAGCGAGTGGGATAAGGGTGGGCTAGCGAAAGGAAAGACAGGCCAGCCTTGCGGTACAGGGGGTTCGGGGAAAGAGGGAAAGAAAACCTGTCGCGGCGCGCTAGGGCGCGCCTATATACACCCTCGTGGACATGCCGTTCTATACGACCGTATAACGGCATGTTTCAAAAATAAATATCGCGGAGGCACGAAGATACTGTAAGTGCATCCGTGAAGGGAAATAAGGCAGGGGGGTCGTGACATACATGCCGTTGCGTGCACCAGAAGGTTGGTCGAACGGGGCGAGGGAAGGCGGCGAGAGAGAAGAGAAAGGGCGTGTTGATAGGCGCGACCGAAATTGCCGGCCCCTCTCACGGACGCGGACCCACGACGGGCCTAAGTTTATCGATCTGTTGCGAGGGCTTACTTTCGTCCCTGACTGCTCTTGGCTAGAGTCCTTTCAATCCAGCTCAAAAGAGGTTCTCAACGGATGTCAAAGGCCCACCTATGACGCAGTACTAATATGTCGTTGAACCGATGTTTGAGCGAATACGAAGTTGTGTGTTGGCTCCGGATCGTAAATCCGAACAAAGTTAAGCTTCGTCGGTCCCCCTGGCGCATCAATCAGGCACGATGCTCTAGAAGCCGAGAAGGTGAGCGGCACTTGGGAGACCATGCCCGAAGGGTTTGACTTGAACCACGCTTAGCGACACAAAGCGCTGAGCATCTAACCACATGCCTCATCCCCATGGTACGGAAAGAGCCGAAAAGACAGGGCTCGTGACAAAATCGCGTTTGCAGCCTCCAGCAGGCGGGAAACCTTTACGTGACACATGTCAAACTTTAATCGCAGGCTGGAACTTGGAAATCGGGATCTGTTCAAGATAAGCAGGTGTACCATGTAGACGCAACGCTAGCGGGTTTCTTCCTGCACGGTCATCGCCAGTGGAAGAACCGTTGATGCCTTGGTATGTGTACGGTTGTGCGAAATGAGGCCCGCCGCCACCGGGAAACATACAAAGATTTAGAGAAGATGCTCATCCGGCCAAGATTCGAGCACAACGCCGGACACCGTGGAAACAGCCCACATCCTCGACGTCGCAACTGGCGACTGGTGACGCATGTCGCGGATCCGCGGCGATCATATCCCATGGATGGAGGAGCGCCCAGCCTCGCGCGCGTCCGAGAGGCTTTCTGGCTTATCGCAACAAATTCTGAGATTTACAGCATAGGCGAATATACTCCGTTGGGTATGTCTGAGGAAGTGAAATGCGATTCGGAACGTTACGACTGCAAGAGATCTCACGCAAAATATGACTTGCATGCGCCAAAGACCTCGGGCTGCCGCGTTTGTATGTTGTAGATCTCACCGCGGCAACCGTGCTATCTGTCGGAGAACTGTGTGGATGTAAGAGTACCTGCTGGGTCGGTCGCTTGAATGAAGCCAGAAGTACAGAAGACACGCCGAGACAAAAGACTGCACAAAGGCGGAGAGACTGTTGTGGGATAAATGTCTTCAGACTGCTCCCTGGCACCAACTTTTCACCGCTAACAAATCCCCATAATCGGTAGCAGCTTGGTTGTCATCTTCCCATGGATGGCCTGCACCTCGCGAGCATATACACCTCCGCAAACGGAACGTCGGTCCGAGTCACCTGAAACACAAACATCCTCCAATCGTTGAGACTGCCGCGCAGTCTCCAGGTACCGCAATAATAGCACGACCAGCCCAGAGTCATCGCCCTTCTCGAACTTGATGAACGGCACTTTGGCGAAGCGCTCCTTCAACGAGGCCTACAGAGGACAGCATGTTAGTCAAAAGGGAGGCAGGCGCACACAAACTAAGCCAGAAAATAGAACCGAAGCTTTGAGATGCTCATCTTCACCTCCGTAAAGTTCTCATCCCCGCCAAATCCAGTGAATTTCAACGTCGCGCCCTTGACGAACGGCACCTCCTCCTTCACAACACCCGCCCCATCCTCCTCGTGTACCCGGATCTTCGAGCCAAGGAACTCGAAGTATATCTCGGGCTTGGGCCTGTCCTTCCCGCCTGCGGGCTTGTCACCATTCTTCTCCTGCTCCATCTCGCGGAACGCGCTGAAGCCCTTGCGCGACGAGACACTGTCCTTGCACATCTGCGCCGCCTTGCCAGTCAGACCCTTTTCTTTGATCTTCATGTCGCAGTATGCTTCCCTGTAGACATGGTTATAATTGTGAATTAGGAGAGGAAGACAGCGCACTTGGACATCGTGAGCAGCTCGCCACCCTCCCACGTCAGCTTCGGGTCCGCGTTCAGGAACGCCTCAGCGCCTTTGATGTCGGTGTACTCGGCGAATTTGAATCCCTTGAACTCCTTGTTTCCGTCCATGCGGTGCATGCGAACCGCGTTCGTCTGGCCATACTGGTTGAAGGACTCCTCGAGCTTCTTCTGCAAGCCAGAGTCCTCCGAACCGAAGCCTTTCTGTCAAACGACCCATTGAGCTCTTTCGTTTGGGACGGCACTCAGATGAAGGACTGGGCGCAGCACCGGGCCCAACCTGGACGTTACAGCGGAAGACGGATGACATGCTGAGAAGAAGTGCAGACTTTTATTCACCGCATATACGCACCGTTCAAACTGCCCCTTTGGTGGTTGGAGCTCCGTCAACCGACGCACCCCCTCCCCGGATTCGTCAAGCTCAAGCTCTTCGCTGGCACGCAGCGCGTCGACGAGCCATTCCGGCCCGTACGAGACGAAGTCCCGCATGCGCTTGAACGATGCGTTCGTTTTGATGGGGACCCAGTGTTCCTTGTCGGCCGTATGAAGCGTCCGCATGCACCTTTGAAGTAATGGAATACAGTTTCATGACGTTAGGCGTGAATGGACACCAGAACTAGGGATGTACTGACTTGTCAAATGGAAGGTTGGAGTCCCCGAAGTAAAACTCGGCTGAACAGCAAATGCAGACATAGATAATGAGCACCCATCGTAGATGTGCAGTAATCACTGACAGTAACGACATACCTTGTTTTCGTGCAGCAGCAATCTTCGTAAAGTCATCCTTTCCGCCTTCCATCTCAACGTCTGCCTCTGGTATTGGTGCCGCGGTTGGTTCTGTAGGTTTGATGTCTGTCGACATTTTCAAGTAGTTTTGAGTGACCTCAGGAGGAAATTTGGAGGCGGGTGGATGGCAGTCGCAAAGTACAACCAGAGGTAAGGATGGATGGCGAGAACTCAGAGGCAAAGAAGCAAAGACGGTCAACGGAGATTTTGATGGGTTACAGTTCGGGTCGGGGGCATAAAGCCCCTGTTCTGGCTGGCCTTGGCGCATTGACCGTCACTCCCTTGCCAGGGCACCTTGCAGGCGGAACCACTTCCTCATCAGATTCGCATAAATCTTTGCGTTTAATTCTCAACAGTGCTGGATCAAGCTGGTTTGCGAGAGTCAGGAGGTATGAATACCCAATGAAAGCCCAGCGCTCATTCGTAAGCGCCTATCACCGGCGCTGCGCGTAAAATCCCGGCACACGCACACACACAGCACACACGTTGTCCTCCTCGCTTCCCTTCCTCTCCTCGGCCTCTTCCTCGAGTCATCTTCGTATTTCCAGCTTTTACCAGTCACCCGAAGCATGACTTCCGTGTCCGAAGAACAACAGGACGGTGGGTCCGAAGTACAAAGTATCGATGCTCAAACTACGGCAAAAACAGACGATCAGCCTTTCAAGCCTTTTACAGGACACGAAAGCGGTATTAATACCATCTCATACTCACCTGACGGCAAGTCCATTGCAACAGGCTCAGGAGACAACACGATCCGCGTCTGGGACGCCAATTCGGGCAGACAAGTAGGGAATACGATGCGCGGACACACTAACGACGTCTACAACATTTCTTACTCTCCCTCCGGAAACTCCCTTGTATCTTGCAGCCACGATGGCACTGTGCGTTTCTGGGACATCACAGGTGCCGGAGGCGCGTATGCAAAGACCCTTGGGCTAAAAGAAAGTCTAGTACGGGTTGCCAAGTATTCTCTGGACGGGCGGTACATTGCTACTGGAGGCATGGACGAGACGCTCAAGATCTGGGACACACGCGAGGAAAGGCTGAAGGCCGAATACCACGGCCATACCATGTGGGTTTTCTCTGCAGCGTGGCATCCAAGTGGGAAGCGACTTGCAACGAGCTCCATGGACAAAAAGGTTCGCGTCTTCGACTTGACGAAGCCTAACGTGGTGTCTTTGCTCATTGAGGGACATCGAGACAATGTCAATTCATTGATGTACTCGCCAGATGGAAACTTTCTGGCGAGTGGGGCGAACGACTGCACCGTGCGGCTATGGGATGTACCGACGGGGAAGGCCGTGAAGAGTCCATTTCGAGGCCATAAGCGCGACGTTAGGTCCGTGGCATGGTCTCCTGACAGCACGCGCATCGTCAGTGGCGCTGGCGACTATACAGTTCGCGTCTGGGATGCCAGTACTGGTCAAACTCTCTTCAACGGAGCTTTGTATGCACATAAAATCGACATACGGAGCATTTCGTACTGTTCCGATGGAAGGTTCTTTGCGTCAGCGGATGGAAGCGGCCGAGTTCAAGTATGGGACGCGCTTACAGGCAAACCATCACTTCCTTTGGTAAGTACTATCAACCTGCAAGCTCTGCACACATCGGAGTAAACATACTCCGCCAGCTTTCCGACGAGGAACTTTCGTCTTGCAAAGAATCGGCAAGACATAACAACGGAGATGATACGAGAGACAGTAAACCCGGAGAGATGCGAGCTGGAGCATCCATTTCAGCGATCGCGTGGTTTTCAGACGGCAAACGCTTCGCAACTGCTGGAGAGGAACCTGTTGTACGCATCTGGAGTGCCAATACTGGCATGCAGATTGGCGAGATTACCGGCCACCATGAAACTATCAACGCATTATCCATCTCCGCCGACGGCACAAAGCTCGCGACGGCATCCGATGATCACACTGTCCTCCTTTTCGATACACGATCTATGCACTTATTGGTGGATCCTCTCACTGGCCACAAGGGAGCAGTCTACGTTGTCAAGCTGACGCCTGACGGCACTCGAGTAGTCAGTGGAGGCCACGACAACACGGTGCGTCTGTGGGACGCACGCACCGGCAGAGCTCTCCACGTCTTTGAGACTCACACAGGCGCTGTGCGTGCGCTCTCTGTGACAAAAGATGGGAGCAAGTTGGCAAGCGGGGGAGACGACAACTGTGTCTACGTCTGGGATATGCGAACTTTTGAGCGCCTCGCGGGACCGTTCCAACACGATGGTTCTGTCCGTTCCGTGAGCTTTGCTCCTGACGGTTCGCGGCTCATTAGCGGCTCAGACGACTTCACCGCCCGTGTTTGGAAGATTGCGACTGGCAGCCTCGCATTTGATCCTATCCGCGTTCATGCAGGCCCAATTGGGGTGGTCGATTGGTCGCCAGACGGTACAACGCTATTGACCGCAGGCGCTCACGACTGGACGATATGGACATGGGATGCGTCCACCTGTGAACGTATTCTAGGCCCTTTAGAGCCGTTACACTTGGGTGATGTCAAGATATTTACCTCTTTAGACGGCCGTGCCAACGGTATCGCAGCCGCTTCCTTTTCTCCAGATGGAAAGCGCTTCGTCAATGGCTTCATGGACCACGGGATTCATATGTGGGATACAGCCACGGGCAAGGTTATTCTTCCAAAAGCTGAAAAGGACAAGAATAATGAGGTAGTGTGGTTTCTAAATCTCTGCGTCCGGTTCTGATCACTTTGCACTCTCACCCAGTCAGACTCAGGGAAGACGGAGGCGAGTAAACGTGACGGCGTGCAACGACAGCCTGTAAACTTTGAGTGTCCTATAATATCGCAAATTCATAGCTAACCGCTATCATACAGAGCTTAAGCGACAGTATAATGAATGTAAGCCCTCGAACCCCTAGCGATTTTCCCATCAAGGAAGTTTTGACCCTATGCTTTAGATGCCCGCAACAGTGAGTAGGAGGAATCCAGCCTCAGCGTCCAGAAGCTTTTGGGACGACACGGACGTAAGTCATTTGATACACGCTCTTGAGTCTTGCTTCTTAACATACAGATGTCTTATTTATAGATTGGTGCCCCTTCAAGAAGACATGGTAAATCAGAGAATGGTAGAAAGAACACGAGGAACAGCGATAAGTTGCAGAACAAGGGCAACATTCTCGGGCGATTTTGGCGGCAACGAGCAGACCAACCTGTCTCGAAAATCAAGGGAAAGAACAAAGAACAGATAACTGAAACCAACAGCCCCGGATACCACGCGGAGACTCGTATACTCGGGCCGCCTGCTACAGAAATATCCGCAGCACACGACAAGCTGGTACGTCATCGACTCTGCTAGCCGTTTGTTTCGTTGTTGAATCCCACATACTGGTATTCAGCGTGTGGTGGCGGCAGGATATGACCCGCGTGAGAGATTCCGCACATGCGCCGAGCCAGAATATGACGACGAGAGAGACTCGCCGACAGGCTCGATGAGCCCTGTTCAGCCGGAAGACGGCTCAAGTAGTGACGATGAGAGCGAGCATGGACTGGTCAAGACCGTATGTTTTTGTCTGTGCCTGCCGTGGTGTAAATGATTCCATCTTACGTGATATATCACTCACATCATATGGAAAAGACCCTACATGTCAACAATTAGCTATTATCAGCAATGGCCTTGTACAGAATCAATGAGTTTTATGTCTGTCTACGTGATCTTCGTCTTCCACAAAATGAGTTTTACGTCTATCTACGTGATCTTCGTCTTCCACAGGTCTCTTGCCTAAGCCAACGCGTAATCCACCACCAGGTAGAACTATCGAAGACGGTTTGAGTAAGGCAGTCAAGACTTATGATGCGAACCAGACTGAAGGACGGACTCTGCCTTGCTGTGCTTTACCATGTTTCTCACATATTCTGACATAGCAATACAATAGTGGTGTAGTGGTGGGAGTATTGCATCGAGAGTTGACGAAGTGTTGACATGGCTGATTGCGAAAAGAATCAGTTGGAGCTGAGCGCCTAAGAAGATCGGGCCTTTGCAATCAAAATCAACCTTTTGCCACCATGAAAGTGTGCCAGTGTTGTCGCGTAGGGTTGGGTCACGCAAAGGGCTCTAAACTCATCTTTAAGCGAGGAGAGGCGTCGGAGCCGTTGCGGTACCGAAAAACACTCTTATATTAACACATTACGACATGCGGTTGATCCCTGGGCTGCTCCGTACGACGATCGCCATTCACGAGGCTGAACGATCCAACGGCAAAACAATAGGCATGACGCGTGAGCGATAGAAACAATGGAACGAATGGATACGATGTGACTGTGGAAGACGAGAATGAGAGAATCAATTAATCATGGCCTTGCAGCTGTCGTTAAAAGCTAAGATAGGGTCGATAGCTCTCATACGGTAATATGAACAGAGAGGGAGATCGAGAAATGCATGTATGGTGGCAGAAAAGTATGGAATATAAAGGCGGGTAACGTATTACAAAGGAGAGAATATTAACTATTAATCGTATCTACAAGCAGATGGTCGGCTTTTGTTTGCCGTTGCTTGGTTGCAGACTCCTATGCTCTTCACAGCACTCTCGCTCGCTGCTCCGAAAGACTGAATGCAGGACCAGAGAAATGCCCCAAATCACACTTCCGCACCCGTTTACGAACCGCTGTTGAATGTGGGCCGCGTCAGCTCATGCCCACAAGACGACGGGATCGACCGGTTTGTTGAAGCAGAATTGTTCGAATGCGAATTGTATTGAATTGTACAGTACATTGACCAATCGGAACGTGCGTTGGTGTTTGGTGTCCCCTTTGTCGATGCATTTTCAGGATCCAGAGCCCTACATCTCCTAAAGTCCAAATGCATTCAGACGATTTCCTGATGCAGTGTTAAGCCCCTGGGCCCTTTCATCTATAAGAGTGGGCCAATCGTCGCCCGAATCTTCCAGTCCCTCATCATCTCCCTTCACCTTGCCTCCTCCTTCCTCGCCCCTCGTCATCATGCGAGTTGTAGTACCCTATGCACGAGGGCATTGTCGTTGTAAGTACGAGAATTATCGCCAGGTTAGGGCAAGCGAGTCCACCAAGGCGACCGCAAAGCTCACGCTATTTCTCTGGCCTGACTAGCGCGTCATGATAAGTTCGTCATGAGTATATAGCCTGGCGCGCCGATGGAACTAGAATATTCAGTCAACCGATGGTATTCGCACTTGGGTGCGTCTGCTTAACGTCGTCTACGAACAGCGTGTCGGCTCCTGTCCGATGTTTTTGATCTGGCGGCGTCAGAGTACGTTCGCGGCGCTATTGGGATTGTGCTTCCACTTTCCTTGCGACATTGCTATCATCCTGTTAATGTACTGTGGTACCAAAATGATATTATAATTGTATTTCCCTCCATTGCCGTCTAAATGCCGAAGATTAACGGAGGCGTGTCTTGTGGAACTGTAAGGAGCATACGCCGCAAAGGGGACGTGGCGAATTCAACGCGATATCTTCCATTCAAACCATGCAAGCCAAATACAACCAAGTAGTCTGCGTCGTAAGGTTGAAGATACGATTAATAATAGCACGGGACCACGACCGAGTCAACGATCTGTAATTCCAGAAAGAAAAAATAGTGGATGACGTATTCGAATTGTCCCCAGATCAACCACAGGTCGACCCCACCTCATAGTATCGCCTTCGGACCAATCTAACCTCATATCATACAGCCGTCAGATCTGGACGTGGTGCTTGGACACGTTCTCTGGCACGATTAATAACGTACCAGTGAAGAGCCAGATTCAAGTGGCCTATCGCCTATAGCATAGACCGTTTGCCTTGAACCTGATAGCACGAGCTTCGCTAGGTGTAAAAGTAACAAGGCCGTTCGATGCTTTGGGTTGACAGTAAAACTCTACAACAAAGCAATCTACCGCAAATAAAAAATAAGCTATAAGCGTTACTCACATACGAGTCGCTCTAAATGTATATAGATACCCCCACCTCCCAGCAGACCAGGGCCAGGACGACTAAAGCTTCGCCCTGACGACCCTACCCTCAACCACCTCCGTCTTCGCGCGCTCGCGCAGCTCCCTCCGCAGGATCTTGCCCGCCGCGCTCTTGGGTATCACGTCCACAAAAACAACACCGCCACGCAGCTTCTTGTGCTGCGCCACGCGCCCTGCGACGAACTCCTGCACCGCCGCGGGCGTGAGGGAATCGTCGGGGGCGGCTTTCACGACGTATGCTCTGGGAGGTGCGGAATGATTGGTGAGTACACGCGGGAGTAATGCCATTGGGAACGAGTCAGGGTTGAGGATGGCCCAGAGACGTAGCAATGGAAACCGGGAAGGAAACGTACCTGGGTAACTCTGTTGCCTCTTCCTTGCTCTCTACGCCGATCACTGCCGCATCAGCGATCTGCGGGTGTTGCAAGAGCACGCTCTCCAGTTCTGCCGGCGGCACTTGGAAGCCCTGCAAATTGAAAATCAGCCAACCCTGCTGCTGCGATCTGCGTCACTATGGATGGAGAAACCAGGAGAGCCCCCGAAGTCCCCAGCGGGGGCACAAGCGACTTTACACATCTCCCAGAAATCGTGGAATAAAGAAGGGTAGGTAGGATAGGGAGACGTACCTTGTACTTGATCAGCTCCTTCCGCCTGTCCACAATCGTATAATACCCATCCTTATCGCGCACGGCAACATCACCCGTCTTGAACCACCCGTCGGGCGTGATCGAGTTTTCCGTCGCGGAAGCGTTGTTCAGGTACCCCTTCATCACTGTGGGCCCGCGTATCCAGAGTTCGCCCGCCCCTGGGATGTCGGTTGTTTTCTGTGTGCGTGCACCGTTAACAGGGTGAGCAGCGGTGGTTGTGGAAAGTTACACACCTCGCCGTTCTCCTCGCTGACGAGGCGTGCCTCGAGGTTGGGTAAGAGAAAACCGGTGGTGCCGACGTGCTCGAGAGCGTACTCTTTGGGGAGGAGGAGCGTGGTGGGTGAGGTCTCTGTTAGGCCGTATCCTGTACCGTTGCAATCGTGAGCGGAGGGTCAGCGGCGCAAGAGAAGAGGGAACAGGACTGACCCTGCGTGATGACAACGGTGTTTCCGTGCTCGAGGAACCGCTTGCGGACGGCAGAGACGAGGTCCGCCCCGAGTGGAGCTGCACCCGAGAACATGGTCTCGAGCGATGACATGTCGTACTTCTCCACCGCTATCTCACAGGAAACCTAGTCAGCGCCAGCGACTCAACGCTACGTGATGAAGTAAAGAACGCACCAGGATGCTTTGCAAACACGACCAGAATCGGAGGGACGATGAGCGCAATCGTCGGCCTATACTTCTGCACGGCCCAACAGAATCTCTCCGGGTCGAACTTGGCCAAGATCACGCTTGGGACACCCCTTGAAAGCGGATACTGCAACAGCTTGATCGCACCGTAGATATGATAAAACGGTAGCACACCGAACAGCGCGTCCTGGTACGCCTTCACCACCTCTCCCTTGGCGCCTCGTTCCGGACCGATCTTCAGTGGAGGGAACGCGGGCCGCAAAATCTCGAGAAGGGATGTAATGTTGAAGTGCGTCGTCTCGACACCCTTTGGCTTGCCGGTTGTGCCGGAGGAGTAGCAGAGGTACACTGTGCTGTCCGCCAACGCACCAGGGAACGCGACCTCCTGCACGAGCTCGCCCCGTCCAATCAGCTCGCTGAGCCGCGTGAGCCCCTTCAGAGCCGCCGGCTTGCCCGGCTCGAGCTCCGGTGCGCCCGTGAGCCACGTCGTATCAGCTACGACGATCCTCCTGTTGATCTCCGCCCCGTCGATACCCAGTGATTTCAGCATCTTGCGCACGACAGGCACAAGGGGCGGGTACGCCAGGATCAAATGCGCCTGCGAGTCCGTATATTGGTGCGCGAGCTCGGTTGACGTGTACGCGCTGTTCGCAAGTGTCGCGCGGTACCCTGCTGCAACTGCGCCGAGGAGCATCACGGGCCACGCGAGGCTGTTGGGCGAGAAGATGAGCACCGTCGGCGGGGTGGGCACCGGGCGGCCATGGAGCGGCGCGAGCGCAGCCGGCGGGTTGAGCAGGGAGTGTGCGAGCTGCAGACACAGAGTACGGAGCTGCACGCGCGAGAGGGACGCGCCGGAGACAGCGTCGATGAAGGCGGGGTAGTGCGCGGGGAAGCCGCCGATGATGCCTGGGACAGCGGAGGCGCCGAGCATATGGGTGAAGATGGAGCGGCGGGGAAGGTGCACTGATTTGTACGGGGAGGTGTAGATCACCTCTGACGGTGTGAGTGCATTGGTGGGCATTGTTGAGCGTCGGAGAGGATGGTGAAGGTGGGCTCGGGGATGTGATGGGGTGTCGACGAGGTGCTGTCGGTTTTTGAAGGAGATGCGGGGGTACTATGTAGTCTGCAGCCGGGTGAGCCGGGATGAGGAGGTCACCGGAACATGTGCTTTGATGGCCCAATGACAGTTTCCGCATTCAAAACCCCCTTTTCATCCACGACCATCCTCCGGCGTCCGTTGCTACATCCAATCGCAAAGGCTCGACAAAGCTTGATGACATTGGTAGGTCGGGGCGGTGGTGGTGGCTCAGAATGAAAGATAAGATTGTCGGTGAGCGCCCAGTGGAGCCGAAGCGAGCAGGGGCGTGGCGGTGCTACGCGGACCTCGATGACCTCGTGGTCGACGTCCAGTGATCGGTTTAATGGTCTTCAGCACTTCAGAACTTGGGTATCACCTTACCACACGAAGCGAAGACCACCGTCTTAGACGTAGGCTATGTTCCTTCTTACCCATCGCATCGGATGTCCTGCCACTTGATGTACTCGCATCTGGGCCCACTCCAATTTGTAGCCCAATCGGAACCTCAAGTCATGTAAGTTAGGGCCTACTCTTTACTGTGAGGAATGACTTTCTTCCCACAAGTATACATCTCTGCCTACGGAAAAATAGGCCGACTCGACGATCATTAACATGGCGCATTGAAACATGTCTGGACGGCACGTAGGCTAATCCGGCTATCGGGTGCGTACTACAAACCTATCTTGTCCCCGTGTGTCCCCGTGTGTGCCCGCATGTACCCGTATAGTCTTACCCAAGTCCCTTTCACCTTCATTCTGTTGCGTCACTCTCGGGTGCTCGGCGTCCTCGGGAACCGTTGCCGGAGAACTCTGGCCCGAGACCTCGATTAGAACCTATGTCTGTAAGTCAAGGATCAGCCACCTACCAAGCAGGATTCCCTCGTCTCGTGAAACGCCTCTTTTGCACTACGTCTACGCTGAATCTTCTCTGTTTTGTCTTTGAACACTGCTTGGCTCTCACTTGTTGGAGGCCATTACACCTATAGTACATCACGAAACCCCGGTCTTCGTCCTTCTTACCGATGTTATGTCATCCCCTTTGCGCAGCATTCATGCCTACGCCAGTCGGCGTCTTCGCAGCCCCGCCTCTGTCAATTTATTCGTGCCACTTTCACGCCTGTATCAATACACAGGCTCTAGAACGACTCTACCAAGCGCTTTGCTTGATCTCTCTCAGTTCCCCTACTGAACACACCCTCGGCGACCTGAATGCCAGCACGATCAACATTTATGCGAAAACGTCTTCAACCAGAACGCACCTCGTTAACAGCTAGGAATGCCTCTACCCCATCTTTTCCCATCACCTCCTTCATGCTTTCGTCGTTCATGAGACTGTCTCGTGCTTCCTCCCTGGTCAAAGCCATCCGCCTCGTTATGCCCCTTTCCTGCCTCTCGGCCTCGCTCATATCGCCCGGCGTCTTATCCCCCGAGCAATCCAGCATACCACTCTCCTTCCTGTGTTTGACACCGAGCACACCCGCCGCGATGATTGCCGCTAGCGACAAGTACGGATTGGCGAGGCCGTCGACGCATCTCACCTCAAAGTTTCGCGAGCGCGGGAGGCGGGCGTTGCACAGTCGGATGGGGCAGTCGCGGTTATCGACTCCCCATGCGATCCACGAGCCCCCGGACCAAACGCCATCCCGCACGCGCTTGTAGCTCGGAGAGAGGGGCTGCGTGTACGCCTGTACCGAGTGGAGGTGGTCGAGAAGTCCGGCAAGAAAGGTGCTTTGCAGGTGATCGAGGTGCGGTGATGTCGTCGAAGGCTCTTGCACGGCTGACCGCGTGTGGGGGGATATATGAGTATGGCAGGCTGTGCCGTCTAGGGATGCATATCTGGTCAGGCAAGAGACTCCGACGTGAGGGAGAAGTATACGTGCGGTTACCGAGATTGAAGTGTGGTGCGAATGTCGCACGCAGACCGTGTTTGCACGCGATATTGAAGATTATCTGACGTGTCTGCACAAGGGCGTCTACTGCTTCCAACGGTGGAAGAGGGCCGGTGACTATTTCATACTGTGTATCGGCGCTTCCATGGTCAGAAGCAGTGTAGATTTACAACTGACTGCATACCTGGCCTAGAGCAGCCTCTGCGTGGAACATCTGCAATTCAATCCCTGATCCTTGCACTGCCTCTGCGATCTCGTCAAGCACCTGTTGGCCTTGCTTGCCGGTATCAAAGCTGCTGGCCATGCACCAACCTCCGCTGTTGACTGCGCATGGAGGATTCGTGGAGGATAGAAGCACGAACTCTGACTCGAATCCTACAATGAACTCGACGCCTAGGTTCTCCTTTGTTTCTCTATGCCCTTGCATCAGTCTTACTGTCCACCATAGTTTCATGACACGCACCTAACGATCTTCTTAAGAATTGTTCGTGGGCAGATAGACACTTCTAGGCTTTCCCCTCCTCCAGCCAATGGTTTGGGGACCTTCTCTTCGAAGGACGCCATTAACGTCACATGCCCTACCGCATACGGACAATGCCTCAAGCTGTCCATGTCGAAGCGAAGGAGATACTCGCCAACGGTGGAGAAGTCGCCTACGACCTCGTTCACAACTGCGGTGAGCGCTGCCACATTGGTGGTCACGCCGGCTTGTGGCATAGCGATGAGCTTTTTGAAGTATTCCATAGGCACGATGCGCATGCGCACGCCATTGGATATGTCGACCCATTGCACCCGGACGTATCTGTTCACCGCGTGCATCGCCGCCGGCGCCCAGCCGAAAAACAAGACGATGAATACTTAGCACAAAACAACTGCGCGTCCCACGCAGATCTCAATGGTACAACGTACCGTGCTGTGCTGAGTTGATCTGGTGACAGTGTGCCCAGTGATTTGGAGATAGATTCAAGGGTATAAGAAAAGCTATGATTTGCTGGGGTCAAATACATGTCAGCTTTGAGTACTGAGTGGGAGCGGTAAAGAGTGGTGAACAGACAAGAAGCACTGGTGCGTAATATAAGTACTCTCATCCAGCTAGCCTTCTAGTTTTAGAATGGTAATATTTCATTCCCTCCCCCTTCGCGAATAAGCAATGCCCATCCCGAAAGAACTCTATTCTGGCCTCCATCTCGGCATTCACACAATCAAAGGTCCACCCTTCATTCGTGCGCAGCAGCGTTCATTTCCACAAGGATAATAGAGCGGGGCGTAATGCTGCTCAGTATCGGGCTGCTTAGTTGTGGAATGAGTCGTTTACATCACATCTATCCATTAATTTCCCGCTGATCACATTGATCCTACACTGGATTCTGCATACACTCGAGGCCATGATGAACGTTATCGCATCTTCTGAGAGGACCTTACAATTTCTTCAAGTTGTACACCGCCATGCTCTCAGATGTCATTAACCACCTACTCCAACGCCCTTGAGGCATTAATTACATGTATAAGCAGCAAAGTATCAGCGCACAGTGTTCAGATTCTATCACGTTCGGGATGAACGCCACAGGCCAAGATATAAAAGGAAACCTCCGTCGTATCAAAATGTCAAACAAATGTCAGTAAAAGCCTGCCATACTTTTGAATATACGAGTTATTATTGCGTCACGGGCGTCACGCGTCACCTGGCAAGAGCCCTAAACCGCAACGATGTTGTCCAGTGTATCTACTCAGCATTTGCTGTGGCACCGCGATTGGGTTCCACAGCATCGCCCGCATCATGATGGGGCAACTATGAGATGAGAGCGTGTCGCTACATCTGACATCCTCGAGCACTATCTGACAATTGCACCAATTTCCGACTAACACGGTGTGCTATACTATAACACAGCGTAAAGACGCGGATTATGACGGGGGAATAATGAAGGCGTAATCATCAAATATACCTTGATTATGCTCGTGATATGACTAAGATGTGACATTTGGAACAATGATGGATAATGACGAGTTAAACTACTGTTATGCCACGAATAAGCCTACCATTATAACGCCAATATGCCAGAGTTAAGCCTGGCAGGATATGCCCGCAATATCAGCTTCTTTTTCCGCTCGTTTGATCAGCGCGCCGCGCGCCGTGCCGATTGGTGCGCGCCCGCTTCGCGCGTCGCAATCGTAGCTTACAACGAACACGAATCACACTGAGGTTCGATTGAAGTAACACAGAAGCACTTAGGCATCGATTAGAGCAAAGAAAACTATGTAAGAACAGGTGAACTCGCGCTCGGGCGAGCATAAAGTATCGAGATGTTGCGAGCGGTCGTCCTTGTTGATCCATCATGTCGTCCCCTCCTGCGCAGGAGAGCGAGGCGCTCTACAGCAACGACAGAATGTCGTCGGCTCAACCATCTGCGTTTGACTATACGACCATTGGTCCAGGGAACTTCACAGAGGCCTTGAATCACCCGGGTCTAATTTCGGACTGGGACTTCAACAGTTTATCATCAGCACTCGACTCTAACGGCAGCATTTCGAGCCCGGGAGACGCACATACCTCTGGCGCGAGTAGCTTTGTCGTCACGACACCCGCCGGACTTGGGGCTCAGAACTCCAGAGCAAGCAATGCTCGGCCTCCAGTCTCCAAGAGTACGATCAGCGCGCCAGGGTCGGGTGCTGCGATGCTCACCAAGATTATGAAGCTCGAGAGTGGGATGACGGCTATGCGGGGTGAGGTTAGCAGCCTTCGCCAAGGTCTTCTAAGCCTGCAAAACAGTGTACAGAACGCGCTCGATGCGCTGAGGGCAAACCACGAGGCTGGGATGGAACTGACGATGCAGGTTGTTGAGGAAAAGGTCGAGGCTGCCTTGAGCGCGAGCAGGAAAGGAGGAGAGAGGGAGCAAGAAGTGGGCGGTGATGCAGGAGATGGAAACGAAGCGGACACAGAAGACGACGACGATGACGACGACGAGGTTAGTCACAAGGTGTCGGAACCTGTGATGCTTGTGAGTACGCCCATGACAGTGTCGAATCTAGCTGATCAGTTATGCAAGGCGATAACTCGAAAAGCTTACGAGATCCTGATGGATGTCCCAATGCTCACTGCCGCCCACCTGCCCGCTTGGCCCGTCGATGACAGCGAATGGCCTTTTGCTGACGATGAAGATGACTTTGGCAGTGCTCTGGAGGTCGAGGAGGATGGCGACAAGAAGAGGGTTCGCCTCCTGCGTTTCCGCTGGGACGAGACGTGGGAGCATGCGGACAACTTCAAAGGTATCAAACAGCTCACCCGCTGGATCAAACAGACCGGCCCAACCGTCTCTCCCGATGCAGCGGCATCTATCGACTCTGTCAGCAAAGCAGCTCTGCAGGACTTCGTCACAAAGAAATTCAAGGCCCTCGTAAAGGTCCTTCGCCAGGCCCGTCGTGACATGAAGAAACCAGCTTCGTCGGCGACAGCGGTCAGCGCTACGAACCTGGCTGACGCAGCAGGGAACGGGGGAAATACAGATGGTGAAGGAGGGGACGCACCACCACCACTGCCTCAGTCCGAAGCACGGCCGGGACCGTTGAAAGCTAGCACCCGTCAGAGTCGTCAAAAAGGGGTACGTATTCACGTACCTTTCCGTCGAGATGATACGCTAAAAAACTGTTAGAAACTCGCAGTACGCCTGAGGAAGTTTGGCGCCTTACCGCAAGATTCGCCGTGGAAACACGACAAGTTCCTGCAGGCGCTGCGTTATCAGTTGATGTCGGACGATGAGGACGGGTGGGATGCTGAGAAGGGAAAGAAGACGAACCATTTTGTGTCCCGTGCACCGGTGTATCGATCTAAATTAGTGAGTTAGTTTGACAGCGCGTGAACCATTACTGACCGGCATCTGAAGTTGAATGACTTCTTAGCTGCTGTCGACACAATCCCTGACCCCAATGGGAAACCAAGCTACGTACTGCGTGTTCGAGGAGAACCAAAAGAGCAAGAAGTGCCCGTGATAACTGACATATCCTCCCGGACGCGACGCTGGATGGTGGACATGGAGTGGTTGAGCCAGCCAGAGAACAAGAAGTGGGATGTTGAGTCGAGGATCACCGGGAATGGTAAGGTATGGGGCGATGATGACGATCCAGAGGAGCTGAGAGACAAAAAGAGGAAGGTGAAGGCAGAGAAGAAGGACGGCCGAGAAAAGAAGAGGGCGAGGGCTGGTGCGTTGGATGTAAAGGGGAAAAAAGCGAGAGTGGGGACCAAGAAGAAGGATGCGCCTAAAGTGGGCACATCGAAGTCAGCTGCTGCCATTGACGTGGCAAGCTCTGACGAGGACTGACCATAGCATCGTAGCAAGTCTTCTAATCAAAAAAGTCTTCGGGTTCTGTCCCTGCCTAGACAACTGTTAGTAGTTCTTGCAATTGAAACAAGGTTCTTGGCGCACATGATCGAATGAAACTGCTGCAACGAGTGGGCGCCGTAGCTCTCGGAGTGTAAAAGGAATGAGGCCGATCGAACACTGGATAGCAGATGAAGGAAAGACCTCCAGGGAACTAAACTCGTCTGCATAACAGACATGGATACCGAGTATAGATGAACTTGAATTGTAGACAGTTAATTAGCACAAGGCAAGGAATGAATACGAAGACTTACAACATTGACCATGGGAACATAGGTATGCGGTCATCGGAGTAGAGGCGCTGAACGACTGCGCATACATGTGGAAGTTTGTCGCCCACACCCACCACAAAAAGCGAGTGGATACGAACGGGGACACGGGAAGACTCGCTATCTGAAACAAAGGCGTACACGTCAGACTGAGTCCGACGATTTGATGTGCATCCATAACGGATGCCATCCTTGCGAATATAGGTCAGTGAGCGAGCAACCCTCCCAGAAACAAAGGGTGTGGTCCCAGCATCGCTGCTGCGATCGCTGACGAGGTTGAGATCAGGCCATAAGGCTCGGCAGTACGCCAGAAGGAGGCGGTACATCTGCGGTGGATCATATCGGCGCAAGTCGACGAACTTGGCTGCGCGGCTGGGTAAACGAACATTGTCTACAAACATTGAGTGTGAATAAGAATGAACCAAAGTAAAAACTCACCCTCGGAAGTCTCACTCTGATAAAACGCGATCTCCGTCATCATTGCGCCGCGGTTGCGAGCCTGAGTCTTGATCATGTTGTCGAGGGTTCTTCGTTCAACGTCGTGAGCCTCGGGTGGAAGATTCAGCAGATACTCATAGATAAGGTGAGTTTGAACCCACGCTCGCATGAGCGTGAGTTCCATCTGCCCGCCGTCATGTCCATTGTGCTTGACGCGTTCCAACATGCCGTTGAAACGCTCAAAAGCAAAAAGCCACCAGGAGTAGACGGGGCCGAAGCGTTTCACCATCTCGGACGTGTGCATTGAAGCGTGGTGGTTGGGCCGAAGGGGGATGTCAAGCGCAATACAGCGTTGGCAGTACTGGGCGAGAAACTCTTGCGCAGTTTGAGCCTGGTGCATCGATATCTCCCGTGATGAGAAAATGCGCACAGCGGCGCATAGAAGGAGAATGGCATCATATAGTTGATGCCGATCGCGAGAGAAGCCGGGGTCGTCAGTGTTGGGAGGGAGAGGTGGTGGAGCGCTTGGGATTTCGTCATTCTCATCGCGCCATGCCCACCACAAGAGCACCGGAGTGATTGTGATAAGACGACGCCATTCATCTGCTTTTTTGAGCGAGTGGTTCTCGCCTAGCTAAAATAGAGGTTAAACATGATCTGGGAGTGATTATAATTGACACTTACATTCTTCGGGAGACGGGTGATGTGGCTAGGCCACAAAATCGAGTTAATTAGAGTCTCGAATCGGGACTTGGCTGACTCTGATCCCCCAATCCCCGTCATCAGCTGACCGTTGAAGATGACAACGTCAAACAGATGAGGGACAATGCCTGCGAAAAGGGATTAAAAAGTAAAGGCGTGCATAAAAGCACTCACCAAGGTATACAGCGTGCATGAAGTCCAAGGCTGTCTTCGTCTTGGGAAGCCAGCCCGGAAGAGCGTCGAGAATAACAAAGCGTTTACCATAGTCATCGAGAAGTTGGGCTTGACGTGCTAGTGGTGCATCCCGTGCATAGAAGGCCTGCCGGAGGAGCTTATAGTCCTCCTTGGGGCGAGTAGCTGCAGCGCCGTTGAGGTTAATTCTTGGACAACTGTAACCAAATCACAAGATACTCACAGCTGTCGTATCCTGACGGCTTGTTGAAATCCGTGACATTGGCATCGCATGACACGCACGGGTGCATGTCATGTGAATGAGAAGCTGTGCCATTGGTCTTGTGAGATGCGGGCATATCACAGTCAAGGCACGCCAAGTCGGCGTGGACATCGGCGAGCTGATCCTCGCTGTAGACAGCCATTTTGACACCTGACAATGCGAGTGGATGGAGATCAGTGATTACCATTAGACATGAGACACAGAGTGATACCGTTACGAAGGATTGAGATCTCCTTCGTGCACGGCTCCATGCAGTGACTGATTTGCCGGACATCAGGCTCTTTGGGGCCTGGCATGACACTGGCGCATATGACGTTGGATTGAAGGAATCGGTGCTCGCGGGGAAGGTTGTTGATGGCAATGTACATAGCTCCCGTCGAATGCGGCCGGTTTTCGAGGACACCCATCCTAAAATAAAATAAAATTAGCAATGACCGCGCATGTCTGAGCCGTACCAATCAATATTGCAGGTGAGATGAAGCCCGTATCGGTGCGACGTTAGCTTTGGAGCCGTGTCGTGGTCATCTTCGGGGCGATCGCGAACATGGCCGTGTTCACCAACTTCCCGGACTGTATGCGTGTTGAGTTCATGCCAAAGCGAGCCGTCGTGCATGTCTCGCATGACGAAGTGCTCATCGACGTCTCTGTCAGGTACATCAGCTCTGCTGTCTCGTATCATGCGAGCAAACCCAGGACGCATGAACATGCGTCGCAATGACGCAATGATCGACACTTGAGGGTGAAGCTTGAACGGTTTGCGAATGTGTTTACATCGAGCATTGATAAAGTCCTCGTATATAACACCCGAGCAGCCGTCGACAGAGCAAACAGGAGACATCAGAGTCTGGAGATCGGTCGGGTGGTAATGCTTCCAGCAGTCGGGGCATACCGCATATTTGATGATGTATTGGTCGGGGTCAATGCCGAGACGCTGCTTGGCACTCTTGAGGGTTCGAACAGGGCGCGGGTGATCCGGTAGAGGTCGAATGATAGACGCGTTGTCGAGCATTGCCGACAACAGATCTGATGCATCCGCGACCGAGACCTTACTGAAGACGTTGGCAAGCACAGCTCTGAGGTACGCATTTCGAACTTCTGGGCGTTCTTTGAATGCCCGAGGTAACAGGGTTGGCTCTTCATCTGGTTCATCGTCATCGTCGTCTAGATTAATCGCTGTTTCTCCAGGTACGCATACACCAAGGTCGACGCGGTGCCAGCGTTGTTCCAGAGGTGGAGTCGGCAGCCTGAGGGGCGACTGAGGCCGGGGAGTGGGTGGACGCAGTTCGAACTCCTCGTCCTCGTCCTCGTCAAATCCACGAGGTGGTTCTAGCACAAAGTCCAGGTTTACGTCTAAGAGATCGAGCAGTCGACGTGAGTGAGTCGCCTGAGCCTGAGGTGCTTGAGTTTCCGAGCCCTGAGTCTGCCGAGAAGGACCAGCAGTGCTGGTTGCTGCCTGGGTCGCTAGAGTAGCATTCGTCGTGGTGCGTCGTTGAGTCTTCTTACGGCCATATCTATCATTGTGTCTTCTGATCTCCTGCGCCGTTTGCAGAACGTAGCCCGCTGACGTGAGCGAGCACCGCGCACAGATACATTTGAAGCGTGGGGTTGATCTGGATGTCTTGCTGCTGGATGGGTTGGAAGGGCCGGATTTCGATGGGCGTGGCATGACGAACGAGATATAGGATAAAGGTATGGATTGCTTCAATTGCGACGCCGTTGTATGCGTGAGCGGCGGCAGCTGCGTGCCAGTGCCCTAGTGCGAGCGCTCGAGCACACAGCTCAAAACGCGCCTAAGTCCCCGCACGCTATACGCGACCTCGACACGGGCCGATTATGCCATGGGATAATTATATCTATTCTATGAATAACCTTCAATATGCCCTGGCACATTTCAGCCGGAATATTGCTGCGATAATCTACGTATATTTCCAAAATTTCCCACACTGTGCCTGGAAGTAATGCACGTCTTTACGCTGTGTAAGCAGCGATGGGCGTTCTTCACAATATAGCGCCCCCGACCGTGTAGCTCAGGACGTCGTTTAACGTTGATGCCGCTGCAGATGTGCATTTTAGCCATCTGAGAAATCCGGATTCATCTGGGAAAGTATCCTTGATCGTTAGTTAACTGAGGCCACAAAGACGCTAAACGATCAAGAATTGCTCGAATGCACTCTGTACTAGACGATTTTAAATGCTTATAATGGAGGCAAATTGGTACTCACTTTGAGCCGAGTTCAATGGCCAGTAGTGCCGCTAGGGACACTGACTCGGGTCGAAGGCAACATCATTGACAATTCGGGGGCTTCAAAGGCAGGAAAGGCAGGAATGCTCGTATTCTCGCAACATTCTCGAGCGAAAGGGCGTCCTCGCGTGAGTGATTCGACGTATTGCCTACCGGTAGTAGGTGCTCCATGGGCCGTCACACATGCGCGGTCTTTATTCAGGCCATTCCCTAATCACTTCGTTCCAGGATGGTCTTAAAGCCGTATTACTGTAACAAATTAACTCACCAACACGGTTTTAGCCGATTTGGAGATCCCCATTGAACGCTGGTAGTACAAAGGGCACCTCTTCAGCTTACACATTCATGAACGCTCTAGTATCAGAACGGATGATGCCGTGTTCAGTTAAACTCACCAAAATATTCGCAAGTCCCATTCACGATGGAGTGGGTACTCCTGGAGAAGACGACGACGAGAGTACTCGTATAGCTGGGATGAGTTGCTACGAACACGCGCGAACACTCTAAGTACTGCCTACACTGGTCATGCCGGCCCTAAACCACTCCACCGTGCCTTCCTCGAGGCTCGGTCCGACCCTCCCTAGTCCAACGACGTATCAAATAGAGATAAGGCTACAGAGTCGTCCAAACGAGCATGTAACGCTACACGTAGATACGCACATATAACAAACGATAACTAAACTAACATACAAATCCAATATACACGATGATCGAGCGTCGTGCGCACGTTCCAAACGGAGGCATACAACGGTATAAAAAACGAGAGGGGACAGTCCACTAGATCGAATGCGTACAAGTAGATTAAACCCAGCCCGCGTCGCCCAAGCTAGAGCGAGGAGAAGCATACAGTAAGAATAGATAGAGGTTGTTACGCTTCAATGGGTATACGTTGATGATATATATAGTTCGTGGGTCGTTACGTTGTGATACCGATAGCGAGAAAGGGTATAGGCGATTCACATGATAAAACGAAGCGTGGTATGCTGTATGCATAGTGTCTTGTTAGCTTCGCCGCAAGAAAAAGGCTGGAAAGAGTAGGGTCGGGGAATATGGTAGCAAAGAGGACGTACAATACGGTGCGAGCTTGACAGCTGCGGCGTCTGCTTGTGCTTATCCTTCAGCAAGGCTCGGACGGAATTGAGAAGGTCCTGATAGCTCTGGTCCTTGTTCTCGGACAGGGACTCCCTGAACGCCTGTACCAAACATACAGTCCAAAATCGTCAACCATATATCCCCACGCATCAGAACTACCAACGCTCGCCAGCGTCTCTTGGCGGCGCCTGAGTGCGCCTACTGGCAGATGGGGAAGCAGAGATAGAGTAGCGTACCCAGCTCATAGCCCCGACGGCATCCCCGCCCTGGGTCGTGTCTGCACTCGTCTGGTCGTCGCGACACCCGGTAAACAAGATGACATCGGCTGGCGAGCTCTTATACTCGCGCCACTCAGGCGTGATTTGAGATTTCTTGAGGCGCCCGTTGTGATGATACTGTCGTGCCGTGTGCGGCATTGGTTAGCACGGGATGAATGAGCTGAGCGAGGAGGGGGAAGAGCGCTTACAATATAAGGAAGGTCTGTGGTATAAATATGCGCGATGAGTACGGGCGTGAACGAAAAGAGCAGCAAACGACATACCGAGAACAGTGCCCGAGTGGCATGACTGCGAGTTAAAGTGATCAGGTTAGCTCAATTGTTGGAATGCGCAGCCACAGAAAGGAAGAATGGGAACGTACGTCGTATATAGCCTGCCATGATCAGTCAGCACCTCGGACAGAAGGAAGTCAACGCGGGCGGAAGACGTACAGTCAACCGACACTGCGACGGGAGCGATTTGACCATAATCTTATGCATCTCCTGCTCATCCTGGTCAACACATGCCCAAGGCTATAACATAATTGATTGGAAACGCACGCCATCAAGAATAATCCCCGCCTTCTGAAAATCTACCGGGTAGATCACATCGTCCAGCCCATCGATCTCGTCGCCGTCCTTATTTGGGACCTGGCCTCCATGGCCTGAGTAATGAAAGAATAGTGAGTCGTGTGGCTGCGCGCCTTTGACGAGCCACTTCATGCCGTCCAGCATGTTCTTCTTGGTTGGTATCCGTCGCGGGTGCGTCATCTCATCTGTGAGCAGAACAATGTCGTTGGATTTATAGCCCCAGTGCTCTGTCCCATCGCGTTAGTATCACCATAACCGGACACGAGAAAGAGACCGAATCTGATAGGGCACCGTGCAAGCAGGCGAGAATGGCAGTAAAGACTCACTGATCAAAAACTCCCTAATCCTCGTCGCATCGTTAACGCACCCCTTCAAGTCCCGCTTCTGGCCGACATAATTGATCCCAATCAACAGCGCCTTCTTGGTCCCCGTACAGTTAGAATAGTGCAGAGGCGAGTGCGCAGGAAGAGCGTTGCGTGGCTTATTCGGATGCGGAGTCTTGCTCGATGACGCCGATGCAGACACGGACTTTGGAGGTTTTGCGCGATTCGGATGCGGATTCTTGCTCGACGACGCCGATGCGGACACGGACCTTGGAGGTTTCGCGCGAGCAGAGTTGGGTGTAGATCCAGAAGGAGCATTGGGTACGGCGGCAGGCGGCGACGTCGCCTGCTGAAGTGGATTCTTCCCGATCACAGCAGGCAGGATCGATGCCACTTGCTCAAGTGGATTCTTCCCCTTCGCTTCGGGTAGGATCGATGCCACTTGCTCAAGTGGATTCTTCCCATTCACATCGGGCAGCTGCTCAAGTGGATTCTTCCCGTTCACATCGGGCAGCATCGACGCCGCCTGCTGAAGTGGATCCTTCCCGGTCACAGCGGGCAGGATTGACGTCACCAGCGTCTCGAGTACATCGAACAGCACACCGTGCGGCTGCGTCTTGGCCTGCTGCACGCTACCAGCCCCAGCGCTGTGGTGCGACGAAGAATGTGGCTGTACCGCGGCAGGCGTCGACGTCGACGCGCCGGAGCGCTGCGAGCTGTGTGCGCGGTGTATCGACGTCGAGCCCGCGGCACGCGGGACAACGGTAGATGGTGGCGGACGACGCCTCTGCGTGTTCGGAGAGTGGTGAACTGCGCCCGCCGCACCCTTGGCGGATGTCTGTGGTCGATGGCGCTTCAACCCCGACGTGGATTGGTGCTTCGTCGGTGGCGCGTCGGAAGGTCGGTGCTGGGGGGTAGACAAGGAACGGTGGTGCTCGTGGTGGCTGTGGGTGTTCCCCAGTGGCTGCACTGGTGAAGTTGGGCTCGGGGGACGTGCGGGTGTGGGGTTAGGAGGGGGAGTAGGCGTGGACATAGATCTGGGCATTCTGGATGGCGAGGGCGAGGATCGGCGCATTGATGATGGTGTTTGGCCCTTGGTGGGTGGAGGTCGAAATGGGGGCACGACGGGCTGCGGGGAGTTTGCTTCTGGACCCGAATGGCGCTTTGGGCTGGTATCGGGCTTACGAGACCTATGCACAGAATGTCGTGGCCAGCATGAGAGAGTGAGAGAGAGAGAGAGAGACGCTACTCGGTCGCGAGAAACAGGATAAGGGGGGGCTCACCAGGGTACTGGGAATCGAGGAGGCAACCATCGTGGACGAGTTTTTCGTTGGCCGTTGCCCTTAGCGCCCCATATCATTGCGTTGACCTGCGTGGACGCCTTGAAGCGCGGAAAGAAGAATTAGGCGGGACAGCCAGGCATAGTAACGTGAAACAGAGTAGACAGACGAGAAGGCGCGAATGCGAAACCGGCATATGCTCTATAATAGCCTCTATTTGACTCGTTTTCCTTTTCATCCAGCGCCTGGCTCGAAGGCTCGTGACGCTTTGTTGATGACAAGCCATTATAGACGCAACGTCAACTATGACGCCACAGCTATCCATAGCATAACGGGTCATAGTCGTCGGCGAGTCTCAATTAGACTCTCGAGCCTTGGGTGGAGCTCTGTCAGTTTACCCTGGCATTGACGCCGAGGTATCGACCTCGGGCCTGAAGCAGGTGGAGAAACAGAGGATGAAGTCACTTGAGGTGAGGGACGAAAACATTCTGTCTGGGATGGCGACGAACCCTGGCCTGTCTCACATTGCGCCTCAAACTCAACTTCTTAACCTCTGGCCATCCATAACCCTCTCCACGGTTGCAGGATCTGGTCTTGTATGCGTTCGAGAGTCGCCAAGCTTAGAACGTGATTGTCTCGCAGGCTGTGCTGTTGACTTCGGAATGAACATCCCAGGAGGTGGATTTACCTTAACGGAAGGAGAGAAAGTGCAAGTTTTATACAACAAGTCAGTGAGCGCCGTCGCCCGTTGCGACAGCCATGGTAAGCGGACGACGAGAACACGCCTCTCTCCGTGGCGATTGGCGGTCCTCCTGTCGCGAGCCGTGACACTAGAAAAATATCCCAATAAGTTTTGCCAATTTAGTTAGAATACCTCTCCGAAGTTTAACCGATCCAGGCACCGGGTTTTATTGAAAATAAATTATGGGAAGGTAAAGCCAATAACCAATATGAACATTAAACGCCGAAAAAAGAAAGAATTAAACAATAATCAATGGACATCAATTCAAGTAAAGAACTCGCCCAACGCGAGCCACTTTGGAAGGATTGCAACAACGTTCCACTTAAACGCTAGTGGTACAGACACTTACTCAACTTACACAGATGCAACTAATCTTATGAACGAGCTCCAGTATCAGAATGGATGATGCCACGTGTAGTTGAACTCGCCAAAGCATTCGCAAGTCCGATTCACAACGTACCAAATAGAACTAAGGCTACAGACTCGTACAAACGAGCATGTGACGCTACACGAACATACGCACATACAACGAACGATAACTAAAATAACATACAGCAATCAAGAAATTAACGATAAGATAGTAATATACAAGCGTCATACGCACGCTCCATACGGAGGCACACAAACGGTATCAAAAAAGAGGTGACAGTCCACTAGAATCGAATGCGTACGAGTAGATAAAGCACAGCCCGCGTCGCCGCCAGGAGCTTGGGTGACGCAGGCGAGGAGGAGAATACAGTAAGAATAAATAGAAGTCGTTACGCTTCAATGGGTATATGTTGACGATAAATATGGCTTGTGGGTCGTTTCGTTGCGATACCGATAGCAAGAAAGGGTATAGGCGATTCACATAATAAAACGAAGCGTGGTATGCTGTATGCACAGTGTCCTGTCAGCTTTGCCGCAAGGATGCTGGAAAGAAGAAGGACGGGGAATATGGTAGCGAAGAGAACGTACAATACGGTGCGAGCTTGACAGCTGCGGCGTCTGCTTGTAATTATCCTTCAGCAGGCCTCGGACAGAGTTGAGAAGGTCCTGGTAACTCTGGTCCTTGTTCTCGGATAGGGACTCCCTGAACGCCTGTGTCAAACACACAGTCCAAAATCGTCAGCCGTATATACGCATGAGAACTACCGACGCCCGCCAGCGCCTCTTGGAGCATAAGTGCACCAGCTGGCAGATGAAAGCGCCGACGGAGAAGCAGGAATAGAGCAACGTACCCAGCTCATAGCCCCGACAGCGTCCCCTCCCTGGGTCGTATCTGCGCTCGTCTGGTCGTCGCGACACCCGGTAAACGAGATGACATCAGCTGGCGAGCTCTTATACTCGCGCCACTCAGGCGTGACTTGAGAGCCCTTGAGGCGCCCATCGTGATGATACTATCGTGCCGTGTGCGGCATTGGTTAGCACGGGATGAATAGGCCGAGTGAGGAGGGCGGAGGGCGCTTACAATATAAGGAAGGTCTGTGGTATAAATGTGTGCAATGAGTATGGGCGGGAATGAAAAGAGCGGCGAGCGGCTTACCGAGAACAGTGCCGGAGTGACACGACTGCGGGATAAGTCAATCAGGTTAACTCATTCAATGGAATGAATAGCCACAGAAAGGAAGAACAGTGACGTACGTCGTATATAGCCTGCAATCACCAGTCAGCGCCTCGGACAGGAGGAAGTCAACGCGGGCGGAAGACGTACAGTCAACCGACACTGCGCCGGGAGCGACTTTACCATAATCTTATGCATCTCCTGCTCACTCTGGTTAACACATGCTCAAGGCTGCAACACGAACCATTGAGAACGTACATCATCAAGAATAATCCCCGCCTTCTGAAAATCCACCGGGTAGATCACATCGTCCATCCCGTCGACTTCGTCGCCATCCTTATCTGGGACTTGGCCTCCATGGCCTGAGTAGTGGAAGAATAACGAATCGTGTGGCTGCGCGCCCTTGACGAGCCACTTCATGCCATCGAGCATGTTCTTCTTGGTGGGTACCCGTCGCGGGTGCGTCGTCTCATCCATGAGGAGAACAATGTCCTCGGGTTTATAGCCCCAGTGTTCTATCCCATCACATTAGTATCACCGTGAACAGACGCGAGAAAAGGGCGGAATATGACAAGGGAAGACTGAGGACAAGCAAAGGAAAGCGCAAAGTGGATGAGAATGGCAGCGAGACTCACTAATCAAAAACTCCCGAATCTTCCTCGCATCATTAACGCATCCCTTCAACTCCCGCTTCTGACCGATATAATTGATCCCAATCAACAGCGCCTTCTTGGTCCCCGTGCAGTTGGAATAGTGCAGAGGCGAGTGCGCGGGAAGAGCGTTGTGCAGCTTATTTGGATGCGGAGGCTTGCTCGACGACGCCGATACGGGTGCCGACTTTGGAGGTTCGGCGCGAGCAGAGTTGGGTGTAGATCCAGAAGGAGCATTGGGAGCAAGAACGTGATGCTGCGACGTCGCCCGCCGATGTGGATGCCTTCCCTTCACAGCGGGCAGGATCGATGTCACTGGCGTCTTAGGCACCCCGAACCGCACGGCCTGCGGCTGCGTCTTGGTCCGCTGCACGGTGCCAGCCCCAGCGTTGTGGTGTAGCGCAGAATGTGGCTGTATAGCGGCAGGCGTCGACGTCGACGCGCGGCGGCGTTGCGAGCTGAGCGCGTGGTGTATTGACGTCGAGCCCGCGGCACCCGTGACAGCAGGAGATGGTGGCGGACGAGGCCTCGGCGTACTCGAGGAATGGTGAACTGCGCCCGTCGCACCATTGTTGGAGGTCTGTGGCCGACGGCGCGTCGTGGAATAGTGCTTTGGTGGCGAAGGCGGTGGTGCGTTGGAATGCCGGCGCTGGCGGGTAGACGAGGAATGATGGCGCACGTGGTGGCTGTGGGTGTGCCCCAGTGGCTGTATTGGTGTATATGGGCTCGGGGGACGTGCGGGTGCGGGGTTAGGAAGGACGGGCTGCGGGTGGTTTTCTGCTGGACCCGAATGGTGAATTGGGCTGGTATCGGCGCTTGGAGCTTGGGACGTGTCTGGTAAACCCAAAGGGGCGAATGGCTCCGGATACACAAAGTGTGACTGATCCGCTGACGATCCGGGCCTAATGACGGTAAAACATAAGCTGTCAAATCAGGCGCAGGTGCGTTGGGTGTTTGGGCTTTTCACCTTGGATCATCCTGGGACCTGTGTGCGGAATGTGGCGGTCAGAATTCAAGAGAGACGCTGTTCGGTCGCGTGAAATAGGACAAGGAGGGCTCACCAGGGTACTGGGAATCGAGGAGACGGCGACCGTGGACGACTCTTCCGTCGGTCGTTGCCCCTGGCGTCCTGCATCATCGTGTTGACCCGCGTGTACGCCTTGAAGTGAGGGAAGGATATGGTGGGCCAGCTAGGCATGGCGCGAGCACATTCCAGTACGAGGAGTGGGCCGGTGGACAAGGCTTCTGAAGAGTACAATAACACACCGTGGCTGGAGTTCTGGTTGGATCTGTAAATGTGCGGGTTCAGTAACTGAGGCTGCAATGAGTGGGAGGGAGACAGTAGACAGACGGTAAGCGCTAGCCGCGAATGCGAAATCAGCAAACGCCCTATTTGACCTAGCCAGCGCTTTGTCCAGAGGCTCGTGACGCTCCGCTGATGATCAACAAAGCCATAGTTCTCGTTGCCCCCACACAGTTTTCCATAACGGGTCGCGTCAGGGCTCACAGGCATCTGAGGCATATGTTCCTGTGAGTTCTGCATTCCGCTGGTCTCACTACTCATCGGCAAGTCTTAATTAGACTCTCGAGCCTTTGGTGCCCCTCTGTCAACTTACCCTGGTACTGACGTCGAGGTGTCGACCTCGGGCCTGAAGCAAATGGGGAAAGAGAGGATGAAGTCACTTGAGGTGAGGGACAAAAACACTCAGTCCGGGATGGGGACGAACCCTGGCCTGTCCCACATTGCGCCTCTCCCTCAACTTCTTACCCATTGTAACCATCTCCAAGGTTGCAAAATCGGATCCTGTATGCGTCCCAGAGTCGCCAAGCTTAGAGCGTGATCGTCGTGCAGCCTGTGGGAGACGATTGCTGATGGCTTTGGTATGAACATCCCAGGAGATGAATCTACCTCATCTGAAGGGGAGAGAAAATGCAAATGTTTGTACAGCAAGTCGTTGAACAGTGTCGCCCGTTGCGCCAGCCATGGTCAGCGAATGATGAGAACAGTTCCTCACTCCAAACTCCAAGGCTCGGTCCTTCGCCACGAGCCGTGACATCAGCAAATTTCCTAGACTGGAAAAGAAGGTTATGATGAGAATACAGCCGCCGACATTGATGATAATTGTCCAAACCGGTTTATGGTGGTTATATGTGCTTGTAACAACAAGTCTATTTTCACGCAAGCACGAGACTAGCTGCATCCTCTCATAATTGGTTGACAATGAATTGGGAAGAGACCCTGTCGGACTAGCAATTCGGGATTGTGAGACGATGATGAGATGGCACCATGCATTCGCCATCCCTTCCAAGCCAGTTATCTCTCATCCATCAGCACACGATCTAGTAGCAGTACTGTGATGGCAGCAGCCACGAAAGAGTGCATTGCATGAACTACTCATACTGACACATATCTAGTACGTGTACCCCACCACTCCCCTCACCCGCTAATGCAGGGCAGGCATCCGGAACATCTGTGCCGCCACGGAGTTGTCATCATCTGCAACCTCCATGGCGTTGGCTTCATCATCCGGGCCGTCGTTACCAAAAATACGCCTATGAAATAGAATCATTGTATTAGTAAACCGATGCTGTGGTCCCGCTAGAGAGATATAGGAAAACATACTGCTGCCACCAGGTCAGGAGATCGTCATGCCAAACGGCGTCTGCAGCAGGGGCCTCGCAGAGAAGCTTGAGGATCCAGTTGTAGAACGTCTCAGAGAAAGGATCCTTGTCGCCGTTTCTCTGACCCCACTTTGGAGTAGCCGAGAGCACGAAGCGTACCTTGAATGTACGGCAGATGATCAATGATCCTCTACAATCAATGATGAAGGAGGACGTACCAGGGTGGCCACGTATGCGATGGACGACAAGCTGACATGTCGGACATTGTGCAGGGCCGCATTACCCTGGCGCCCACCTGAGCCTGCGTCATCGTAGATGCCCGCACTCGGAGAGATATAGATGGTCAGATAAGCCTCAAAAGACAGCGTCAGCAATAGTCACTTCACGATAAAAACTGGGTGCTCACTTTGACTAGCATCTCGCCTCGAAGAAACCCCTCAAACAGGTTGTCCGCCTTTTGCACCTTCTCACCAACCCAGAGAAATTTGGGGAGATCACGAGGTGTGACCTTGATGGTGCCGTTGCGGAGGCCTGCCGCAATGCTGGAACAGCAATGGACTGATGAGCACATAGGGTGATGGTGATAAAGAAGTGAGTGATGCGCACTTTTGGTCATCGTAGTCCATGTTGACTGGGCAGAGTAACGCACCAGTGGCACGGCTCTGGAAACCGAGAAGGTGGCGGGCACCTGTAAAGGCGCCAGCAGGGACATCCAGGAAAGTACGCCACAGGAAAATCTTATCCTTGAGGACCTTGATGTCATCGCCACGAGCATTGTTGCGACCAGTGTGGAGCTAGGATAGTTTGTTAGCGGGGTGACAGCATGTAAAAAGGAGATAGCATACAGCCATGCTTATGGTCTTGATCGAACCAGGACCACCCAGCTCGAGCTGGCGTTTGAGACTCGGGATCATGTTGAGAAGGGCGGTGTACATCTCCACCGTGTCCTCCTCGCTGCAAGGAATAAGGCATAGTCAATCAGCAGAGGGACCATACACGGAAACGAGCCATTACATACGCTGAAGTGAGCTCACGGCCAGGATCTGCCTCGTATACTTCTGCTGCCGTGTTGAGAATGTTGTAGAAACGATCAAACATGGTGATATGACGACCCGCCATGCGAGCTTCGGTGGTCAAGGCAGCCTCATCCACCACAGGGGCAGGCGGCACAATGGCCGGTGCAGGTCTAGTAAAGGCACTTAAACATGTCACCGACTAGGCTGCGACAAAAACACTTACACTACAGCTACTACCGGCGTACTGGCAGTTGTGACCGGCACACTAAACATGGGAATGAGCAGCCGCAAGCATAGATAGTGGGAATGGACATACACTGCCTGAGCGTCTGTCACGACAGACTCTTGCGGCGGAACAGGTACATGCACCGGTGGAGTAGCCCCACTGGTAGCCGGAACGGTCAAACTGTCGGCAGCAGGAGGGGTAGGAGCACTAGGGGTGGTTGACTGACGGGCACGGCGGCGAGCCATTGAGATGAGCAGCGAAGGGGGTAGAACGATGGTGAGATAGAAGGATGAGGGAAAAGAAAAACAGGGGAGGAATGGGGCTCACCGTGCAGGTTAAATGTCCTTCGGCTCCTTGGTTCTTGTGATTATGGAATTTGCAACACTGCGACCATTGGTTACAACCTGCTCACAACCGAACTGCGGCTGTCGAGCCATCTCCACCAAAAGCCATGGAAACTCGGGTGTTGGGATGCCCAAGCATTGCAGGAATAGATCTAGGGAGGGTCTGTGTTAATGACGAGACACTTTTGGGGACGCGCAGACCACTTACATGTCATGCCGTGATGTGCCGGTTGCAGGTGAGTGTGGTCCAGATTGCACTAGGCAAAACAAGAGCCAACCAGGGTCTGACATGTCAGTCTCTGTGTCTGTGGGAGAGGCTTGGGTGATATAGAGAGGGCGAAGATGAGGGAGAGCGTGAAACACGCGGGATGCAAGGCGGGCTGAGGTGGTGGGAGGGACAGAAGATCAACAAGGTTGAACACGCGCGGTTGACGTTGAACCGTGGGAACAGTTTCGGCACATCCCGACCAAATGCACTTGTGTTCCGACACCGAGTCGCGACTTTGCTGCTTTCAACAGTTCCCCATCGCCAGTATGACCACCACTGCCACCCAAGACAATGACCTTAATGTCATATATCTACGATTGAGCCGTGGCTCAGTTACCACAGCCCTAAACTTCACTGCATACCGTCGAGGCCGTGTGGTACGTTTTTTAATCATGAATAGTCTCCTAAACACATGGTAACCCCTATATAGGAGATTGCGTTAGCGGAGGACGACAACGACAACATTGTATTCGCTGTCCGTCGCACAGCTGTGACCAGCAGGGATGGCAGTGAACCACACCTGAGCACTGGTGGAGAAGCAGATGGAACTCAGGCAACACAGTTTGCGCCGCAGGAGGCACAGGAGGTTGGGTACTCAGAGGCAAGTCACATGCAGACACAGGAGGAAGGAGCATCTCAACACCGTGATCGTCCCATCCCGCGTGTGTTCTCCTCCGACCCGTGGCTGGGTCGGACTGAAGCCGAGCGTGCATTGAGCCGACCTTCTGGTTTCTATGGTGGTTCGGGGGAGACATCGCGGCAAATCAAGTCTGAGTCTTGATTTTTGAATGCTTTCAACATGTTTCACGAATGTGTATGTCGCAATGAATGTAAAATATGGCTTTTCGTAAGACAGAATTTGCGAGTGTACTAGTGAACTGAATTGGATTCGAGTGGGAGTTGGCAACAGAAGAATCATAGTCACGGCGATTGAGTCGAGCACGCGAGCTGGCGAGCCTGAGGGTGCTCGACGTCGCTCGGGTAATTTCCGCATCATGGATGCGGAAATTACCCGAGCCGCGGCGACAACGATGCCCAGCTTTGGACTGTGGGAATCGAGACTTAGAGTATGCGCGCGCGGTCCTCTCGCTCTCACACTCACACTCACTCAGTATCTGAGCAGCACCTACGGCGCGCTCGGCGCCGTCCACCGCTGGGCGTCTCAGGTGCGCTGTCCCTGTGATCCCGCGACCGCACTTTCTAATGCTCACGCTCAGTTCTCGCTCGAATAGAAGCCAGGCGAGCGTCATCGGGTGGAACGCGTCAACCGCCCTGGACGGGTTCTGGCTCTGGCTCTGGCTCTGGCTCTGGCTCTGGCCCACCCCTACCGTCCACGTCGTTCTGCTGGCGCTCGCACTGTATGCGTACAGTTCGTGCGGGACGCTCATCTCGAAGCGCGCCTGGCGAGCGAGGTCGTGTTTCGCCCACGTGTCGGCATCCGCGTGTAGGAGTCCCAGGCACTCCGGGAGCCCGAGCGCGGCGTCGCGGGCTACTCGCCGCTCACGCCCGGCAGTCCACTGGCGCACACGCCGGGCGCGTACAGCCATAGCCATTCGCCGCTGACGCCGTCGCAGAGACAGAGTCTGCAGCAGGTCTGGCGGTATCCGCTGCGCGGTGCGAGTGGGTCTGAGCGCGAGCGCGAGACGGACCCGTGGCATGCGGCGCTTGCGTCGGGGCTGGATGCGGTGCCGCTTCGTGAGCGCACGCCGACGCCGCGCGTTGAGCTGTCGGTGCCAGAGGATGTTGAGCGTGAGGGCGAGTTGTCGGCGGACGAAAGTGTCGATGGGGGCGAGCTCGAGCGGAAGCAGCTTACGGTAGGGACGAGGCGTTCCACCAACGTTCTCCATCGCCACCGACGATCCCCTCTCTCCCATCCATCGCTTACACACCCGCGAGCAGATCGTGCGCGCGCTGAAAGGGACATACCGCGTGCTCTGCCCGTCGCTCCAGCGCCTGCGGCACAAGACGCTCATCGCGCAGGCTGCGAGGACGTGATGCACGCAGCGACCGCCGCCTTGTGCCCTCGCCACCGAACTGCATACACCAACCGTGATGCATGCGCGACGGACGCGATGCACGCAGCGACCGCCGCCTTGTGCCGTCGCCACCGTGCCGTGTGCACCAAGCGCGATGCATATGCGACGAGCACGCCACGAACGCAGCGGAAGCAGCGTGCACCAAACGCGACAGGATGAGCTCAGCTCGTCACGGTACTCGCGCTCGCAGTTACCCTCGCAGTTGTCTTCCTGTCATCTCACGTCTGTGTACTAAACGACTGTAGTAGTTGTAATAAATGCATTACATTATCCTATGGCTCATACGTCAGAACCTGCACTGCTGCCCCATCATCATCGTCTCCGTCTAAGAAATTGCCGTGCTGCTCTGAGTCATCGTCATCCTCCCCTAAGTCTCCTGTAATACCCAGAGCCGTCAGCGGAACTCCATAGTCAATGTCCAGCTCTTGCTGAACTTTGAGAGAATATTGTTCGTTAGGAAAGCCCGATGGGTTCGAGTGTCCAATACCAATCCCAAGGTAGCGCATCATCATGTCCCTGTCAACAAACCTGACATTGATAGACTTAACATCAAGATCAATGCTAGCAGGGTACTCCATGAGCTCACCGCATCACATAATAGTTAATCCAGTCCCCTTCACGGGAATCTCTGGCGGATGAGGGTGGCAATAGATCCAGTGTCTTGCCTACGGCAAAAGCGGGAATTAGATGACATGCACGGAGCACGTCACCAGGGTCCACAAAGCCAAATGCTGGGGATGCCTGCTTGTTGTGTCCGTCAAATGGCACATACCCAATGCGGTCCAATTGCAAGGATTCCGGGCCACCGGTCCACTCGGGGTCACAGCCAAACCAACGGACATGAAGAAACTCGAAGCGCTCCGGCTTCTGGCCCACGCTAGTGCCACAAAAGACCTTCGCATGGTAGACACCAAGGACACGAGCGTACCAAAACCGGTTCGGCAAACCCAATTCATCCTCATGAGCACGCAGGATAACTGTTGAGCGAGGCCCATGGCAATTGATTGAGTCCTGTTCGCGACGCACATCATAAGAGGTGTAGTTGACACGAAATGTTGCATGAGGGAAGATGCGGCTGTACTGAATGATGACAGTGTCGAGCTCCTCCGGGGCGAATTCATGTGAGTTATCATATGGCGACAGACCTTTCTTGCGGGACAGATAATGATACTTGAGGTTATGAACAAAATCCTATACATGCCATGTGCTGCGTGTGAGCAAGTGACATTGGTAGCAGTTGACCACATTACCTGGTACGCCGGATCCTGAGCATATTCGTAAAGCCAATCCTGAAAATAGTACTTGATGCCCGACTCGTCGGCTGCAATGATATGATGCAGCTCAAGATTCTCATTGGACTCCGAAGCGTATGCTGTAGCATCTGACTCGGAATCAACTAAAGCTGGGAGTATGCTTAGGTCATCAGCCATGCGCCGATGAGCTTCTTCACGGAGTTCAATGTTAACTATCTGGGGGATGGCATTATTGCAGTTAGTACGGTCATTCCATCCCTTGATCACAGTATGCTGCCGCTCTCCCTGTAGATTTAGAGGGCGCAGATGAGTGCTCTTGGGGAGATTTTCAGTGAGAGTCGGCAGCTTACAATATGCGTAGTAAACCCGTCGGTGGTGCCATGAATGCGGATGTGCAGGATATAGTAGCCAAGGAAGTGCAACTTAGCAGTGATAAGATTGAATATCTTGCGTCGTTTGCCTCCCAAGCTTGCTCCAGTGGAGGGTTGCTGCGCTTGACGTCGCTGAAAAGCACGACCACGAGCCTGATATTCGCGGTCAGTCTCGTAAGCCACAAGCCCGGGATCTGTGCTTGTTGCAGATGCAAACAGCCGCAGACGCTGACCAAGCAACACCGTCACTTGCTCCAGGACTTGAAGCGTGGATTCAGTATGCATGCGGAGCTTGGCCAGGGAGTGCCAGTAGCTCATTGTAAACAAGAGCTCTTGAATGGCCTTGTCATGTTGCTCCGGGAAAAGTCCTTCAAAGCACGGCATACAACACTACCGCCTCAAAAATCAGTATGCATTGACGGGTTTTGGGATCTATGATGCCATTACCTGCAGAATATCCTCAAAGTCCCGAGCCGAGAGCTTAGAAAGGTCTGCTACATTATGAGAAAAAGAGCGAATGACAGCTCTGCCAAACGTTGGGACTTGGCGAAACCTGGTTAATTATCAGCCACTGCTGACCCATGAATTAACACATATTCTACACACCTCTCATTGAATGTGTCGACGACAGAACTACCCAACTGATGGATGATGCGAACTAAATGTGTGAGGAGAGCCTTCCATACACCTAGCTCAAACTCATGCATCTGGTCGACAACCAGCATGTTGAAGTAGTTGAATCCGAATGACGAGAGGCGAGAAAACGCGTTCTCACCCAAATGATATCAGTATCACCTCGGGCACAAAAGGCCTCTATACTCACTGTAGTTGGCACCCATGACTGCGGCTTGAGGTAATCCTCAACCTGAGTATTGCCCAATGCAAGACCTCGCCGATATATCAAGTCCCGGGCTTGCTGCACCTTGGACTGACGCTCGGAGTCATCAATCCGTGCCCCTTCAGCACGCTCAACCCAATCACGTTTGGTTCCTAAGCGGGGTATATGGTCCTTTGGCATAGTACAGAATGGACATGGACAGCCACCGAAGTCCCGAACTGTGGCAATCAGTACTCTAGCAGCTCTATAGTTAGCAATGTGTTGCTGACGTGAACTGATTGCACTTACTTTTCAGGATAATCTGCCGAGTATGTGAAAATGCGTGGGTAGAGCCGGCGCCATTGACCATCGCTGCATTGCACCACAATACCATGTTCATATGCGTGCAAAAACTCGTCATTGAGAATGAGACCCCATGAGGCATGGAAGAGCTCCCGGCGGCAGTGTGCTAGGAGAGGGGCTGAAGCTGAACGGCCTTGGTTTCGGATATGGTCCGTGATAGAGTCAGGTAGCTAACAAAATCATAATCCACGATATCAGCCAAAACTTTCTCCAGACGCTTGACAGGGATTGCTCACGGAAGGCAGATAGGCCACACATCGTGCAGCATGCGAGGACGGCCGCCCGCGCTCGTACTTGCACTGATTAGCAAAGTAGACGTAGATAGGCCACAATTTGGCTTGACCAAACTGTGCAACATGAGTAGCGTCCGACCATAGCATGATGCCAGCCACGGCACGGGGAAGACTGCACCCAGGCTCTGGCAGTGATTCCTGGAGTTTGCGATCAGCATCGAGGAAGGCGTCAGCAGTGAAAGCGTCTTGATAAACGCGTTCAGGAGGCCGTTCAGGGCTGGATTGATGGAAGAGTTTGAATGGGTGATAATGGAAAGACTTGGACGGAGTCTGTGTAAAAACCTCTCGGATGATGGTACATAGGCTACGGTGATGGAAGTTCGGTACGGTGAAACGGAATGTGCCCGGAGGAGGGGCGTCAGGGTCCTCCTCTCCATAACGCCGCGCAGTTTGTCGATCGTTGTTCCGCTGGCGTTCTGTTGCCTTGGTAAGTTTCTCGCCAGTGGGGATGTCGATGGTGACTGAGGCCTTGGACCACCCGGTGCCCTCGCCAGGGGAGGTAGCCATCGTAGCAATGTCAGTGTCCAGTTGGTCGAAGTTGACTCCTCGGAGATCATCCGGTTGAAATGAAGGGTTAAGAAGGACCTGTTCAATTAGATCCTTGCGGTCTGCCTTTGACTTGTTACCTCCGCGCAGCCAGAACCATGCATTCAGCAGATAGGCGCTGAGGTTCGGATATGGATAGATTACGTCTGCAATGGACCTTGCACCGCCCGCCGGGGCAGCGTCTGAGGCAGCTGAGTCTCCTCGAAAGATATCAAACGAAGCGTCTGCATCAGGCACAGATGTGGGCCGCCCACAGTATTGACGAAAGAGGCCAAAAGCATTGGCAAAGGTACGGAAAGTCTCAGTAGCTGGCTGTGGACGGATATCCTGAGGACTCGGCGCTGGCTCTGTTTCACGCCGGTGGGTCGGCTCAGCCTCAGATAGGGGACCAGGACCCTCCGGAAGAGCGTCTTCAACTATCTCGCGCATCCTACGGCTTGGTTTTCGGACGCGTTTGCCTAGGAGTTCTGAAGCTGCACCCGCTGCTGCAGAAGGAGGCATCGCAGACGCCATTTCGGGGGAGAGCACAGGTGCAAGCGGGGACACAGGTCGCAGAGTCAATGGAGATACTGGCCGTGGAGGACTCAGAGGCAAAGGAGGCGATGACACAGGTGCAGCAGAGGGTAGGGAGCTGGGTTCTGACGGAGTGGTGGGTGTACTGAAGAATGGGTGTGGCTGGTCCATGCACAAATCGGCACTGCTCAGGTCTGGTTCATCAAGGCTTCCCCACCAGGCGTCATTTAATGACGAAGCCTGGTCAACTAGAGCTGAGGGTCCGGGCTATATGATAGTCGCTTGCACTGAGATACCAACTGTATAACAGTAGTAGTGTTAACGCACCTCCGGAGTAGTACGAGCACCAGCGCACTCCATTCCGACCTGCGTCTCTGCCTGTGGCCGCACCTCCTGTGTACTCGGCTGTGGGCGGATGTTGGGACCACCTCTCAGCAGTGGATTGAAGCGAGCATGAGCGCTGCGGCGTGAAGGATTGCCCCGATTCTGCGCTTCCTTGCCTTTGGAGGCGCTGACAGCACTCAGCCGTGCTTTCTTGCGCGTCTCGAAAGTAGGTACTCCGCCCACTCGTTCCCAGGTCCTTGAAGAGTGCTGAAGTGCCTTCTCGCAGGAGCCAAGGTGTGCCAAGTAGCCTTGCTCGGTAGCCAAACGCGTCCCGCAGACACATTTTGTGTTTGATGGTGGCATGCCGAGTCATGAAGTGCAACACCAACGATAGACAGGCACAGACGTTCGCGGTACGATGAAGGGCGGCGTTTGCCCTCGGTGGGACGTACAGGGAGCAGCACTGGCAGCGCTGTGGGTGGTAAATGGCGGCGGCGGGCTGAGGAGGGTGTTGCCCACAGCAGCGGGGAAGCGTGCTACTAGTAGTGACTGTAGGAGCTGACGGAGAGAGCTTACCATACCAGTATCCCTTAGCTTAGTGTCTCCGGCGAGGTGTGCAGTCTGTAATCGTTCAAAATCGATTGGTATTGGTTGTAGGGGACAACAATCCAGCGTCTCATGCACGACCGGTACAATATCAACAAAGGAGTCGGTTGGTCTCACAACCACGCATAACCTAGCTGCAAGTGTTCCCACGTCGTGCTATTCCCACAACCGCTCGTAATCCCTCAGGGAATTTGCTGATGGAGAATCCTCTTGTGCGGAGGTCTACTCAAGACCTTTTTTCAAAAATTTGCCTCCATCAACACTAGATCTAGCTCTAACTTCATCGACGTCCATCCTTCACCTCCTAACACTGAGGACTCTTGGACTCCAGATGGTTGCTGGTGGCTGTATCTTTCTCGCAGAGAGGCCTGTTGGCTTAGCACTCAACCATCGGCATCTGGTTGATCACACATATCGGGCACAATTTTTTGTCGAACCCGTATGTGTCGGTTTTGCACTCATGGCGCATGACTTCATTCTCCATGATCTAAAGATGAGCGCACAGATCACCGTCAGACAGCCCTCTCCGACCCCAACGGGTCAAAGGTGGTCTCTCGTTGGCTAGCAACATCCTTGACGCGCCTGGGGATCATCAAAGCTGTACCAAACGCCTCACCTCGGTTCCTTGAATGGCCGCCTGACGCAGGCGGTTCTCTTGCTACTGTGTTTATGGGTTGAACGCGCGAAAGGCACTCACACTTCCTCCGTTGTCTGCTCCGATCACGACGAACCTGTCGTCCTGTACTCACGAGAACGCGACTACGATTGGCCTCTTTCCAGCGTCTAGTGATGTATAGTGCCCATATCCCTCTATCCCGTCCGAACGTAGCGGATATGGCGATATCATGCGGGGCTCTGCATATGCTCATGGACACTGGACGAGAATAGAGGGAGTTCATTTGCCCCAACTTGATGGGTACCTGCCGTTCGTGGTTACTTGATCTAGCATAAAAGCTCGAGATTGGCCTCTGTGATTTCCCAAGAGTTCAACTTGGCTCCTTCTCGCTACCTGCGCCATAAACTGGCAGTATCACTTTACAAAGCCATGTCGACCAACGCTGACGTCGAATCCCTCATCTCGCTCATCTCGTCATCCGCCCGCGTTGCCGCTGCTGAATGGCAGAGGACAGGAACGGACGTTCCTCCTCTATCAGAGGCAGTGACGCACCCGATCGACACCGCAACGGACGTCGTCGCCCTACAGCAGGCACTGCGCACACTTGAAGGCGCATGCGAGCATCTTACAACGTTGTTAAGTCCGCCTGGATCCGTCATTTTTCGGGTATGCTGAGATTTATACTTAACACCAGTGTTGAGTGTTGACGAGTGACAATGCACAGCGTACGTTCAACCCCGACACTCATCTCCTCCGCATCGCGGTGGAGCACAAGGTCCCCGACATTCTCGCGAAGCACCCCAATGGCCTTTCTCTCACCGAGCTCTCGAAGATTGTGAACGTCCCCGAGCTGAAGTTGGGCCAGATCATGCGTGGGCTAGCTACCCGTCATGTGTTCGTTGAAGGTGAGATAGGCGCCCTACTATCCTAACGCAATGGTAACGTTGCGTCTCAGTCAACACCGATATCTTTGCGAACAATCGCCTCTCCCACTCGATACGATCCTACCTGCCTAACGGTCTGTATGCCTTGGCAAGCCGCGGTTTGAACGAGACTCAGAGTGCAGGCTCGAACTTGTACGAGTCACTTTGTGATGAATCGTGCGGCCCATCGTTCGAAGCCAAGGACAGCCCGTTCATGCACATGGCCCGCAAAGATGGGTTCGAAGGCAATGGCGTCTTTGGATGGCTCGAGGCCAATGTGAGTCCCTCGTGCCAGACTTGTTTATGTTGCGGCTAATTGAACAATACCTCACAGCCAGCGAGGCGTGAAAACTACGCAATCGCAATGATCGGTATGGGGTACAGTTGCGGTGGTCTCAATGTCCTGCATGGTGCTTTACCTATCTTGTTTGTGTACAGTTTCGACTGATTAACTTCTAGCATTCCCATGGCAAAACTACACCTCTGTGTGCGACATCGGCGGCAGTGTCGGCACTGTCTCGATGCCGCTCGCACGAAAGTATCCTCATTTGAGAATCACGATTCAGGACCGTGAGGAGGTCACTCAGCACACAATCGACGTGAGTAGCTCGTTGAACTACAGTCTGATCAGCATGCCAACGTGTAGCCTACATGACCAACAGCATTGGGCATCCAACTACCCAGAAGCTGTCGCAGAGAACCGCGCTCACTTCGTCCCTATCGACTTTTTGACAGGCGCTCCCGTGGAAGGATGTGATCTCTACTACGTCAGTCGCACTCCCCCAAGCCTTGTAAATGAGATGACTCCCGATATTGATGATACTGTACGTGATCATACAGATGCGTTTCATCCTACACGACTGGCCTCAATCCGACGCCCAAATCATCGTGAACAATGTCCGCAAGGCGATGTCACCCAAGAGCCGCCTGCTCATCCGTCAGTCTACTACCCTGCTTCTCTGCTCCCCCTCCCGGAATCTAATGAAGTTTCTCCGTCTCAGACGACTACATGATCACTCCCCTCGACCGCAAGTCCGGTCTCGTCGAGGCGCGCGAGCACGGTATCGAGCCTGCACCCGAGCCGCTGCTGCCCAACTACGGCGCGGGACGCGCTCGGGCGCATTGCATGGACATCGGCATGCTGCTGCAGTACAACGCGAAAGAGCGCTCGCTGACCGAGTTTTTGGAGCTTGCGTGCGTGCCTATTCTAGTCATATTGCCTGTGCATGACCGACGTGCCAACGATTTTTTTTTACAATTGTACAGGACAAACGCAGGTCTTAAGTTTGAAAAGCATTGGGATCTCGCTGAGACATCAATGCTGGAGTTCAGTATCGCTTGATAGACTGTGCTGTGGATGATCTCGTGGGTTGTATATTCAAACTGTAAATAGCGCATTATTTCACCGTGTCTTCGTTGCATACGTTCTTGGATTCAGGAAAGAGAACTTTTGTCTTGGATAAATCACCAAAATGTGCGCTGCCCGTGGCGACATCGAGGTCCAAAGATGAGGTAATCGACTGAGACAAATGAAATTCGCTACTTGCGTTTTGAGGGGATGCACAAGCAGGTGGAAACATCTTCCGTGGAACTGGTATCACCACGATGTGTAGGCTGGTCTGGTGCTGGAGGCTGGTTGGCGTTCTCATCATCGTTTTCTTCATCGTTGGATTCTGTATCTGCTTCGTCACCCTCTGGGTCCACAACTCCAGCAAGGCGCTGAACAAGCCAGACATTTGAGCACTCAAATGGATACATAGCAGAGTAAAGCGCACCTCTTTTGCCCGAGCGACCGGTACTGACACCATGCGGCGTAAACTTAGCGAACGCTTATTGCCCTCATTTGTGGAGGAATTTCGGCTGGTGATTCTCTTGAACAGGGATTTCATCCCGCGAGTACCGCGTGTATGGCGTTGCGCCAATGGTTCGGTCTTTCCTGGGCGAGAGGAATCTCGGACGACGTTTGATTGGCGTGCATCATGGTCATGATCGCGGCGCGGTCTACGCCTTTGGGTCGTTGCGGGGAGCTTGAAACTTTCTACACTTTCGTGTGCTCCAGCCTTGATAATACATGACCATGCGCATGAGACATGCTACGCCTTCGATGTGGTAAAAATACTGACCTCACGTCGGGTGGATTTTCCTTGATCTTTTGCAGATTCTTCGTCGCTATTGTCCATTGACTACTCATAACGTTAGGCGAATGCGGTTGACGTTCACTGGATGATACATACCTTCCCTAGTAACAGCTTTCCACTCTCTGTTTCCCAAATTCTGATGCATCCTGATTGCGTCGCACTCGCAATCCTCGTGCCATCAGGAGAGAAAGAAGCCGCACGGATGTCGCGGTCATGCTTAAGCGAACGGAGAACTTCACCAGATTCTGCGTCGCAGATACGAACATGATTGTCATCGCATGCAGTGAGGAAAACAAGTCCATCGGAAGAGTACTGCACGCAGTTCACGCGGCGGTCGTGGTTTACTGCAAGCACCTCTTCGCCACTGGGAAAACACCATATTCGCGCTGCGTTGTCGGACGATGCTGCAAGTATACGAGAGCCATCAGGGTGAAAGGAAAGAGATAATATGTTTGCTTCATCGGGAATTTGAACGTGTGAAGCCAAGGAAGACTCGGAGCCGGAGTCGACGTGCCAGAATCGAATTGCCCCGCCGTTCGACCCGCTCGCCAGAGTTAAGCCGTCAGGACTTAGGCTGAGTGCGATAACAGGCTTCTCGTGCTCAATAGCACGAAGAAAGCGCCCATTGTGTACGTTCCAGAAGCATACAGTGCGATCTCGACTTGCAGTGATAAGAAGGTTGTTGTCGGGGGTAAGCAGGACAGCGGTGACTGTTTCGGTGTGACGCTCGATAGGAGGCATGGCGAGCTCTCCGGAGTCCGTCTTCCAGACGCAGACCGTGGTGGCAGCGGAGACCAAGGTCGAGCCATCGCAGGAGATGGCAATGGAAGTGATAGTATCTAGGTGGTTGACGAAGGGGTCTTGCAACTCGAATCCGTGTTCAGGGCTTGTGATATTCCAGGTTTTGACTAGGAGGTCGTCACCTGCTGTTGCAAACCTCTTGCCATCGGGATACCACGCCAGTGCACGGACTCCGTACACCGTAGTCAATCTGCGAACTTGTCAGTTGCAGCATCCTGTTCGAGAAGAAAGCGAATAAATATCTATTTACAGCTCTCCTCTCTTAGGCTTATAGTCGTCACCCTGAGTAAAGTGTTGGGTTAGACGGTATGTCATAATACACTAAATTACATGCCTTAGGAAGGATAAGCTCTCCTGAAAGTGCGTCGCGGACAAACAGTTTGCCTTTACTCCCGCCAAGCACAACACGCAGTCCATCAGGGGACATGGAGACACTCCACAGGCAGACCTTGCTGTAAATGGGCCCCCAGAAGTACCTTCCAGTTGAGAGATCCCATGCACGCACACTTCTGTCGTCCGAAGCGCTCACGAGCTTTTGGCCGTCAGGAGAGAAACAGATACCTCTGACAGGAAGTGTATGTCCTTTCAGAGGTCCGAGAACAAGGGTGCCAGTATGAGCGTTCCAGATGCGGATTGTACAGTCCCTTCCTCCGCTCGCCAGCATCTCTCCATCCTCAGAGTAAATGACAGACCACACAGACCCTATGTGTCCAGCGAGAGGCTCCAACGCAGGCTTCATCTCCTTCAGGTCCCAGATACGGACGAGGCCGTCGCTGCAAGTAGTTGCGACGTGCTTGCCGCTGGGTGCAAACGAGAGACCGGTGACAATATGTGGGTGCTTCAGCGTCCCAACACACTCTCCCGACTCTGCGTTCCAGAGTCGAACGGTATGGTCCCGCGACCCGCTTGCAATAAGATCGCCCAGCGGAGAGTATCGCACAGCCCATACGCGAGCTGAGTGCCCTTCAAGTGGGCCCAACACTATGTCGTGGGTCGTGACGTCCCATACCGTGACGGTATCGTCGTCGTCTCCACTGACGAGGCGCGTTCCTTCGGGAGAGATGGCTAAAGAGAAGACTGTGTCTGTGTTTCCTTCCAGGGCCTTTCCGATCTGATGGCCAGTCTTTGAATCCCACATCCTGATTGTCTCGTCCTCCGAGCAGGAGGCGAACCATGAGCCGTCAGGAGCATACGCGACCGAACAGATATTGTAGGACTTTGAGTGACCTTTCAGAGGCTGACGAGAAACAGCGCCCGCCTCCGAGCTTGAGTCAGAGTCCGACGAAGACATCAGCTCGAGATCTGTTGTGAGTAAGATTTGAGCCGCCGTCTAAGAATGAGCAATCATGGCTGTCGTGTTGATAAGAAAGACAACTCACCCTAGCGGTCGTCGTGAGACTTCAAGCTTCAGTTCTAGCCTCACAACGCAACCGTGACACGCATGGCGCGCACAGGATGCCTCGAGGCACCAAATATTCTCACGAGCCTACAAAACTGTAGCGAGCTAAGGGCAGGCTTGTCCACTTCGGCCTCCAAGCCTACTTGGGGACGACTGTACACCCGACCATGTAGGCATTTTTGTCGCACCGAAAAGCATATCGGTTCCTCAACAGCGCTTAGTCTCCTTGGGGAGCTTGCATGGAGTATTCTACAAGGTGTATGTTCATTGTCATGCACACCCACGGCTTCGCACGATTCCGAATCCGAGCCTGTTCTGGCGATATGTTATCTGTCAACTTCTTCTCTCGCCTTCTGAGCACCATATACTTCTTCAACTCCGTGACAGCTATCTTCTGAATCTAGTGCGTCTTGCTTTGCCGAAGAAAAAAAATATCTTTAGAGATGTAGTGAACTTGAAGCACGATCGGGTTCGGCCCGCATAACCAGAGAAGTCCGAAGGCACGCACGGTTGTGAGTGTACAGATTATATTCAGAACCATATCAGCCTCTCCGTCCATGGAACCAACATGGAACGTGTATGTTTGGGGTTGCGCCGTCTCACGTTTCATCTCAGTTGCGGAGTGCGTTGAAAGTGCTGTTCAAAACAGTACTAATAGATCGACCATAACGGACGTCTTCGATTTGAGCCAAGGACAGCTACGAACTTGCGACCTCCACCCAAACACAAACGAGGATCATTGTCTGGTCCAGCGAGAGATGCCGAAGCAAGGTCAGGTGTGAGGTGAATCATTGTTTTACCCCGGCTACCGTGTGGACATTGACATCTCATCAAACTAAAGCCTCCGGTGGCACATCAGAACATACTCTATCAGACAGCGCATTAACGTCCATCATCCCATCAAACCGGCGACACAAACCATCTATCCCACCTATAAAGACTTTTCATGGCTAATCTCTCCTTTGCGCCCGCTGTTTGCCAGCCAGTCCTATTTCATCCTTCGACCTTCCTCCGTTCTCTATCTTTTCCCGTTTGCAGCTCGCAGTTCATCCAGCGCCATGTCAGGAAACGTCGATGTCGATACGCTCCTCGCCTTGATTAACTCCTCTGCGACTGCCGCAGTCGCCGAATGGCAGAAGAAAGGGCAGGATGTCCCGCCTCTCTCTGCGCCGGAGACGCACCCGATCGACACCGCGACAGACGTTGTCGCGCTCAAGAAGGCACTGCGCGTACTCGAGGGTGCGTGTGAGCACCTCACCACGTTGCTCAGCCCCAACGGCCAGACAATCTACCAGGTATGCCCTTCATCTACTTCTATTCCGTATACCCGTTGACCGACGCTTGGTCGGTAGCGATCGTACAACATGGACACGCATATGCTCCGCGTGACGGTCGAGCGCAAGGTCCCCGACATCCTCGCCAAGTACCCCGAAGGACTCCACGTCACAGAGCTATCCGAGATGATCGACATTCCCGAAGTCAAGCTCGGGCAGATCATGCGCGCCAACGCCATGCGTCACATCTTCCTTGAAGGTGCGCGCCTCATTCTCCTCCACTCCACCTCTCTTGAATACTTCCTTTCATACTCACTCCCCCCTGAAGTCGACACCAACGTCTTCGCCAACAGTCGTCTTTCGCACTCCATGCGGTCCGACCTCCCCAATGGCTTCGGCGCCATCGCGTCCCGTGGGCTGTGCGAGACGCAGCGCGCCGGCGCACTCCTCTCGGAGTCCCTCGCCGATCCCGAGTACGGTCCGTCATTCGAGGCGAGCCAGAGCGCCTTTATGTACTACGCTCGCAAACAGCAAGGGTTCCAGGGCAAGGCGGTGTTCGAGTGGCTTCAGGCGAACGTACGTGTTTACTCCAATCATGCTCATGATATGGGATCGCTGATATACCAGTATTGCGATGCGCAGCCGGAAAGGAGGGAGAACTTTGCGATCGCAATGGTGGGTATGGGATACAGCTTGGGTGGACTCACGGTTCTCCACGGTGAGCACGGACTTGAGGGTTTCGCCTTCTTTCTTGGTGCCTTGTTGCTTATTCGAGCGTCAAGCCTTCCCATGGCAGAACTATACGTCCGTCTGCGATATTGGCGCTGGCGTCGGCACCGTTGCGCTGCACCTCGCACGCAAGTTCCCGAACCTCAAGATTACGCTGCAGGATCGCGAGGAAGTCGTCGGCCATGCTATTGATGTGCGCCAATTCACTCATAGTCGCACTCGCATTGATTGACGCTCATTAATCTAATTTGGGACATGATTAGCATTGGGCTAAGGCATATCCCGAAGCCGTATCAGAGAAACGAGTCGACTTTGTCCCGATAGATTTCCTCGTTGGCACGCCGATCGAGGGCTGCGAGTTGTACTACGTGTGTGCCACCTTCTTCGTGACCTTCCTTCACATATTGAAGATCAAAAACACAGCTTCGCTTCATTCTCCACGACTGGCCCGACTCAGACGCGCAATTGATCCTTAACAACGTGCGCAAGACCATGGGTCCCAACAGCCGTCTTCTTCTCCGTGCGTACTACCACCGCCCTTGCTGTTGGTCTCTAGGCTGAATCGTTTGATGGTAGATGACTACGTTGTCCAGCACCTCGACCGCAAGTCCGGTCTGGGCGAGTCAAGCACGTACGGCGTTGAACCCGCGCCCGAGCCTTTGCTGCCCACGTTCGGCGCGGGCCGGGCACGCGCACATTACATGGACATCAGTATGCAGCTGCAGTTCAACGCAAAGGAGCGGTCGCTGGGCGAGGTGTTGGCTCTTGCGTGAGTGTCACTGTGCGGTCAACATCTGCTTGGATTATTGACTGAAGGAGATTTTCAGGTCGAGCGCCGGCTTCAAGTTTGAGAAGTACTGGGATCTGGCGGAGACGTCGATGGTGGAGTTCAGCCCAGCTTAGAAGAATCAAACACTTTCATCGTTTGGAATATTGAAACAACGTTAACGGATTGTAAATTATACCTGTATAGAGGGCTCGCGTACCTATTATGTATGTATTTCGATTAAACCTGATTCCTGAATGTAGTTGCAGTGCTCCGCATTACTACTTGCCTTGTACCTGTCTAAGTCTTTGAAGCGTTAAACGCTACTCGCTCTGCCATCTTCAACACGTCCCCAAGCGTATCAAGCATTACACCAAACCTAGTCTAAGATGTACCGGTACATCTTAAAAAGCTCACACTGGCCAAAATGGACTAGAACGCAACGACTAGTATTCTTAACCAGCCCATCAAACAACTCAGTGAGCCCTGGTTTCAGCCCATGTTTACGCTCCCCATCGATGTTCACGTCGACAACCAACGCCTTCTCAATCTCCAAAGGTTATCTTCTCCATCCAATGCTTACCAGTTATACCACCGCAAGCCGTCCGCGGCTCGGGAGCACGTCAGACGTTCCCTGCTGTGCCGCTGCGTTACCTACTCCATCATATGCAGCAGCCTCGGAGCACCTTGCCGCCCGCAGTCTGCTCAAATTCGACGCGGAGCCCCAAGACGGAAGAAGATGCGCTCGCGCAAGTATATTGGAGGTAGTTAGCGTCCTTCGCGAATGTAATGGTGACTCGTGCTACTGGTTTGCATGTTCCTCGATATAATGTGCCATCGTCCATCTTGTTTCCCATTCACCGTGTTCCAGCCGCTCCCGCAACCGCGTTAAAGCTTGTTCGTCAAATCGTTCTCGCAGGATCTTGCCGTGTTCATGCTTCAGACGAACCAGCACGGTCGCGAGATGAAGCGCGGAAAGCGGGTTCGTGAGGTCAAACACCATGGCATTGCGTTCCACAATTTTGATCCGCTGCGGTACGGCGATTAGAGGGAAATGAATGTGTAGGGCGAGATCAACAGAGGATACTAAAATGTTAATATGGTAATGACCAACCTGAAACCCGCCATACACCTCAGCCCAAGCACACGTAATTACCCCGCGACAACCGTTCGTCACCAGGCTGAAAAGTGGCACACCAGAGAGTCCCAATGCGGCATAGTATGCGGCGGTGGCTGTCGCAGACATCCTATGCTTGTGCGAACCGACTGCAGAGAGAATTCGCTCAGGAGGGGTATGATTGACCAGCAGCAGAGGTATCTCAAGTGCGAGGCCGTCCACCATGTCTGACACGTCAGCGTCGTCGCAAGCAATATCAAGAGGAGGGAGATCAGGTGGGCTCGAAACATTTGCTCGCTCCAGCCTGCTATCTGGGACTGTAGGCCTATCGGTGGGCTTCGGGCAAGAAAAGAGGGTCTCGTACGCCAAAGACTCCGTCGCCTCTGGCGAGACCCCTGCGGAGCAAATGTTTGCGCTAAAAACGTCGAAAGTGAAGGCAAGTTGTGGATGATCGGAGGTGAGATCACACATGCCATGGTAGAATGCGGTGCTCGAACGTGCCGCGATTACCGAAGGGCTCCTTTGCAGTAGAGAAAATGATCTCGCAGCATGATACAACGCTAGTGACATGCCCCTTTCCACAAAGCCAGGCACCGAAACGGCGACTACAACATCGCAAACAGCATCGACGGGATCGCTCTTCGCGAGACTCATGAGAGCTTCAACTTCGTCTCGGCGATTGTCACTGAGACCTAGGTGAAGTAGCGAGGCCGCAGCATCAAGCGCCTGGTTCTGTGCGATTTCACTAGGATGGAGGGCTGCAATTGCGTCAAAGTACCGAACACCGCACTCTCCGCTTTGTTGGATGGTAAACTTGGCCAAGAGACGCCAATCGTGTTCTGCAAAGCGGTCTGACAAAGCGTTTCTTGGTAGTGCAATGGACGGTGAATTCCTGAGTTGAGGTGATGAGTAAGGGCACGAAGGTATAGCTATGAAAAGAACGCTGAGACTACATACAATGTATTCAAGGATTCTCCGATAGTCAGTGTCCTGACAAGGCTGTCCCAGATATGAGCACAGGCTATGGGGGTCCCATAGCGGCTCGCGACTTCGCTTTGTAACCGTGCTTGCTGGCAGGTTGCCACAATGTACTCCAAGTTGAGATGGACATCGGCAGCAGAGCAGCCCGTGATCGGTTCTGGATGTATATGGGAACAAAATGTCGCTTTAATAGTCAGGAGTTCCTCCCATAGCCCACGCAGTATGCTAGGTATGGCCATTTCGGCTCCCTGAAAGAAATGAGATAAGCCCAGGGGCCTTGTCAAATGATATAGAAGATGTACGTACAGGGCAGTCCCAGCTATCGTCCCAGACAAAACAAGTATACAAAGAGTACTCCGAGGGCACGCCTCCTAACTGGGTTAGAGGGAGAGTCGGCCGTAAGGTTGAAAACCGATTCCATAGCCATTGTCTCATGGGTGTAAAGGCTTTGTCAATGCATGAAGCTCCGGAGATGACGCTGAACCACGAATGAGCTTGGCAATGAAAACGTAGGCAGAGGGACTTACTCCAAATACGAATATTTGCGGCTGGATTCATCGCCTTGCGAGCTGAATAAAAAAAAGATTCAGGGAGAATAACTCGAGCTGACCTTTCAACCTCTTCTCCAATGTCGGCATGCTCAGAGGAGGCAGCGGGAATTACTTGAGGTGGTCCATCGGTTTCGTCTTCAGCGTCGACATCCTCCTCAGAGACCAAGGGTTCTGAATCGCTGTTTTAAGAAATCCGATGAACCAATTTCCCGTGTTCACTGCTAGCGTAGATAAAACTTACATTTCAAAAGTGGATGCACTCTGTACCCATTCTTCAACGAAGTTCAAAGTACCCTCCGGCTTTTCTTGTATCTCATCATCACTGGCGAAGTCAAATCGCCATTTCGGCCAAGGTTCTCTGTTTGATACACTCGGTCGGACCTGTGCTGTCTTCTCCATAGCGACCGAGAGATATCGCCTGAAAGCATGTGCCGACGCAGACGAGCTCAGGTCGAACCAACCTGAGGTTAGACTAGGGGACCCTGACACGTTTCTCGTGATATTGACCGCTGGCTATGCAAGGATCGGATCAGCGGTCGAATCAGAAATGAGCGCTGAGCGCGTTTGCTCGTAACTGGGAGACAACACATACCAAGTCGTTTGACGTTGTTACATCCGGCCAAGCCACGATCACTTGTACGACAAACGGCTGAGGTGAGAACGCCAGACATATCATCGGTTCTCTTATTCCCCAGACGAGGCGTTGGTACACCGAGCTTTCAAGTAATGCTATGGCGACAGAGTCTTCTGATACGCATAACAGAGGAATGGTAGCAGGGAATTCGCGATAGTCCGCGAATAACGACCGCTGAGATCCTGTGTTTGTGTTTGCAAGAGGTTCCCAGCATTTATCGAGAGGGGAAGACAAAGGATGTGACCGGGATGACTCTTCTGAAAGCGCGAATGAGCACTGCGTTTCATGATCGGAAATTTCTAATGGCCTGTTGGATCCTGAGCCCTCGGGATTGCTAATGTCTCTCCCAGTGGTACGATCCTGTATCGTGTTGACCAGTTGTAGAGCAGGATGGGGGACGTACTGACCTCGGTGTCCGTGTATACGGAGGAATCGCAACCGTCTGGCGCCGATGCAGCTGGTGCGTATGGTTTCCCACGCCGAATATGCTGCATTACCAACATTTTTGCGGTATGTGCCAGGGGATAGTAAAGGGCAAAATCAGCGTAGTCCGAGCGAGGGGGTCGTGATGTTGCAAAAGACGCATTCTCTCTGTATAGTCGGGTTAGTTAAAGGCGATGGCTGGTTAGATAACTCGATGACTGACATAGTGAACGAGTTTGGTGCGGATGTCCGCGCAGCATAGGTGACTAGGCACTCAAGTGATACTGGATTATCTAGATTTGTAGCGTATGGTCCATTTGAATCCATAGGAGACCTGTTTCCATCCTAAAAGCGTTGACATGCATGAAGAAGTCTGATGAATCCGGACGAGTACCCACTTGCAAGCTAGATTGCAATGTGCTCGGCAGCAAGCATTTTACCGATGCTGGAAAAGTTGATGCATCAGAAATGGAGTGATAGACAATGTTGGAGATTTGTGAGCCAAGAGACATTCCCGCTGCCTTGGGTGCTGGGCCTTATCGACTTGTTACCGAGACACCCGCAAAGAAGTCGATGTTGGCGACGTTGGTCAAATGTTTTGGACACGCTTATTTCTGGCTTCCGCCTATAACCCCGACAGTCATTTCATCCTGAGATTATAAACTCCGCCTCCACCTCCGCTGTGCCAATTGGTGCCGATTCGCATACCATCATGGAACTACAATACACGCATATAGTCGCCAAATAATCGCGTTCAAATTAGTTCGACCGCATGGCGGCCTTGTCTAAAACCTACATTTTAGAAACCTAAGAGAGACCAAAACCATTGTTAACTTCCCAGTGTGCTTTCCTCGGCATGCTTGAATCTGTGATGAAGTTGTTATAAGAGGCAGTGGTCTGACATCGGTTTTCCCTTGTTCTCCGACCCACTAGTAGCATGCGACATGCTCATTGTAGGTCGCTATAGACCGTATCAACGCCTGGTTTATCCAAGGCCGGCAGAAAGTCGACACTTAGCAAGAGGGATCCTAGTTTCCCATCGCGACGATCAGTTGTAGGCGCCGATGGTGTCATGTTTGGCTACTACGCCACGATGTGTTGATAAACCAACTTCCTGAGTCCCACCGCGTCAGGACTCGCTCTTTCATTCTCCTTTACTCTCCTATTATCCGACACCCATGTCTTCCCAGGATATTCATTCTGATAAAAGCTCTGTTGATGGAAGCTTACAAGGTGATTACAATGCTGGTGTCTGTCAGATTTACGTCTAGTATTCGACCCTTTACGGCTTTATTGGTTCATCCAGAAGCCTCCTACACGGCGATGTTCCTCCTAGAGGTCTACAAGTAAACATCGCCTTCATACGTCTATTCAGGCGCTTAGTATCCCAGCGGTACCTTAAGCGCTTACGCACTCGTGTGGCTCCGCGTTCATCGCATAGGGCCACGTTCTGCTTACGTAGCCGTCCTGCATTACCGCGGGACTTGGACTATATAGTAGTTACGAATACGGTAGTGACTTCACACGCTCCTGTCATATATATACAGTCGCTACCATGAATATCATCTAAGTCTTCTCTCTCCACCGAACGACTACCATCGTCAGCTATCAGCCTTACCCGCTACTACTCAACCTTCAACACTAACTGCCCGGTGAGTCTGCGCTTTCATAGACATCCTAGCTATACTCGCGTCAGTCCTTTGTCAGTGTCGAGAGTCTATTAGACGCGAGGTGGTCTCGGAGGCACTGCTCTGCATCCAATGCTCTAGACACGATGGCGCCGAACGATGCTCACAGCATGCTTCAGATCTCAACACCGCGCAACCTCAAGTCGCAGAGGCGACAACGTCAAGCTCAGAGCACCCGACGCTTAACGCTCGAGTGGACGACTCGGAAAGCACTTCCGGATCTACGCTAGTCGAGGAGCCAAGGTCTCAGAATGCGGCATCAGAGGCAACCTCGTGGGTTCATTTCTGCTTGGACGCCGGTCTGTAAATTCACAGCAGCGTATCACCTCCTTAGCTCGGCGCCACCACGCCAGTCGGCATTCAACCCCCTCGACTACATGATTTCATCGCAGTCGAACCCGCCGCCTCCGCCGAAAACGGTGGACCCCATGTGGATCCTCTGCCGACCTTCCGCGGGCTTGCGCAACTATCCCAACAACAAGTGAAAGATGAAGTTGTAACGCGTTAAGTGCATAGTAAGCAGACTGGTGGTACTAGGTAATCCTCTCGCAATTCCTGCAGATGTACATGTAGGGGGCGTTCCAGGTCACTACAAAATTCTTCACAAGTTGGCGTAGATAAGAGTAAGGCTCTTGTGACTCAATGCTTGAGCGAAAGCACTCTAAATGACATGCACAATGTTGGTTGTGCTGATGGATATGCACCCTCAAAAATCCACTATAATAATACATGCGAGTTTTGTATCATTTACTGTTCTTTTACACGGTGCAGCATGTGTACATTACGACTGTTCTGTGAGTGACAAGACCACTCTGTTCTGAGCTTACGTAAAGTTCCGAGCATGCCTTGCATCTGCCTACGTCTCCCAAGGATTCACGACGAACTTGACCCCACTCGCTCCGCCTGCTTGCAGCCTCTTCAACGCGGCGGGTATCGCACCGAGTCCTCCCGATATAAGCTCGGGTGTACCAGTCTATGCCCACCACCACATGAGCATACATCCGCTCTACGGTTGGAGGGACTGCCACAAACCTTGAGTTCGCCACTCTCAAACAACCCACTCAACACCTTCATAAGCCCTGAGACCAGCTCCTGGTTATAGTCCCCATCGATATTCCCGATGACAAATACCACCTCCTTCTCCTCCGCTTTCGCCTTGTCCTCGGCAATGTTGGATGGCAACACGGTTGCGAGTTGTCCTCCCGGAGCAAGCGCGTCAAATGCCGCCTGCTGCGTCGCTGCGTCTCCCACCGCGTCGTATGCAACGTTGAGCGCTTTGCCGCCCGTCACCTTCTCCACTTCGACACGAAGCTGCGGGGCAGAGAGTGAACGGTCAAGGATGTGCGTCGCGCCGAGAGATTGGAGGTGGCTCGAGTGCTTCGCCGAGGCAGTGGTAAGGATGAGCGAGAAGCCGGAGAGTCTGGCAAGCTGGATCGCTGTCAAACGTAAATACGCCATCGGTCAGAGTCTTCAAATAGGCTGAAAAGACGAGCGATGCCCACCAGCCTGGCCGTTCTGCGTGGAGCCACCCATGATCAGGATAGCTTCGCCCGTGTACTTCTCTCGTCCTGACGTGGTCCATGTCTCGGCAAACCCGAGCCCGTGTGGGGATTTTTGGTAGAGTCCGATGGCAGGGGTGACGAACGCGGATGGGACAGCCGCGGCCTGCTCGAAGGTGATCGAGTCTGGTACCTGCACCATGATGTGAGAAAGAGAGAACGACCAGCATAGTATGCGTCTTCAATCAACGCACCTTCATGACAATATCGGCCCTGGCGATACTGTACTGTTGGAACGTCTGCCCCTCGCCATACGACACGCTTCCGTGTGCTCTACGTTGAAATCAAGGTCAATACAGCGCATACATGCACCTAGTCCAGTGCACTCACACACGGTCTCCCTTTCTCAAACCCTCAACCCCCTTATCAACCTCCTCGACGAAACCAGCACCCTCAAAGCCGAGCACGACCGGGTACTCCTTCGGCCCCAAGAAACCCGTCGTCTGCACCTTCCAGTCGATGGGGTTCAGCGCGGAGGCGGAGTTCCGCACGAGGACCTCGCCGGCCTTGGGTGAAGGGACGGGCTTGCTTCCCAGCTGGAACTCGCCCCGCTCGGCGGGTAGAAGAAGGGCGGTTTGCGTGCGTGGGGCCATCTAAGCGATGGGTCGGGCAAAGGCAAAGAGGTGCTTGTGTTGGGAGCCCGTGTTAGGAGACGAGTCGAGTGCCATCCTATTGTTTCGTGGTGTTTTATGCGCGCTGAGACTCCATCGGCTCCGACGATGCTCGTCAACTTGAGTCAAACTTGGGGAGGTTACTAAGCTTTCGTCATTGTCTTGATAGGTCCTGACGCATAAAGGAGGCATACCGAACTATACCGAGGCGTATCTTATCCGATTTCACCGGGTATCGGCATATGCATACACGAGACTGTCGAGGTGTAAGCTCGGGGTGGCGATCGGTGGCAGATGACTCGAAGGCGCGATTGACAAGTGCGACTGAGGTGTGGGCTCAGTGACATTGGGTGGCATCCGGGCGATTGAGTATCTGTGCTGTTTTGAGTTCAGCGGGAAAAATGCAAAGGTCACAACACTCTCACAACCTGAGCCAACTTACCGCTTATTGAACGTTGCACGCATTGAAGGAGAATGTCGAGAACACCTGCGAGGCTGAAGTGAGGAGGGGGAAGGCAAGGGAAAGGCGCGTCGCGGTCACCCCCTGAACCATGGGAACTGTTACGTGCGTCGCGTCGGATGATTCTAGCAGCCATTTGTACATTTGTGGTTTGAGGTTCAACCACATGCGTACTCAATCGTCCAAACCATCGAGCGTAACAATCTGACCTTCTTCTCAGCTGACCATCATTTTAATCCTCGTCAGGTATATGGAGTTCTATAGCTCTAAAGCTGCTGACACTCTTACCGATGTCTCCTCTTTGCCTGAACTCAAGACTTTCCTTCCCTCGGCCATTAGCAACGAAAGCCAGGTATCATCTTTCCTATATTGATTGACACATTCATTTGCCATCTAAACCTGATAATGTCCAGTCAACGTTATCACAGATTTCAGAGGATCTAGTTGCAGAAGATACTGCCCCCTTGCCTGGACCAACTGCTGTATGTCATCTGGTCGCTCACGTTACGCGTGCAATCGCGTCGGACACATTCATCATATATGTGTAGCTGGTTCTCCTCATGAAACGTGCAATCTGACTTGATCCAACAGAGAAAATGCAGCCTTTGCAACAGCAAGACCTCGGAAACCACGCGCAAACGTGCTCCCTCTCGCGCAAACGGCGACCCTACTAGTGATGCACGAAACCCGACAAGGGGATAATACTCCCTCTATTTCCAAACAGTCATCGCTCTCGTCTTCCTCAAATAAACATTTACAGACAACCTGGCTGCCTCGCGCAGTAGATGATCCCGAGTCTCATCTATCACTCTTCGTGGACTACCCCAACTTTCCTCCGTCTCTTCCGGCATTATGCGTCGGGGACGAAACTATCATCGCTTCCTTGCTGACAAGCGCGGTGTATCAACGCCTCACTTGGGGAGTAAATGATCCCATCGTTGGACTCGCCTGGTCTTCAACGTCACCTGTGGTTCGGGTTTTCGTAGCTTGCCTAAGCCCAGATGCGCAAGACGACTTGGTATGTTGATCAGATCGATATCTCAACTGACCTGAGCCGCTGATACTTAATTGCTCGATTGTCACTATAAGCCTTTAGTTCATATTACTGGCAATCAGTCACAAACCCACAACCCACAAGGAGGCTGGTTTGACTTGAGTGTACCTTCGTCGAAGCGGGCATTCATACACTATCTTTCTACGGTGATTCACCGCGGGGCTAACACCTTACCTAAAACAATGCACCCTTCCCGTGAGAGAGTCTGGCTTCAATGGCGTTCAGATTTCGCCAAAGCTGAAACCGTATTGGACAAGATGGCATCTGTCGCGACTTGGACAGCACAGACGGCCTCCGCAGAAAAGTTCGTTCTCGGATTGTTTTCTATCCTTGAGCTGACTGTGCTGCTTCGTTTCATTAGTCCAGACTCATCAACGCCTGTCGATGTTTTGCAGCCTAACAAAATCACATCAACTATGTTAGTTTGATAACGTCGCAGCAAAAGCTCACTAATGACTGGTTTCAGAAGCTCACAAGATGAAGGGCTTCTTCAACGATGGTCGTGCTGGGAGTATGTCACTGCCCTCCAATGTAAGACCATGACACATAACATTATCCCCATTGCTAGCGTTGCGTCGGGTGCCTCGAACGCTGCCAAGCCTTGGGGGGCGATGCGACGGTGGCTGTGGAATCGTGTTAGCACACTGCTCTCGACTTTGCCATTACTACAGTCAATGCATATCCATCCGGCTTATGCTTCCCTCACTCGCTTTGATCGGGAGTGCACGGTGTGTCGATCCTACCATCGAAATTATTTCTAATGTTGTCGCCTAAATTGTTATTCTGTCATAGAGAGCCTTGCCCTCCGTTCCCGAAGAGTACCAAGCTCTAAGGAGCGAGCTCGTGAACGTACTTTCAGCCCAGCTTGAGGATTCACAGGCAGAGGGCCCGAGATTGAGCGAGTATGTCAGCATAGATCTCCGCAATAGCCTTGAGAAAGTTCTGGCGAGTTGTGCACAAGCAAGGCTGCAGCGCGATGATGTGATGCGTCTCGGCACTCCCGTAGCTGTTGACCACATTTGGGATGCTCTCGTATCAAGGCTGATGTACGGGAAGTCAATGAAAGTCAGGTACGCACATCTTGTTGTTCCTTAGGCGTTTGCTCAAGTGCCATCGTTGCTCAGGCATTCAGCCCCTGTCTCACTCCCCCGAAGTACGATGACCGATCGACATCAGGAGCCTGAATGGGTTGAATGGGTCCAATTTACTGCTCGCCAATTTGCGATGTATGGCTGGGAGCAAAGCAAAGCAATGGGTGCAATCGCACGTCCTGACTCTTCCACCGCCCGCCAAGCTGTTGACGCCACTAAACTGTTGGATATTTATCCTGGTCTCGCTGGTGACACCTTCAGCGAAATGGTGCCTCTCGCCAATAGCGACCCGGTCGAGGTCTTTTGCGATACAGCTGTGTCAGTTGTCCTTCCAAACTTCATCGATCATGGAGAACCCCCCCGGCACTCATGCACGCTTGTCGGTGCTTTGGTCTTTTCCCATTGGAGCCAGCTATAAGCACTCTACGAGCGCGGGGTGGAACTACCTTCTATTACGGCGCTTACGATTGCGCTCATCTAGGTCCCTCAATTGCAGCTGCCTACGATCTCTTCCACAATAACATACCTTCAGCAGGGTTGGCTGCTCAGGATCCGGACCAAGCGCCCCTAAATCTCAAACATCTCTCGATTTCATCCGCTCCTAGTATGCTAGACTTCTTCCTTGATAGCGATATGCTCTCTCGGACCAAAGTCCCTCATCCTCCACCACTGCCTCCCGTCGATCCCTGCAATGATGAAGGGCATAACACTACCACTCCTACGGGCGCAAGTTCCTCGGCAGACCCTGTGTCACTCGACCTGCCCCTCTTATTCGTAAACCACTCGCCTCCCGAGAATATCATCTCTGGCGTGGGATCACATAAACATCGTATGTGTGCTACCGCCGGCGCCGCATTTCTCGCCGCCACTGGGCTTATAGGTGTCCCCGTCTTTAGTCTAGTGACAGACGGCTGTCGTGGGGTCATTACGTGCGTGTGGGCGGAGGTCTTTGGCGGCTTCCAGGTAAGTCATCTGTCTGTTTCTGGTGATGGTTAGCAGCTAAATATTTTTAATGATGTAGAGGATCAAGATCGCGGAGAAGAACGGGGTTTTATTCGATCTCACTAATCCGCTCTCGGTGTATCACTTTGCCATGTTCGTCCTCCGTCTCAAGCATGAACATGCACGGATGCTTCGTGAGCGGTTTGACGAGCAAGCTATGGCGCAGCTGCGTGAGCGTATTTTGGCGGGAGAGTGGGAGACGTGGTGGACGATGATGCACTACATGGACGAACAGAGACGATTGAAGCAGGAAATGGGTTCTGACACTGAGGTTGACACGAACGAGGAACTCAACAAACCAGGCCCTGACAAGGAGACAGATGAGGAGATGTCTGAGGAAGAGGACGAGGAAGAGGACGAGGAGAACGATGTGTACGGGGATGAGGATTAACAAAAATCGATGGAGGATTGGTTGTCATAGAGTACCTATAATGTTGTATACTTGTATAGTCGCAACCTTTGCTTGCAAAGGCCCTAATCATACCTATCATGGCAGTGTTTGGAAATAATGCAGGCACCCAAGCCAACAAATATGCTACAGTCGTCACTTACATTTAACACTGGACTTTGAAGTAGATTTTCAGCCGGTTGATACATAGTTGATATGCGTGATTTCAACTATATATCAGCCATATTGCAGCAAATGCGCCAACCGGCTGATTGTAAGTCAAAATGGGCACATAACAGCCGGTGATCAGCCACGATAGAAGTCCTCTCAAATGTCAATCGATTGCATTAGATAGAAGCACCAGTGCCGGCGCGAGCTTGTCATCTGCCCTAATTGGGGAACACCCCTGAGTCCCCTGCTTCCCTGCTAGTTCCCCGCCTGCTTGCCCACATTCTCCGTCGCGTTTCTTCCCTCCCAGCGCTCCTACACCCACCAAAACTCGCAGAACCCTAGCCAGCATCCTCACGGTGATGAACGACCAAAACGATAGCGGTGGGGAGCCGGTAAAGAGCAGCGAAGAGGCGCCGAGTGACGGGCAGACAAGCGGGAGCCTGGTAGGAGGAGGTATGGGAGCGCAGGGCCCGGGTATAGGACGTGGAGAGCGCGCGGATGGAGGAGGAAACCGTGGAGGACCTCCATGGCGAGGCTTCGCAGTTCCTCGTGGCCGAGGAACAGGCCGTTTTGTCCCTCCGGGGCCTGTGCAGGTGACTGACTTCAGCACTGGCCAGGGTGTGCCAGCACAGGCGCATACACCCACCTTCAGGGTCCCCCAGGTGCCTCCCACATCCCAGACGCGGCATAGGGAGGCAAGCGTCCCTGCATCCAGCGGCGAGAGACCCTCCAAGCGACCACGAGTGGCCTCTGTCCCTCCCGGTGGTCCGGCTGGCTTTCGCAGCCCATGGTCATCAGCACAAAGTCCAGGAGAGGATAACGGAGCACGCACCGAGTCTCCCAGCTCACTCTCAAGTCCCATATCCCTTCCCTCTCCGCAGATATCCAGCTCCTCCCCGTTCTCTTATCCATCCTCCCTTCCCTCGACACCAGCCGCATCCTCGTCTGACGGAGATCTTCAAGGTGCTGACGCCAACGCTGACCTTGCACTGGATGTACTGCCTGCCCAGCTCTTGATGCCGCCTGCTCAGCCTGCGGTGCCACCACCCCAGCCTATGATGCCACTAGTCCGGCCCATGACGCAGCCTGCACAGCCCATGATGCAGCGCATATAGCCCATGATGCAGCGCATACAACCTGCGTCTCATCAGACCAGCCAGGCACCGAGTGCCAGAGGAGCAAACACTCACCTTCCAGCTCCTGCTCCTCGCCGTCCACCTCGTCTGAATGCTCCTGTACCTTCCTGTACCCCTACAGCTCATCTTCCCAAGTCAAATGTATCATTTGCGATCACCGACCAAGTTTCAGAGCACGAGAGCAAGCTGAGCATAATGCACGAGCGCATGGCTTGCATGCAGAGTGAGACGCGGGCAGCACAAGAGACCGCAAAACGGGCGATGGAGGAGGCAAAACGAGTCAGCGACATTGCGGAGCGACTGAGTGGAGAGAATGTATACCTTCGGGACCGACTCACCGAGATGGAAGTGAACATGGATGAACGTATAGCAGCCGGTGTGGGAGCGTCTGATGGAACGGGCACTCGGGGCAGAGAAAATGCTCTACAGGTGAGAGCACTCACATGTATGCACGCGGATCATCCTCACGGCGGCGATAGACAGCCATCCGAGAGCAGTTCTTGAAGGTCCTCAAAATTACCGATGCTGCGAAGATAGCCGATTATGAGCCATTAGAAAACAGAGCTGTTATCGACGACGAAGGGAATGCTCACCCGAATTTTTATAAGTCTTGGACCCAAAACCGTGACTGGCACGACCAGGTGGCTCAGGCCATTTCTAATGCCATCAAGAACAATGTCGTACACGGGAATGAGATCATGGAGGGGAAGAACATTGGTGACATCAAGACCCGCCTTGGCGTTGCGTGGAAGAACTGGACCCAGGGCCAGCGCAATGGCCAGAAGGGGAAGAAGAAGAAGAGCCCTAAAGCGGAGAGTGAGGCTCGAAGGAACGGGCGAAAACTGAACGTATGTGGATGCTCACCTGATCATCGCGCAGAACTGATTGCTCTGCAGAAACTTGGTGCTCGAATCAATGTTCGCCCCGAGAGTCGATGGACGCACAAGCGCCATGATTGGTTTTTCACCAAGGATGCACAGAGTTCGGATGAAAGTGAGGATGAAGGCGAGAATTTGGGGAAGAAGCCAGAGGTGACATTTGAGAGCGATGGCGAGCAGGCTGACGACCTGAAGGGAAAGGGGAAAGCGAGGGAGAAAGGAAAGGGAAAGGAGGGGCGTCACATATCGGGCAAGACGTGGGTGACGAAGGTGCCAAAGTACCGGTCAGAGGAGACCGAGGATATGGTCGACAACGTGTCGCAGGCTGTTGAGCGAGCCCGCAGCTCTCGAGGCCCGCCCGCGCATGCTAGAGTGAAGTTAGTCAAGGTCGACAAGGACCTACCTATCATCCAGGGGGGTATTCCATCTCGCGCTGTTGAGACCGACTGGCTGTACGTGAACGCTAAGGTGAACAAGTCCCGGGTGAACTTTGATGACGCGGTGCCTTATGATGAGGATGGGGAGCAAGGTACGTGTGCACTGCAATTAGTATCAGACGTTCTATCGAAACATCTTACGGTACAGGTGCAGATGGACTAAGCCAGGCTGAACTCTACACAATCTCAGCCGAGAACGCAGTGCTGGCCCCAGAAACAATGCAACTTGTTGAGCAGGTGGCAGTGCATCAGTACGCTGATCCGGGCCCTGGCACGAGTGCGTACCACATGGGCCTCAATGCACAGACACAAGAGCAAGGCCCCGCTGGTCTTGTTGCCGAATACAATGCGGATGGAAATCTGTACTATTACTTTGTTGACGCGTCAGGTCAAGTCCAAGGGGTTGCAAGTGAAGATGATGTGCGAGAATGGCAGGGGGACAATGGCGGGTACAATGGAGATGACGAGGGCCGGGGATACTGAATGCAGTGGATAGTCTGGGAAATGCGGTGAGAAAAGACGTCCACTTGGGACATGGACAGTTAGTGAAAACGAGAAAAACACATACCACGTTTTGTAGTCTTGAAATTGGAATGTCTTGGTGTTGGAAACGCGCGAGCAAGTGGGTTTATTCGTCTTGAGGAGCCGGCTCTGACTCCGGAGCGCCCTGCAGCAACAACATGTAAATGAGCAGGACATTAATGGGGGGAATAACACATACATGGTCATACGCAATTGTGAGCCACCAATTGCGCCCCTGCACGCTGATAGGCGCAAACACGAGGTGCCCTGTTAGCTCCTCGATGAGAACCACTTCTGGGGCCTGCCACACATCTGCATGCCAAGCTGCAATGCCGAGATCAGCAGCGCTGCGCAGCCACTGGTCAGTAATTGAATCGGGGGAAAAGACGACACTCACCGTAGAGCCCACGGAAACTGTGGGATATCCTCACCTCCCACAAACCCTTTGACAAGAGCAATGTTAGCTACGAGAGGAGGGCCGTGATTTCGAGCCTGAGTGACCCGCATGAGGTACTGAATGTCGACTGGTTCACGGTCGAAGGTGTAAGCATAGCGGCTTGATGTCCCACGGTGATGAGTTGCTGCTCCATAACGGAGATTCTTCCAGTAAACGTGGGAGTACGACAGTACTGTGCCTGAGAAAACATCGCCCTGACCTGTCGTGTCAGTGCAGGGACGGAGATCAGCAAGATCCCGCCAATATTCCCGCAGGAACTCGAAAACGGCATCATAGAACCTCTCGTTGATGCTCAGGAGCTCGAGCTCCTGAGCATGAACGGCAAAAACGGGCTCGTTGTGATCCAGTGGAGGTCGAGGGGCTGCTCCTTGGGTAGCCTTCTTCGTAGACTTCTGACACTTCTTCAACATGGATATGGTATTGTCGTCGTTGGGTGTCCGGTTAGGCAATGCCTCAAGTTGTGAGATCTAGCCAGGGTGGTGCAATGAGACAGGGATATTACAGAAGCAGACCACTCACCAGTTCGTGGTTGAAGGTACTGGACCACCACTGACGCATCAAGGTCCCCTCTAGCTCACCGCCCTTGTGCCGATTATGGTTGATGCGTGAGAGTTTACCATTGTTCTGCTCATATGGGTAAGCCCATCTTCCGTAGCACGGCCCGTACTGATAGAACTGGCCCTCCATGTGTTGAACAAAATGGAAGTACTGTGTGAGATGAATGTGCATGCTTGCCCACAACTGGCAAGCTAGAGCTAGAGCTGCGCAGCCACGTTGCACGTCTTGCGGAGAGATGGATCAAGTGGCAAGTATGCGAATGCCAGCTGAGAACTCGAGGATGGTCATGTAGTGACGTCGGAGGTTACGATCAGTAGTTATGTCATCGAGCGCGTCTAGAACTTCAAGCGGAGTGTGCGGATCCTGGACAAGAAGGCCTTCTCGCAGTCGTGAGCGTACTGTCTTCTCATATGTAATCTGGGCTTTGCGATTGTTGGTGTTAGACGCAGATGGTGGTGGATCCGCATCAGGGATTTCGCTGTCTTGCTCCCAGGCCACAAAAAGCCCGACGAATAAGACGGAGATGAGGTTTCTCCATTGGTCGGCTTTGGGATGACCCTTCCCACGTGCCATCTAGAATTGCGATAATTAGTTAGAAACTGACAAAACGGCTGCGAAGTGGAACATGTAACATACGCATGGGGGTGGATGACCAGCTTCGGCTGGCCAATGAAGGTTTTGCAGAAAGTCTTCGAGTTTTTCGAGAGGGTTCCGGTGTCGATTGCCGTTGAGGAGACCATACTTGTATAAAATCACATTGCTGACGTGTCGAGTAAGACCTGCCAGGGAATAAGTCAGCGCGAAGAGAAATCAAGGGACGAAAAGTGTTACCAAGAAAAACACCGTGCATGAACTCTACGGGCGCGCTCTGGGAAGGCATCCACCCTGGTAGATAATTAAGCGAGGACCAAGAGACGCCTCGCCTAGTCCGTATCTCGTCGGCGCTCTCAGGGTCTGCGTGAGCCATGAACGCATACTTGAGATGGCGCCAGTCTTCTTGAAGGCGGAACTGAGAGGGGTCGTAGCAGGAGGGAGACGCAAGCTCGTACGAGGTAGCATAGCATTTGTCGCACATGAAACGATTGGAGGAGTGGCCCGAGGTGCCATTGACCTTGCGAGTGGATAGGAGATCGGAGCAGTTTAGCCAGAGATAGACATGAACAAGCATGCGGTCGGTGAAACCATGGACAGAAAATTCGATGCCGCCGCCGAGTCGTGTCATGCTGGCGACGAAAACATCCAGGAGGTTGTTGAGCTGCGGTAGGGTGGGCTCGTTCGGGCCGGGGATGACCATGAGTAGCAGGGTTTCCTCGGGAAGATGGCGAATATTGCGGGGGTTGTTGCATATGACGGCATAGAGAGCGCCAGTGGAATGATTATCATGTTCTGTGGATTGAAACCTGTATGATAAGTAAGACAAGGAGGAGAATTAATCAATGACCAGCTCACCAGTCAATGTTGAAGTGCAAAACGAGCCCGCATGGCAGCGACACAAACCGCTGAGCGAGCTTGAGGGTGTTGACATCCTCCACTCCCCACTGACTCTCTCGGTTTCGTCGCCGCTCCATTCCTGCTTGGATTGCCCTCCATCCCCACCCATCATATACGTCCGTCATCGGCGCTGTTGGATCATCAAACGCGTCGTATCCGGTGGCTTTGAGCGGTGGATCGCAACCTGGCTCATCGCCGGGCTTTCTCCAGTGTTGAAGCTGGTCCCACTTGCCGGGACGCAGCAGAACGCGTTGCAGCGCACGCTCGAGGGGGACATATGGAACTATCAGGCTGGGTGTATGCTTGAGGGAACCATTGGCAAGCTTCTTGATGCTGTAAAGTAGTCCAGGGCAGTCCTCGTCGAGGCATTCAGGTGAATCGAGAGCAAAGAGTTTGTCGGGATGATGGGTCACCCAGCATACTGGGCATACGAAGAGGTAAACGATGAAATTGAGGGTTGAAAGACCTAAACGCTTGAGCACGGTTGGCATCGTGCATGCAAACCCGTCAAGGCCGGGTAATTCGAGGCCGGGGATGTCACGACACATCGCCTCAAGGAGACGCTTCTTGCAGTCGAGCTGGAAGTGGACGCTCTGGAGTGTATTGCCGTGCAATGCAACACTGATGAACGCCTCTAGGTAGGCGTTACGAACGTAGGCATGGTCATCGAAGGCTTCAGGCGGCTGATTGTGATTGGGGAGTTCGGGGTCGTCGACATTGGAGAAGTCAAAATCTTCTAGAGCCCGGTATAGTTGCTCGTGGGCCGGTGATTCGTCCATTACATCGTTGACGAGCAGCTCTTGATCATCGTCGCTGTCGCCACCAATGCCCTCCTCAACCTCTGCTGACTCGTCGAGAGTGCGCGTGAGTACGATATTTCTCTCGTCGCTTGAGTAGCCGTCCTCCAAGTCGTGGAACTGTGCGACATCTGCAGGATCCTCGAGCATCAAGTTCTGGTCGTCCTTCAAGAGCTTTAGCATAGGTTAGTGTGGCATAAATTGCATGCGACGCACCTGGGTGTAGTCCTCCTCTTCCTGCAGCTCCCAATCCCCTCCTGTCGCCTCAATGCCTTGTCCAAGAGGCTGATCTTGTGGCTCGGCAGCGAGTATCTGAGGATCCGTGGTCTCTGTGCTTGACAGACCCATAGCCTCGTCCTGGAGCTCGTGGAGGCGAGCCACCCGCTCGGTCTGTAAGCTATACCCGGTGCGGCCTTTGTAACATCGGTATGACTGACACCGACACTCGACGAGGGCGTCTCGCTTGCGCTTCGAGGGCATAGTGGGCCGGCGAGGACATCGTGTGGGTCTGTGTAGGCAGAGGAATGGCGGGCGGGGATGGTGGTGGTTCGAGAGCAAGGACAGTGAGGCTTAAGGGCGTAGGGCTCGTCGTGCTCAGGGGGACGTATGTGCTGGCTCAACAGTCAGTTTCGCGACATATGGAAGGTTTGGACCAACAGCTAATGATTGACGGTGCCAGAAGAGGCAATAAGTCGAAAACAGGTTCGCCACTCGGAAGCCTCAAACACGCGGCTGATTCATGGTTATACATAAGTATAGCCTACTAATTTCGACTATATTACAGCGGCTGAAAATCTACTTCAAAGTCCAGTGTAAGTGGATTATTTATATACAGATATTGTGCGTAGATTTTTACATATTTGACTATACCTCACGTTCGACTACACTCGTATCAAAGCTGCGTAGCATGCCTTTCACCCGTCAAACACTCTCAAGGGTTAACAACAAACTTGACACCGCTGGCTCCACCTGCTTGCAACCTCTTAAGCGCGTCAGGTACTGCTCCAAGTCCTCCAAGTATGACCTCGGGTGTTCCAGTCTGTCCCAGTGGCGCATCAGCACACTCTCAACTTATGCCCTCAATGAACCAGTACGCACCTTAAGTTCTCCGCTCGCAAGTAGTCCAGGTAGCGCTGCCGTGAGCCTTGAAGCGATCCCGCGATTGTGCTCTGCGTCAATGTGTGCGATAACGAACACCACCTCTTTGCCTTCCTCCTTCACCTTCTCTTCTGGAATGTTCGACGGTAATACTGTCACGAGCCGTCCATTACGGGCAAGCGCATCGAACGCGGCATGCTGCGTCGCCGCGTCGCCCACCGCGTCGTATGCAACGGTAAGCGCCTTGCCGCCCGTCGCTTTCTCGATTTCGGCGCGGAGTGCCAGGCCGGCGAGAGAGCGGTCGAGAATGTGCGTCGCACCGAGGGACCGAAGAAGGCTGGAGTGCTTCGCCGAGGCGGTGGTGAGGATGGGTGAGAAGCCTGAAAGTCTTGCGAGTTGGATCGCTTTCGATATCATCGGCTCGTTAATCTCGAGTTACAGCGCGAGAGACATTGCGATGCTCACCTGCTAGCCCATTCTGCGTCGACCCGCCCACGATCAAGACCGCCTCGCCCGTGTACCTCCCTTGGCCCTCAGTCGTCCATGGCTCGGAGAGCCCGATTCCGTATGGAGGGTTGTGGTAGAATCCCACAGCTGGGGTGAAGAAAGCCGCGGGCACAGTTGCAGCTTGCTCGAAAGTGATTGAGTCGGGTATCTACCGCCATCATGTTAGCAAGACATAGCTTTAACGACGTGTTCTTCAGAACATCTCACCTTCACGACGATGTCCGCCCTGGTGATACTATACTGCTGGAACGTCTGTCCCTCACCGTACGCGACACTCGAGTGCGCTCTGTAGCAAAGCCGATGTAAGGGTTTGTACGTCCATTCTGATTTTTTTCTGAATGACTTTCGTGCTGATACCGACTTGAACGGACCCTGGACAAGCTCCTCACCGACAAAGGCGTGCACATGCGCGTGTCTACTTACACGCGATCGCCCTTCTTGAGCCCTTCAATGCCTTCCCCGACCTCTTCAACAACACCAGCACCCTCGAAGCCGAGCACGGCAGGGTACACTTTCGGCCCCATAAACCCTGTTGTCTGGACCTTCCAGTCGAAAGGGTTCAGCGCGGACGCGACATTCCGGACGAGGACCTCGTCAGCCTTGGGTGAAGGGACGGGTCTGCTCCCCAGCTGGAATTCGCCTCGCTCAGCGGTGAGGAGAAGGGCGGTTTGTGTGCGTGAAGCCATCTGCACAATGATTTGGTGGTAATTAGGAGCACGGAGCGAGTTGGGTTTCGTACACCCCTTTCACAGTTTTTTATAAGTACGCGCTGGAGAAGACCTAATCAGCTGAGTCAAATCTGATGACCGATTGTGTTGAGATTTACCAATCTTTCGTCACTATGTGACAAACGAGAGAGACATACCTAGCTTGTCCGGTTCGGCCGGGTATTGATATATGCATGTAGTTCCTGCGGATGTATAAGTCTGAAGTGGTGGGATGGCTGCGGGATGGGATGGTTTGAAGACGTGATTGGCGAAGCATGCGACCAAGATGACAATAAGAGAATGACATACGCGATTGAGTGGCTGTGCTGTTTACTCCTCAGCGGAAAGAAAAACCGCTGAAGGGTTGCTGGCCGAGGGCACGTTGCACAGAGAGAAAGTCAAGGCTTCAACGAGCCGACCACCGAGCTGACGGCCAAGAGAATGTCTTCAAGTCTGACAACGTGAGGGCAAAGACGGGCCACGGTGCGCATGCAGGAATTCTCAGAAAATTGGCGCAAACAACTGTGGGAAATTCTGGATATAGCTCATCATGCATCAAGCTCATGCAAGTCATGTCCAAATGATCCACGGTCGACCCTAACAGAACAACCTAGTGTTATCTCTTGTGTTATCTGACACAGTAGCTCACGCTCATGTCTCTCTCCAGAGCGTATACCGCCAAGATTCAGTCTTGTAACTCAAGCTCTCAAGAGCGACACCTTGCCAGTGCGAGCATCCATCGCAAAGCCGATTTCTTAGTGCGGTCGCAACGATTCCGCGTCTCCGATTCTCTGTGGATCACTGCAGCATTTTACACATCTCTTCCAACACCTTCTAGAACTAATCTATATTTATAGAATCGATGGAGTGTGCAGTAACTTTGTCACTGCATTACATGAATTAGCCGCAATTCCATTCCCAGAGTCTTGTTTTTAACGCAAGTTCGACGGCCCAACTGCGGAAACTGTATGTTGTACGTCATCACTTGATGACGCTAGACGGTGACCTACCGTTCCATGACTGGGCTTTATTCGTTCAGCTTTTGATGTAGCGACGTCAACACATTCGCCGAGGGATAACTCTGTTTGTATCACTACCATCGACTGGCATTCACGCAATACATCCTCAAGCACTCTACACTCGCATCTACTGCATTGCGAGCCTCCTCCGTGCACATCCCTGGGCATGGTTTGACTGGCAGTCAATTCTGACCAAATTAGTAAAGTCACCGGACGGCGAGGTGGTATTCATGGAAGTGTGCGCAAAGGCAGCTGGAGCCAGCTAAACACCAACAAGGTACGCTCGTGTAAGTGGCCGTGTCACTATCAATGACTTGATTGTTGTACTGCATACGTGCTTCCTCAAGGCCTGCAAGAAATGGCAAGAGAGGTCCAATGCATCAAGGTAGCCAATACGACGGACCCCAGATAACGTACATTGGACATCCGCATTGGATTTGCTGGCGCCTAGCAAGCTGTACAACCTGCACACGGGCAACGATACGGCACGATGGCATGATCATCTACCTCGGCATTTCCGCGGCATCCAACTCCAGACGCTCGGAGGAAATAAGGTAGGCCAATGGTATCACTTTGTCGAGCGCCAGTTATTCATTCCAGTAGTCGTCTGGCCTCCGATTCGTTCCCGAGAAGTGCGGCGAAGTCTGGCGAAGTACTGGTTCGTGGCGAATCCCAATTCAAAAGGTGCATCGGGTTCAATAAGATATACCAAGGCGCTGCAATTGAAGTGAAGACCTGGAACTGTTCTCGAATCGAGATGTGTGCGAAAGAGGCCTTCATGTTTGAGTTCTGATATCTCAGACATTTCGTTGTGTTACCAGCTTTGGCTAGTTTATTGTACTGTGATCCCACGTCAGGATGAACACCCCCGTCAGGATGAACACTAATTTTTTTCAACCTCATCTCACGCAAACACTTCAAACAAGTTATATGGAAATTATTCACAGTATCAGTAGAGCTTGTGTGTAAATTGACAAGAGCTGAGGATGTCCCGATGCAAAGTTATAATCCCCAAATCAAAGAAATTGTGTCATAAAGGAATTTTTTCACATTAAATGACTACTGCAAATTGTGTATGCTTCTATTGACTGCTCAACAAAATACCCTCCTTTCTTTGAACCTTTAATGTGTACAATAAAATTAAATTGGGGATGATTGAGGGAACGGGATGGGAATAAAGATTAGAGAAAGATGCAACACTCTCTGCGCGGCTTAGCATGGCTGATATCTTATCTAATCTGGCCTCATTTGGGCTTATCGAAGCCGCGTATCACCAGATGCGGTGCAATCAGTCCTAATCGAGGCACGGCAGCGGACGAAACTTACCTTATTTGGGAGTATCGGCAGTATTACCGGTTATCGCAAGTGTTCATCCTGACGTGGGTTGGGTCTGCAGGGATCAAAACACTAATCCTGGCATTGTGCTCGTTCTACTTAGATCCACCCTACGCAGAATTTACTGACAGTAAATAGGTCTCGGAAAGCTTGCAAACAAAATTTTGACTCAAAAGGAGTGCGCAATTATATTTGAGAAAATCAGCAAATTTCGGTGTTCATTCTGACGGGGAATCACAGTACTCGCCAAGAAAGTCTCCAACTACGCGAAAACATGCACTATTGTGATATGCTGTGTATCATTCATGAATCTAGACGCCCATCGCGCCACTGCCGTGCCGTACTCTGGCCCCATCTTGTGATTGATGTCGGAAGTATCCGTTCCAGCACGAGGCGCTCTTCAGATATACGGCCGCAATGATGCTGGCGTGTTCAGACCCTCGACACAATCCGTCACTATCTCCAAGTCCATCAGACAGTACGTCCGTCGACCCTTCTCTCGACTTACGATCTACTCACTCCCATCATAGCTACCACCTAGTCACTATGCCTTCGCCTGCGGTTGGCGACGAGAAGGTCTGGGAAAAGCTCGCTGAAGAGTGTGCCCATGGCGCAGTATACGACTCGAACGAACGTCAGCCGCACTCCAAGTGCATTCCAGGAACCAGAGCTGCCCTCCTTGATGACCTCAAGGCTCTTGTTGACGACGACGAGGAGCGAAAGATCATCTGGCTCTCGGGCGAGTCAGGGTGTGGAAAGTCAACGATAGCGCACAGCCTGGCGGAAGAGCTTGATCGAGAGGGTCGACTCGCAGCTACGTTCTTTTTTTCCAGAAAACACACCAAACGAAGCACCTTCGATCACGTCCTCCTCACTCTCGCATATCAGTTAGGCTTGCAGCATCCGCGTGCAAAGGAGATCATCATGAAAGCCATCTCTGACGATCCCGCCCTGCTGTCAGCAGATAAATCTCGCCGTGACCAGCTTGAGATGCTTGTCGTTCGACCTCTGAAAGCGCTTTATCCCGCCTGGAGGGATAAACATGGCATGTCAATCGTCTTGGACGCCCTTGACGAGGGTACTACGAACGGTCTACTAGTAGACCGCATATACCTCTTCATCGCCTTGCTCGCTCGCATTGTCCGCGATCTAGATCTCCCCGTTACTAACATTGTCGTTACCAGTAGATCCTGGTCCCAGATTGAGGATGTGATGGGCTGCAGCGATTTTTCAGACGTCATGAACATGGTCCGACTTGAGGATTACAGATCGCACGGAGACGTCAACTACTACATTGGCCGGGCCTTTGATCAGATTTATGCATCCCGTGGCCTTGCCCGCTTTTGCTCAAAACCCTGGCCTAGCGACGACGACTTCTCCCTCTTATCCGAACGATCAAACGGTCGATTCATTTTCGCAGCCACCATCATTAGGCTCATCAATCAGGAGCAGCCTCACGATCGCCTTCCCCTCGTATGCGACATGCTTCGCGGCAGCCCATCGAGCTGCTGGGGAAACGTAGACGACCTGTACACGTCAATCATCGATGACATCACCGAATCCTCCGTCCGAGACAAGGGGGTCGAATACCTGTCCCTGATCGTCAACCTTGCCGAGCCGCTGTCTCTCGTTGATTTGAATCGGCTCTTTTCCGACCATATTCATTCCTACCTCCTTCCTTTTACAGCTCTGATATCTCTTCCGCATTTAGATTCGCCCGACCGTGTCCAGATCTGGCATACATCCTTCCGTGACTTTTTACAGAGCCGACCGTTGGGCAGTCGCGACCACCCTTACCTTCCTCCACTCCAGATACACACCCGTCTGAGCATGTCATGCTTCCGAGTAATGTACAAGTTCCTCAAACGTGACATTTGTGATCTCCAAGATCCCTCCCTGTTGCATAAAGAGATACCCGAATTTCGTGAGAAGCGTGATGCCATTCCTCGCGCGCTTCGGTATGCTTGTTGTCACTGGGTGTACCATCTCCAGAAGTGTCAACTCGATGTCGCTGTACAGGCGCTCCTTCTCAAGTTTCTTGAGGAACACGTTATTTTTGCAATAGAAGCTTATGCCATCTTCGGCGAGCTGGACCTTGGGGTCGAGAATCTCAGAAAGGCCAGGACATTTATACAGGTGACGTCCTCAGAGAATCAAATTTGCGCTGTGCTAACCTCTTGGTCTAATAGGGCTGGCCGGAAGGCGCGTTTCCGCGGCGGCATGCAGCTGTTGCTTTGCTATACGACAGCTGGAGGCTAACCCTTGACTTCTTCGACCCGATCAGCTCCTCCGCTCTCCATGTGTATGAGTCCGCTCTACCTTGTAGCCCAATGAAGTCTGCCATTCGAGCCACTTATGCATTTCTGATTTCCGATGCATGGTCTGTTTCCTTTGAGGATGGGCTGGACGAGAGCTGGGACTATGTTCTCCGTACCATCGACACCTCGGGAATGGACTGTTCCGTTGCTGCTATCTCTCTTGACGGCTCGGAGGTAGCAGCCTTTACTACTGATTCAGTGCAAGTCTGGAATACTAGCTCGGGATCTCCTATCCGGTCATTGCCTCTATACCATTCATTGTCGGGGGCCCAAAGCATAGCTCATGATAACTCATACATTGTTTTTGGCGACCGGGTGTCTTGTAGCGAACCAGTCAATCAACTCCGAGTCACTGAAGGTGGCCACCGGCAGAACCACTATCATTTGTGGCGGCTATCGGATGACCAAGTCTTTTTACTTCATGGAGCGCCATCAGAAGTTTCATGTGTCTCCATAGCACTCTCCTATGACGGTACCAAAGTTGCTTGCGCATCCGCCGACTACGCTCGTGGGGGGGCGCTGAATTTGCCGTCCGCATCTACAACCCATATACTCTCCAGCAGATCTTGCAGATTTCTTCCGAACGCTTCGAACTCATGCACCCGTTTTTTCATAGACCGAAAATAGTATTCTCTGAAGACGGAGGCTGGATCATGATCCACTATGGACCACGGCTGCACATATATGACACCGAATCGGGGCTGCTTTTATATGACATCCATCCCGACGATGGCGTGGGAAATCGCCTGATTCATTACGCCAACTCCATCATCCAATTACAATGCGGTTTCCTATGCGATGCTAGATCTACGAGGACTGTGAAAACATCATCTCCCTTGCCATTGCCACAAAACCTCACCTACAGCGGAAAGCTTGTTGGTCTCAAGATAGGTGAAAATGTAATGAGGATCTGCATGTCGAGTAGAACTCCATGGAATTCCCAGAGCGAAGCTTGCATTGGTCCCGTCGTGGTGGACAAAGCAATTCTGATACTGGACCTCGGTCATATGGGCCTCGGCAGCAATGCTTCTAATAAATTCTCCCTTCAGAGAATAGCTTCGAATCTGTCTTTGCATGCATTCGGAGAAAAATACCATCTCGAGCGCTCTTCAAGCGATGGAAAAATAAGAGTTTACAGGAGAAAATGCGACACCAACCATGAGCAGCTATACATGGTCTGCGGTCCAGGAGTTCAGTTCACGATCCCCGCCTCGAAACCAAGTGCTTGCCTATTGTCACCAAGATCTACATATCTGGTGGTTAATAGTGTTCACGAGGAGCTGCTTCGGTCCGAGGTAGAAATCTGGCATACCACACAAGGACGCAGGGTCATGGACAGCGAACACATGCAATGGTCTGATAATTGGGGACCTGAACATCTTCGTCGGTTTGGATCGTACAATCGCCATCATAGGATCCGTATCTCTGATGACGAAGACACGGTTGCCACAGTTTGGTACGACAAGGGTTGGAAGGTGTCTATTTTTTCTCTCCAGGAGACCAAGTTCGTACACGCCATCACTTGTACCCTATCGGACTGGGACTCGGATACGTTTTCCTCGTACTGGGACAGGCAAGAAATTCTGCATTTCGAATGCGACATTGCCTCAGCTCAATCGAATATTGTCAAACTTTGGCTCGTCAGCAATACTATGGATTTTATCCAGCTCCATCAATGTATAAATCGCGAAGGAGAGTGGACGTCTCATTGTATTACGTCATTCTCATGCAAACGCGGAGGGGCCAGCCATCTGCGGCAATCTGCTGGCTTCGGGCGCGTATACTATTTTGTTGAGCCCTATTGCTCAGGGCGGATGGTGGCACTGAACTTAACTGCAACAGGGGTTAGTAAAATTTCTGACAAGGGGATCAATTTAAAATCTGAGGCTTACATTCAATAGGCGTACGAAGCTGAAGAGGTGGACGACTATCCGAGAGTGTCCTATGACGCCAAGTCTTGGTCCGATATCTGCTTCACTGAAGACGGGTGGTTACGACAGGGTAAACGCAGGATATGCTGGCTGCCTGCGAGATACCGCACCTGTTCCTCACACGGAGATAACCTTATTAGCGGGGAGTTAATACTGCCGTGCCCGGCTAGTTAGCTATTGTATCCACGTATCCTCGACACCGCAGGTATTTCCTGCGGTTTCTACTATAAGCAGCAAATACCATTCTATTTCCTTTTCCGCCGTCGTCTCCGTTCCCCAAGGTACCACGTCACTGCCGGCAATGTCCGGTGGCAACTCTAGGCCAGGAGACCTATTCCCGCCCTCTGCCCCCGATTCCCCGTCCCGACATACCCCCGCTTCTGCTCCCACGTCGTTTATGACGTTTCCCGCTCCCTCTGCTCGCTGCCCTTGACAATGGTCAGCTGTATCTCCCCTTCCCGCGGTCCGTGAGAGCCCGGGTTTTCTTGTACGTAGTTGTATATAGTAATAGATTGCTTTCATTGTAAATAGGGTTGTATTGACACGTATAAGAGGGTGGAATGCAGAGAAACAGACCACGTGAGCAAGGGACTTAGCAGATTTTGCAGTGGTGTTGCGGGGAATCGGCCGGAACTGCGGATAAAGGTTCTGCCGAGGTACACGTGTCGGAACAGGAACCGATCAGGGCCGAGAGCCGGAGTGTGGGTAATCCATTTGCACATCAACGTTTCAACACGCGTTCATTCAGCACGTGACAGACGCGCCTCCTGTTCTCCTCGAGGTTCACCTCAAGGCAGCCCTAGGCAGCCGTTGTTCTCTCCTCTCCCCTCGCTCTTCCTCGTCCGCTCGTCCTCTCCTCTTCCTCTATCTATCTATGGGGCCCATTCGCAACTCTGGGCGCAGAGTTGAGATCTCCATCGGCGATCCTCGTGGTGCTGGAGGTCTATTAGAGGCTCAAAGTTACTCTAGGCGACAATCTGCGAAAGAGCGCGTCAAATATGAGGAGGTGCTACGCACGAGCAAGCAAGGTAAGCCAGCCAATCGTTTCCTGATATTCTCTTACCGCTGCCTTGTAGGCTTTAGCAGGAAGTCCCTCCAGATGCTGTCACAGGCCACTCGTGACGAAGACCTCGATGGCGACAACGCGATGGGCGATGACTCAGAGCCAAGGGATCAAGGAGAATGGGAGGATGTGGAGGATGGGTCATCAGAGAACGATTTCATGAACGCTATGCACGAACATGCACGCAGGAAGTACGTCCCTTCCCCGTTGTCTTGATATGCTAATTCTACTATTTTCTCTTCTTTTCTGATATTCCTTCAGGCTGGACTCGACCAGCGATCGTCGGTCCTGGCGACAACGCCTCGAAAGGCTTCAGCAAACTCTCCTACCGCTCATCCCCGCCATGTCAGCTGCGTACCTGAGGTGGCAGTATCCTACCTCCCCCGGCACCTGTCCTCCCTCTTCCAGTACAACTTCAGCTCCTCATGCGCCTTCTTCTCCTTCTCAATCGCCTTCCCACTCTCCCGATACTCCTTCCCCCTCTTCCGACGCGTCGCCAGCTCCTTCGGAGACGATCTCTACGCCTACCGGCGCCCTCCCCTCCGACTCGCTCCCAGCCTCTCCTCCAACTAAGCCCGACGCCTTGCAACCCCAAAATTCGCCCGTAGACTGGTCATTCAAGATGTATGTAATTGACATATACACCCTCAATACCCAAGTCACCATCCCGCGGGATGAGACTCTCTCAGCCGCCGAAGCTCTCGTATCTGCCGGCTACGTTGGGGCTACGCCCACGGATCCGTCTGTCGCCTTCTCCATCCGCACCTTGGAACTGTATCGACGCCTGCGTTTACGCAAGGCGTCGCTCAGTGTCGAAGCATTCGCCAAGGTTGTATGTGACCTCTATAGGGTGCGTATATCGGATGCATCCCTCGCGCATCAGCTAACCTTTGCTTAGTGGGCTTATCATCGGCGCTACCGAACAGCTCTTGCGGGCGCATTTGACACTTACCTCATGATTCGCCGCCATGTCGATCAGCAAGTTGACAAGGCTCTCGGTCGCGACGAAGACAGCTGGCGGGTGTTGTATGGCTGCCCGCCATGTGGCTATGAGGTGAATGTCTTATAGATTATCTGTTGCACCGGTCACTAACTATCTCTCAGCTGGAGGGCGAGCCTGAGCTCAAGTACCGCCGCATGTTCGTGATGGACGGCAACAATTCGCTCTCGCGTATGGCGGCTTTCGGGAACCGACAAACCGGTGACATCAGGAACTTCTCAAGCGACTACTTCCTCGACCCTGACTACGTGAACCAATTCGCGGGCGAAGTCTCTAAGCCGCCCAAGCTTCCGGCGGACGGTGTTCTGCTGTCCGATGACGAGGCTTCCTGCACTGCCAACTGGAAAGCTGCGGCTGTCGACGCTAAGAAGCGCAGCTGGGGCATCTTCGACGAGACTGGGGTCTTTGTAAGCGTATGTCGCCACGGAATGGTCCAGTGGATCATTGATATGGTACGCAGTGGCGAGCTGTATGTATAGTATACTGTGTTGGACATTTAGTGTTGTAAACTAATTGTACTCTGGAATGTAGTTTCAAATACCCCTTAGCGACTGTTAGCAAGGCCCTCGACATCCTCGGCGATCGGTTGTTGATCGCTTATGACGTCGGCTGCAATCTCGGCACCACTATCTCCCACAGCTCCCTGGCTCCTCGATTCCGAAAATCCCTATCCCGCATGTGTGTCGACGCATTCCACGGCTACACGCACAACTACGGCTGTCAAGATAAGAATCACCCTAGTATTCTTCAAGGCGCGGGTCTCGAGACCTTTGGTGTCCTGGAGCGCATATTCAGCCAGTCGAACAACCTTGCTCCGGTCGTACGTTACGCGTCGGCGTTTAATCGGCGCTTGTACATCAACATGTTCTTTATTCAATGGGATGAAGATCGGTACCTGAATCTCGGGTCCAGCCTTCATCGAAGCTATCTCCACACTATTAAGGCCCTAGATTCCGACAGCATGGCTCTAAACCAGGCCAAGGTTTCCCTTAGCATCTCTGACGACGACATCAAGACCTGGACTCAAGAACAAAGCCAGTACCTCAAAACTATCGGCCAGGAGACCGAGTACGACATTCATTCCGTCACGTATGTAGGTCTACTCCAGGATCTTCGGATAGCCTGGTAAGCCTCCCCCCTTCACTGTGTTCTCGCCCTCTGACCTTTGTGTAGGGAGCAGTCCGGGCGGTGCAAGGACGCGTATATGGACTCGATTCCAGAGGACTACACCCTGCCCTCTTCCACCCCCGCAAAAGCGGCCGCGTCTCTGAGCAACCGCAACGTAGCAACATCACAAACGCTCACCCTCGAATCGGCTATGCGCCGCGCCTCGGAGCATTATGACAGCTTACTCACCGACGTCTTGGCGATGGAGGAGAAGATGGGGATCACCAAACGATGGCAGCCCGCCGATGCCGCGTTCATCCACGCCGCAGAATATGTCAGCAAACGCAAGTATCACCGAGCCCTCAACAACCTTCAACGGTTGGTTGTACTGCGGTTACTCGAACTGCACAAGCTTAATCTCGGTAGAACCGGTGAGTTTCTCTTTATATTTGTTTTATTTTTGATTCTAACAACTTTGTGCTCAGCTTATGACATGCGCAGGCATCTCGGCAAGTCGCTTCAGACGCGCTGCAAGGCTGTTCGGAAAGCGGTCGCCGAGTACAACATGACCGCCAAGGATGTCGGGAAACCTCAGCTCGACTGGGCAAAGGTATCGAACTACTCTTTCATTGAAGAGTTTACCTTATTGCAGGAGACTCGCGACGACATTCGCTCGAAACGCTGGACTACACCCGCCGTCAGAGAAGTCATCAAACTGTCTCATCGTGTCGAGCGTGCGCGGGAGGAGGTCATCAGGCTCAATGTCGAAGTCCGGCGACTGTATACTTTCATCTGTGATGAAGAGCGCGCCTTCCCATCTCTTCTTGCCGAGCTGAAGGCAGCGTGCAACCCCACCTATGGCGCCGTGGCAGAGTTCTGTGATCGCCGTCGCCGCTTGAACGCCTCCATCAAGAAGCACCTACATGATATCTTCGCGCTTAGTAGTTATTCGGGGTCGCGTGAGGCTGGGGTTCGTAAAGGCTCTCGCACTGGCACACCCACTGCCTTCCCATTGGTGCCAGAATCAGTACATACGTATGATAACGAACCACCCTCAGCAGACGATGACGACGACGACAACGAAATGGAGGCGGATGAGCAGGGGATCGAGGAGACGGCGGGACTTGTTGATTACCTCTCGAACCTTACTGTTGATGAACTTACTGTCCGTGATTAGCATTTAATTTTGTAACAATACATGGCAACTTTGAATGCACGCGAAGAACCAGAAGGCTCATGATCAGAAGATTCAATACAACGTGGGGTCATGGAATACAAGAAGTGTTTGATTAAGTCACAAGACGATGGGAAGTGCGGCCATATGTGATGGGCGCAGTTGAACTCGCAAACGCGCCGCGTGTTGGGATCCAGTCCTTATCGCATCAAAATCCATCTGCGCGCGACTCACGCTGATCCTCTGTTCACCACAACTCTTTGTCTCCCCCTCCCTTTCTTTTGACGTACTCTATCTTCATTTCATCTCTCTTTCTCTCTCTCTCTCTTCGCTTTTCTCTGCTCTCTTGTTGTCTGTCTTGCTTTCGTTTAACCTCGCTTTCAGTACATACTTCTACTATGCCATCCAACCACTGCTTTGTCCTTCGAGGCGACCGCACTGCAAACGGCTTCATTGCCAGTCGTCGAGAGTACGTGAATACATCTCTCTACATCCCCACTCTTACTCATCTTTGTAGTCGGCCCTTCATCGCTTCCAGCAACAGGTCACCGCCCTTTCCCCTAGCAATCTACTACCCGGACCAAGAGTACAACAATGCTCTCCACATCATCCAGTCCGTCGCTTTGTCCCTCCACGAGCCCAGGCCGAACGGTGAAACTGCAATCGCATTCATAGAGGCCCTGCGGGAACGGCGTGAGCTGGAGGGCACCAGTCTGTACACAAAGACGGGCTTCTATCCAGTGGTGTATGGAAAACACGTTGGCGTTTACTTCTCATGGTGCGTAGCTATTTTCTACTGTTTTTCTATCCGGCTCATTCTAGCAGGGATGATGTTGAGGACGAGGTCAACGGCCGCGGCCGTCCCCGGCGGTTCCAGCATGTCCGCACCATCCGTGATGCTTTGGTCTACATGATCACAAAGGGCGCATCTGCGTCAGTTTACGACCTCTTAAGACACACCAACGTCCCTCTCCCTCCTTGCGACATCCCGCCCGACATCTCCCCTGCCCGTCGCAACGTCTCTGTTGCTTCTTCAAGCGGGCGAACTACGCGTCATGCCCCATCCCGTGCAGAAAGCTCTCATTCCCATCATTTGCAGCAATCTCTTCCGTCCGCGACGTCTCGCCATTCGACATCTCATCGTTCTGTTGCGCCTCTTCTCCCGCCTGTGCCTCTCCTGCCTTTGCCTCTCCCGCCTGTGCCTCTCCCGCCTGTGCCTCTCCCGCCTGTCGCATCGGGCTCTGCTTTGCGCAAGTCCAAGACTAAGCGCCCGGCACCAGTTACTCCGGTCAAGATGTCTGCATCAACAAGCCGTCAGACTCCCAGCAACGATCGTACGTTCGTTTACCTTCGTCAAGTATATCCCTTCACTCATTCTTACCAGCTCGCGAGGATCCCGCGGTCCAGCACGTACAAGAGTGGCTTTGCTCAACGACTCTGAGCAGCCCTTTCTCCACGCTCTCATCTATCAACACCGGTTCGGAGGATGCACCTTACTGCTATCGACGAACACTCGCTGGCATCATCGACAGTGTCTATGACGCAGCCGAACTCGAAGAGCAGGCGAACATGGACCCCCCTACTGAGGATCTTCTCGGGTCTGCCGCTTATTGTTACTTTGCGACTCACGGTTTTCTTCCAGGGGCTGTCTGGACAGCTTACAACACGTTCAAGGTGTCCTGGAGCAAGGCCCACTTCATCGCTGAGCTCAACAGCAAAGGCGCGGCCGAGCTTGAAGCCGCATACATGTTCGACCTTCTCTCCGGTCGCTGGCAAGAGATAGACCGCCTGGCTGAAGCCGGCCTCGATGTCGAGGAGGAGGAGGAGGAGCATTGACAGGGGCGTCGCACGGATATGTCTTTCGTCATTGTTCTGTTGCCTGACTACGATTACTCATTCATCATGTATCATATTCCCACCGTCGCTGTGTCAATTCATTCGCTCGGCTAGCACTTTTTTCCCTACGTCTTCTGTTACCACTACGCGCCATGGTTGAACACCAGCAGCTGAGATACTCCAAGACCCTGCTCAAGAAGGCGTACAAGGGCACGCGCGGACCCACTCGCCGACGCTTTGCCGCACCCCGTATCCCGAAGACCCCCGGCGAACGCGCCACCCTCAAAGCTCAACGCTTTGCTCGCAGACAAGACCTGAACGCGGACTTGAAGGACGCTCAGAAACAAGTCATGGAGATGGCCATCCAGCTACAACAGAAGTACCGCGGCCACAGCGTGGAGTGGTACTTCGAGGCTATCTTGCAGCAAGCTCGGGCCGACGGCAAGAAACGCGCGCCAAACAACTGGAACGCGTTCTTACACGTGAAGACGCGTGAGCTAAACGACGGTAAGTAGACTCTTACCTGTTTCCTTCGCGTAATTTTCTAATATTTTTATAGCTCTGCCAGAGGGCGAGAGGAGGTTAACAGCCAGCGAACGAGCTGCAGAGCTCAAGGTCATCTGGAACAAGATCCCCGAGAGCGAACGCGCCGAGTTTGCCAAGGAGATGGTTGAGGACCTCGAGAAATTCCGGGAGAACAAGGACGACGCAGTCCATAACTTCTCGCTCATGTCATATCACGACGCACACTCCACGCTCAAGAGCTGTGCCGACGAGGTAGTATTTTATCATATTTATTTCCCTTCGAGCGCTGACGTGTTCACTTCTAGCTTAATCGTATGGCTGGTCGTACAGATACGCGTGTCATGTTAATGGCCGTACGCAGCGACAACGAGCATGTCCTCACCCCTTATTTCTATGCTTCCGACATCTCCCTTGCCACCTATTTCCACGCCTTAACTCGCTACACCCCTCACGAATTCCTTGCGAAGCTGGAGTCTTGCACGATCTCGGGACTCATAGGTAAGTATTCCAGTTGTACTGCGACCGGATAATAACTGACGTTGACTACTGTAGGCCTCATTCACAATGCCAAGGACGAGTTTGTGATGTTGAAGAAGGAAGTCGTCCTCGAAATACTCATCAAGCTTCGCAAGGCAACTAACTACCAGTGGAATCGTACCCCGTACCTCCACTTCGACGACGCGGTAACTTATAAGTATGGGGTGGTCGTCGAGAACTGGCCCCTCAAGACGTTCGCGTCCCCGTCCTCCGTCACAAACCTGCCGGAGTTGAAGGTCCTCCTCAGCGCGTGGGAGACGAAGACGACGTCCTTCCGGAAGATGTCCGACGAGGAGTGGGCGGAATGGCGTACGAAGCATGAGCTCAAGAGGATGCAGGAGATGAATATGGCGATAGGTGAGTCCTGCAGACATGTTGCTTTACTACTCTTACTGACTTGTAGTAGATTCTGTGCAGACCTCTGCGTCTACGCCCTCGCAGCCCGGCTCTCCCTCCCACCCTGCCGCCTCCGAAATCGCGCCCTCCCAGTCCTCCCCTTCCGAAGTTGCGCCCTCTCAGCCCACGCCCTCGCAGGCCGCCTTCCTCCCGGTCGCCTACCCGCCCACTGCTTACCCATCGCCCGCTGCCCAATCACTCCCTAGCCCCTGGGGCCCCGCCTCTACCCCTGCCGCTGCCGAGTCGACGCTGCAGTTCGTCATGAGCGACCCCAACGGCAAAGCGATCCGGCAACCGCGCGCTAAGCCGCCTCGCAAATCCAAGAAGAAGGCTACACCTTCCCATGGATCTCAGGCAGTGGGTGCAGCTACCGTGGGCGAGGCGTTGGTCCCCGCAGCCTCCCAGGGGCTTCAAACGAACACCCTGGCCGTTCCGCAAGCCGCGCACCAGGTGTACGGGCAGACCTTCGAACATGCCCTCTCTTCCGGTGTTCGACAGGACGTCAGCTACAGCTACGACATGCCCCTTGGTCAGCAGGACTTCAGCCAGCATTCCCTCAGCGCTGAGCTGCTCAACGTCGGCGGCGCTTTCAACTACCCCGGTCAGCAGGGTAATATCTTGGGTAATTCTTCTGGTATGCTCGATTTTACTATGTCTAGTACTAATTCCTTCAATGTTATTGGTAATAATAATCAGTCTATTCAATACGATCATAGTTTGTAGCATCTTCCATAGTATTTTGTATATTATAGTCATACTAGAGCACTATGAACGCGTAATAAAGCCTTGTTGAAGTTTCGACGCGTCTGTCACGTGCTGAATGAACGCGTGTTGAAACGTTGATGTGCAAATGGATTACCCACACTCCGGCTCTCGGCCCTGATCGGTTCCTGTTCCGACACGTGTACCTCGGCAGAACCTTTATCCGCAGTTCCGGCCGATTCCCCGCAACACCACTGCAAAATCTGCTAAGTCCCTTGCTCACGTGGTCTGTTTCTCTGCATTCCACCCTCTTATACGTGTCAATACAACCCTATTTACAATGAAAGCAATCTATTACTATATACAACTACGTACAAGAAAACCCGGGCTCTCACGGACCGCGGGAAGGGGAGATACAGCTGACCATTGTCAAGGGCAGCGAGCAGAGGGAGCGGGAAACGTCATAAACGACGTGGGAGCAGAAGCGGGGGTATGTCGGGACGGGGAATCGGGGGCGGAGGGCGGGAATAGGTCTCCTGGCCTAGAGTTGCCACCGGACATTGCCGGCAGTGACGTGGTACCTTGGGGAACGGAGACGACGGCGGAAAAGGAAATAGAATGGTATTTGCTGCTTATAGTAGAAACCGCAGGAAATACCTGCGGTGTCGAGGATACGTGGATACAATAGCTAACTAGCCGGGCACGGCAGTATTAACTCCCCGCTAATAAGGTTATCTCCGTGTGAGGAACAGGTGAGATACCGGCCTCAGCTTAATTCCCTCGAGAAAAGTGGGCTGAACCTCGACATAACTGGGGCGGACACGGTGAAGGTGAACGGCTTGAAGGGTAAAAAGAGTATTACTATACGATTCAAGAACACGATACACTACTATGACTAGGTAGCGTAAGCCGTTACATCCAATTGATCTTCTCCATTGCATTCTTTCCGACAGCTATTGACCTGTAAGACTTGCTCCGATAGTCGGTGAGGTACCTGTTGACGACGTCGGAGCGCGATATAAATCCGGTTGGTGAGATACACGCTGAGTCAACTTTGATAAGTTCTATCATCGGACGACGGTAATGATGAATGGTTATGGGCGTATAGGACATAAGAGGTATCGAATGTGAGTTATGATCCGCGTCAGAGTCAGGACGGAAAACAACTGGAGATGGTTCATGAGAAGGAAGCACACACCCGAAGAGTGTTAGTCAACAGGGGCTCGTATAAATGAATTCTCCTTGAATCGTCCCATTTTGACACGCTAACTCTGTAGATCAGCTAGTCGCAACACCGCTGCAAGTCCAGTAACGTCCATCGCCCGATTTAATTTTTAGCTTAGAGAACGCTATCACCGTGAGTACGACGTCCAGTAAACCCAGGATAGCTCTCGATACCGCCACATTAGGAGGTGTTTGCGAAAGTACGAACAAAACCGACCTGAGACCTATATCGAGATGAGTCGAATAAGCCAGTCGCGAGACAAACTGTGCCTGCTTACCTATCGGAGAGTCGCTTGAACCCACCGTATGTTATCGATGATGGTAGATACTCACAGGCGCCTGTCATTTGGGAATCTGTGTTCCGAGACGGGTGTCTGAAATCGAGTACGAAACGAGCGTGTATGAGCCCATCAAGAACGGGGTGTCAAATGCAAAGGTGGACGCGCGTACCACGAATGGAAAGCCGAGAGAACCTGCGGAGAGAACATCGTCGATCTGGAGAAGGTATAGCAGAAATAATAATTTAACATCAGAAATCTTACCGATTAAAACTAGACAGGCGCGAAGTCGTCACCGTGTCGCAGTGTCAGATGCGCTCGCTGGAACAGGTACATGTGAGACGAGCCAGCAACAGCAGATAGAAAGAGAAGGATGTAATAATTGGTAGACAGACATATGAGCAGGATTCAGAGTACCATCAGTAAGTCCAATACGCTAGCTGGAGCGCCGAGTTGGAGTTCAATTGGAGACGAGACGAGAGGTTCGCGAACGAGCAACATTAGAACATCAGCGAATAGACACGGCAATCATAGGAGGTGCACGCAAGGGGATGAATGGTCAGTGCGACACTGGTGAGCTAAAATTCACCGAGGGTTAAGTACGGTACAGGAGAGCTATTTATGCATGTTTAGCGTCACTGCGAAACGATGAGGAACCAAAGGTTGAATAGGGGGGAAGAGCGTACGGTCGATGCGTGTGTGCAGCGAGAACAAGGAAAAGAAGGGAGCATGTAGACGCTTTGCCACAGACAAGGCGTAGGGGAGCTGGGGAGCATCCAGGTCGACGAGGCTGTATAAGTGTGCGTCTAGATGCTCCCGTAGACATTCCTTACAAAACCAATGACGAGAAAGGAGGAAATAGAGATCGGTGCCATGAGGATGTGAGGAAGATTCGCTGGCGCAAGGCTGCAGCACATTGGGCAGGGCGGTATGGGACCGTGCCGTATTCCAGACGTAACCACCGAGTACAAGCAAGATGCTGCAAGGGAGAGCTGGAAGCTCTTCCAAAAACCAGACTCTCTTCACCTTTAAGCCCAGGACGAGGAGTTAAAGGGAAGGGTACGAAGGCGGAAAGGAGACGGAGACTGGGTATGGTGACAGCTTTCGCTCATTGTAACGTGTAGCAGGACTCGCATTAGAAAAGCATCAGGACTCCACTTGACGAGGATGCGGGCGCCGCGAAGTTGCCGTCCGCCGCCGAGGCCGTTCGATGATGCGTACGTACCCTCCCCACCCGTACCTACGAGCGTCTGAGCAAACATAAGTGTAGAGACCATGGCCGTCATTCCAGTAGTTTCTAGACGGTACGACTCACCAAACTCGCCCGTACTATGCTCCCACAATGAACTGGTGTAGTGCTTCGAGCATGGCATCTAACCACCGAACAGTACGTCTCCGCCCCAGGGCGCCCTTCAGCTTGCTACGTAGAGCCGGACTTCTCTCTCTCGGTTCGTAACTAGCAGTGGGCCTATCTTCTCATGTCGTGGGTTGGTTACGCGTCGACGTCCATGGGGACCTCTGGGAACATTGAGGAAGCAAGGAGGCGAGGGTCGCCGCGAAGATGAGCGTGAAGCGCATACGCTGCAAAAAGAAATGATGGGCAGGATGCAAGCGCTTGAGGGCGGGGACTGTCGTGGCCCGTCAATGTAAAAAGACGTCGATCAACATCAGAAGGTGCTACCAGGGTTCGAACCTGGGTTCCGGGAAGATGTTCAGAGTCAAAATCCCGAGTGATAACCACTACACTATAGCACCGTGGCTGCGCCTTCCTCACCCATTATCAATACCAGAAGGCACCCCGGACACCGCGACGCTCCTTTCGATTGGCTTGGCCGCTATTTTTGTCCTGAGCCTAGCCTGAGAGGGCCGCAGTTGCTCGCCGACACAAAACACAACGGCAACAGCAAACACAACGACCACAACATACGCAATAACCAGGCAACATCCTCGATATATGCGCCCTCTATCCTGCCTCTTCCCATAATCATCATCACCAGATACTGCGCAGGACAGCCAGACAGGTCCATCATTACACCCTCCATCTATTCTCCCTCGCCCCCTAGCCTCGTCTTCAAGACCTGACGACCACGCCTACCCCAAACCTCCTTCTCCCATTAGGACCCAACCGTCCTTTTCTGTATCACCATGGACGACTTTGCCAACCTCGTCAACCGCGCCAACCCCGCAACCTCAGAGTACCGCCAAGCCAGCAACGGCTACCCTCCCCACCCCTCCCACCATCCTTCCTCTCAGCCTCACACCCAGCAACCTGACCTCATGGACCCCTTCTTCGACGACGATGACGAGCCCGACACCTCCGGCTTCGGCGGTATGGCCATGGGCAACACCAGCGGCCCGTACAGCCAACCACGCCTCGCGCCCGACTCGGCTTTCGGGTCTCGTATGCCGATGCAGAGCCAGGATAGCGGTCTCCCGTTCGCGCATGCAGGTGCTGCACCCGCCGGCCTTGGACCGTCGCAGGTGTCGCTCCCTGGCACCGGTGTACCACAAGGCTGGTCGTTCGACGATGATCTCCCAGGACACACTCCCCCTCGACCCGCACCATCAGCCTCGTCCTCGTCCTCGAAACCTCGGAGAAAGCGTGCACCGCGCCAATGGCGCTTTCCCTGGGAAAAAGAAGTGCAGCTCGAGGGCGAGCGGCGCATCGCGCTCAGCACCAACATTCCCGGCTCCGGAGATCCAGATGCAAATGGGGAGTTTAGGGGCAACGCGGTGTCGACGAGCAAGTTCAACGCGGCGACGTTTGTGCCCAAGTTTCTGCTGGAGCAGTTCAGCAAGTACGCGAACCTGTTCTTTCTGTTTACGGCGTGCATACAGCAGATACCGGGTGTGTCGCCTACGAATCGGTGGACGACGATTGTGCCGCTTGCGGCTGTGTTGGCGGCGAGTGCGTTTAAGGAGCTGCAGGAGGATCTCGTACGTCTGCTCCCTTTCCCTGTCCGTTTCTTCTGTTCTGGGTCGCTGATCTGTCCCCTCCTCTTCTTACCGCACTCTCCTCCGAACGACACCGCTGGTGCCATAGAAACGCCATCAATCCGACGCAGAGCTCAACGCGCGCCTCGCAGAGGTTCTGACGAGCGGGAACCAGTTCACGCCGCGCAAGTGGAAGAACATCCGTGTCGGCGACGTCGTGCGCGTCAATGCAGACGACTTTATACCCGCCGATCTTATCTTGCTGGCGAGCTCGGAGCCTGAGGGGCTGTGTTATATCGAGACGAGCAATTTGGATGGGTGAGTGGTGAAGTTTGGATGGTGTGCTAGTGGATGGAGCTGATTGATATTGCTTTCAAAATCTATCCTGCGCGTACACTCGCCCATCCATTCACACACTCGGCCCAACCTTGGCTCGATCTTTACTGCCGTGCTTTACTGCCGTGCAGCGAGACTAACCTCAAGATCAAGCAGGCCTCACCGCACACCGCGCAGCTCACGACCCCAGGCGCGGTTTCCGGCCTCCGTGGCACGCTCAGGTCGGAGCAGCCAAACAACGCGTTGTACACATTCGAAGGCACACTCGAGCTGCTTTCCTCCACCGGTACGTCTTCCCCTCCCCTCCCCCGTCGCTGCTCCCACTCCCTCTCCCCCCTCGCACCGCGCGGACGCTCATGCTCATGCTCACAAACACACATTTTCGCGCACAGGCACAGCGCACCAAGTCCCCCTCGGGCCAGACCAGATGCTCCTGCGCGGCGCACAGCTGCGCAACACGGCGTGGGTGTACGGGCTCGCGGTGTTCACGGGGCACGAGACGAAGCTGATGCGGAACGCGACGGCGGCGCCGATCAAGCGCACGGCGGTGGAGAAGCAGGTGAACGTGCAGATTGTGTTTCTGTTTGTGTTTTTGCTGGCGTTGAGTGTGGGGAGTACGATTGGGGCGAGTATTAATACGGTGAGTCGCTTTTGCTTTTTGGGGGGTGAGAGGAGTAGAGGGAGAGGGATGCTGATGTGGGTTTTTGGTAGTGGTTTCTGTCGAGTCAGCAGTGGTATTTGCCGCAGAATGTGTCGTTTGGTGGGAAGGGTGCGTGGAGTTTTATCTGTTTACTTGATTCTGGCTGACGTCGTGTTTTACAGCCAAGAGCTTCATCGAAGGTGCACCCCACCCTTTCCCCTTCCCTTCCTCCCCTGAGCTCACACGACCCGCGCAGACATTCTGACGTTCATCATCCTGTACAACAACCTCATCCCGATCTCGCTCATCGTCACGATGGAAGTCGCCAAGTTCTGGCAGGCGCAGCTGATCAACGCCGATCTGGACATGTACTACGCGCCGACGGACACGCCCGCGCTGTGCCGCACGTCGTCGCTCGTCGAGGAGCTCGGGCAGATTGAGTTTGTGTTTAGCGATAAGACGGGGACGCTCACGTGTAATGAGATGGAGTTCAAGGCGTGCTGCGTGGGCGGTGTGCCGTACGGGGACGGCGATGCTGCTGCTGCTGCTGGCGGTGGTGCGGAGGGGAATCTGTTTGAGGGAGAGGGCGAGGGGAAGGAGGCGTGGAAGAGTCTGGAGACGCTGAGGGCGTTCGCGGCGAGTGCGGGGCCGGGTGGGGCGGGGGGCGCTACGGATCCGTTCTTTGATCCGGGGTCGGGGAGCATGGGTGGGGGGAAGGGCGGGAAGGAGGCGGAGAATGCGAGGGAGTTTTTGACGCTGTTGGCGGTGTGTCATACGGTTATTCCGGAGGTGAAGGATGGGAAGACGGTGTTTCAGGCGAGTAGTCCGGATGAGGCGGCGTTGGTTGCGGGGGCGGAGATGTTGGGGTATCGGTTCCATGTGCGTCCTTCCTTCCTCGTGTCTTTCCACCTACAATTTGAATGCGGGCGTGTTGATGAGAGTGGTGTTTGGTAGACGCGCAAGCCGAAGAGCGTGTTCGTGGACATCAACGGCGCCGACAGCGAATACGAGATTCTGAACGTCTGCGAATTCAACTCGACGCGCAAACGCATGTCCGTCCTCGTGCGCACGCCCTCTGGCGCTGTCAAGCTGTACTGCAAGGGCGCGGACACCGTGATCCTCGAGCGGCTCTCGGCCGCGTCCTCGGCCGCGCCGGCCACCGCGCGCACGCTCGCGCACCTGGAGGAGTACGCGACGGAGGGCCTGCGGACGCTGTGCATTGCGAGCAGGGATGTGCCCGGGCCGGAGTACGAGCAGTGGGCGAAGATCCATGCGCAGGCGGCGCAGACGATCAATGGGCGAGGGGACGCGCTGGATGCGGCGGCGGAGCTGATTGAGAAGGAGATGACGTTGCTTGGGGCGACGGCGATTGAGGATAAGCTGCAGGAGGGTGTGCCGGATTGTATACATACGTTGCAGATGGCGGGGATCAAGGTGCGTTATTTTCGCTTGCTGTTGCTGGCGTGTCCATGGGCTAAAGGATGGTGTGGTGGTGGTGGTGATGCTTTGGGTGATGTAGATCTGGGTGCTCACGGGCGACCGGCAAGAGACGGCGATCAATATCGGCATGTCGTGTCGGCTGATCAGCGAGTCGATGAACCTCGTGATCGTGAACGAGGAGAACGCGCAGGACACGCGCGAGTTCCTCTCGAAGCGGCTGAGCGCGATCAAGGCGCAGCGCTCGTCGGCAACGGAGCCGGATGAAGATCTGGCGCTGATTATTGACGGCAAGTCGCTGGGCTTTGCGCTCGAGAAGGATATCAGCGGGACGTTCTTGGAGCTCGCGCTGTTGTGCAGGGCGGTGGTGTGTTGTCGTGTGAGTCCGCTGCAGAAGGCGCTGGTGGTGAAGCTGGTGAAGAAGAACGAGAAGGCGCTGTTGCTTGCGATTGGGGACGGGGCGAATGACGTGAGTATGATTCAGGCGGCGCATGTGGGAGTCGGGATATCGGGTGTCGAGGTGCGTCATTTTTGCGATATGTCTGTTTTACGGAGTGGTGGAGCTGAGGCATGGTGGGATAGGGTCTGCAAGCTGCGCGGTCGGCAGATATTGCGATTTCGCAGTTTAGGTATCTGAAGAAGCTGCTGCTGGTTCATGGCGCGTGGAGCTATCAGCGCTTGTCGAAGCTTATCCTATGTGCGTTTTCTCCATTCCTTGATTGCTCCTGTAACCCATCTCATTCGTGCTCGCCAGACTCGTTCTATAAGAACATCACGCTCTACATGACCCAGTTCTGGTATTCCTTCTTCAACAACTTCTCGGGACAGATCGCATACGAATCGTGGACAATCTCGTTTTACAACGTCGTCTTCACCCTCCTCCCGCCCTTCGTCATCGGCATCTTCGACCAGTTCGTCTCGGCGCGTATCCTTGACCGCTATCCGCAGCTGTACGCGCTCGGCCAGAAGAACGTGTTCTTCACGAAGACGGCGTTCTGGCTGTGGGTCGTCAACGCGCTGTACCACAGCTTGATACTGTTTGGGTTCTCGGTGATCCTGTTCTGGGGGGACCTGAAGCAGGCGAACGGGCTGGACTCGGGGCATTGGTTCTGGGGGACGATGTTGTATTTAACTGTGATGCTGACGGTGTTGGGGAAGGCGGCGCTTATTTCCGAGTGAGTTTATGTTCCTGTGACGCGCCGAGGTAGTTGTGCTGACGAGGCTTAGTGTCTGGACAAAGTATACTGTTGCTGGTACGTCCGCGTCTTCTCTGTTCCAACTACAAGTCTGACATAAATGTCTATAGCCATTCCCGGATCTTTCGCCTTTGCGATGGTCTCGCTACCTCTGTACGCACTCGTAGCACCCGCGATCGGTTTTTCGCTCGAGTACCAGGGACTTGTGCCCCGTCTCTGGGGTGACGCTATCTTTTACTTGACTCTCCTTCTCGTTCCGATCTTTTGCCTTTCGCGTGACTTTGTCTGGAAATAGTACGTCCCCCTCATAACGGCACGGTTTATTGGATGCTGACGCACGACTTAGCTATCGCCGGACATATCAGCCCGCGTCCTACCACATCGCGCAGGAGCTGCAGAAGTACAATATCCCTGATTATCGGCCTCGCCAGGAACAGTGCGTCTCGTCGTTAATCCCAAAAGTATCTATGTGTTGCTGAGCCAGCTTTTTGGTAACAGGTTCCAGAAGGCGATCAAAAAGGTGCGCGCGGTGCAGCGCATGCGGCGGAATCGCGGGTTCGCGTTCAGTCAGACGGAGAACTCGCGCCAGGACCAGACGCGGATGATCCGCGCGTACGATACGTCGAAGGCGCGGCCCACGGGCTACTAGGCATGTTGAGCTTGGTGACTGCCAGGTTCAGGTTCTGTTGTGGGGGGAGGTGAGGGCGAGAGGGATTGTGTTTTATGTTCTTTTTTCATTTTCACATAATAGTTGTTTGCTTACACTATGGTGCTGCGAGTGTGAGTGCGGACGTATGGGTGGATACCTGGACGGACCTCGGGCGAGTACTGGGTTTTTGTCTTACTTTATTATTTTCTCGTTTGCTGTTTTGTAGACTCGATGATAGAAGTGTTACTGCTTCATGCATGCTCTTATTATTGGTTAGTCGAAAGTGTTGGTGTGAGTAGATTTAAGGCAAGGGTGAGACGTACCAGGCCTACGGCATAGCAAAGCATGAGAGCCTGGGCATGCACCAATGGTCTTGGGCGACAGAGGGCTGTCGTGTGACCGAACTCGAATGATGATGAGATCGTTCATATTCTGAGTGACTAGATGGTATAGTTTATGCACTTGCCGACATGCCACAGTAGTAGATTCATTTGCTGTCGGAACAAAGAATACTGTAGCGCGACACAAAGAACGGTGCAGATCAAGATGGATTTTGACGAGGGCTAGAACACGATAACATCCATGTTAATATGAGCCAGTCGCGCTCCAGTTTAGTGATGATCTTGTCAGCATAAGTTACATTTATCGCCGTAACAATCGTCAGCCAATATGCAAAAGGTATCTTCCAAAAGCCCTTTTATATGTGCAACACGTCCAATCGAGTCAAATACATAAATTAACCTCATCTCTCATGCCTGGGGCGCCCACTGGATAGTGGCCGTCGCCTGGTTGAAGATGACGACGTTGCTGTTGAAGAACGCGTCGCCGACGAGGCCGCGGGTCGCCGAGTTCTCCTTGACGAACCACGTCGGGCACGTGCCGTCGCCGTTGTCGCCGTTGTACATGTTCGCGCCGGGGATGGTGCCGACGGCGCCGCCGGAGAAGTGGAACTCGAGGTCGGGGAGCTGCTGCCCGCACGGGACGGTCCAGCTCGAGCCGTCGCCGTTGACGTCTTTGGCGCCTGAGATCTGGGCGTAGTAGGCGCGCACGGCGTCGATGGGGCCGGAGGAGCCGGGTCCCTGTGATCAATGCGATGTTAGCGATCGGTGCGTTAGGGCCGTGGTGCGGAGAGAAGGGTACGCACTCCGGTGTCGAACACGATGTCGAACGTGCCGAGCGTGTTGCCGTTCGAGACGTACTGCACGCCCTCGGACGACCACGACGCGGGGTAGGTCGTCGTGTTGTCCGCCTGCAGCGTCGCGAGGTCGCCGGTGTACAGCGAGCTGTCGACCGTGCCGAACTCGATGAAGCCGCCGCCGCCGATCTTGAAGTTGGCGACGAAGACGGGCTGGTCGAGCTGCGGCTGGAGCGCCTCCATGAACGTCGGCTGCTGGTTCGGCTTCACGCTGTTGCCGCCCTGGAAGGCGAGGCCCATGATGCCGGACTGGAACGTGCCGGGCGAGACGCCGCTGAGGGTGTTGGCGACGCCGATGGGCATCGACTGCACGGTGGCCGTGCCGACGGAGAAGGTGTCGGTCCAGACGTCGCCGGAGACGCCGTTGCCGCCTTCGCCGTAGCCGATGTCGAAGGTGTAGCCCTGGAGCTGCGAGGCCGTCGAGGATTGGGTGGGGTCGTAGAGCTTCTGACCCGCGGTCTGGTCGGAGGAGACCTGAGGGCTGAGGAGCCACCTGCGTGAATGGTAGCAAGTGTGAGAAGCTGTAGAGCGAGCATGCGAGGATGGATGGACTTACAGGTCAGCGGACCCGGTGTCGAGAAGCACGGTGGCGTCCTGGCCACCTGCGGATACATCGGCGAGCCAGTAGCCGTTGAAGGTGACGCCATCCTGGCCGGTGCTGCGCGAGTTGAGCTTGCGCTGCTCACCGAGGACGTGCTTGACGCCGACCTTGAACGAACCAGGAGTGCGGGACTCGAGAAGGGGAGTAGCAAAGGCGGCGGGCGAGGCCAGCACGGCCGCAGCAAGGGTGGACCACTTCATAGTTGGAGGAAGAAGCAAGGGAATGGGTTGGAGAAGCCGGAGACGGAGGTATCAGAGTACTTATAGAAACGAGGCGCTGCACCATGTTTCCCCATCTCCCCAGAACCGAGGAGCACATAGGCGCCTGTGCAACCTGTTCAGCTTGCCAGCTGTCATTGAAAAGAAATCATGACAAGACAAGATGCCTTGTGGAAGGAGAGCAGGCCAGACGTGGCAGTCCACAGAGAGCGAGGATCCCTGTGCAGATCCTCACAGGAAAACACCACCTGCAGACTGAAACATGGCGAGGCATTGCAACGTATCTGATGCAGCCGCGTGGTTCATCAACGCTTCAGAAGTGTCACATGATCGTTTGTGTGGTGAGAGTCTCTGGCATGGGACGCACGGAGGATGGAGTGGCAGACGGTGTGTGACGGATGCGACAAGAGGTCGAAGAACGGTCCTACGACAGGGCGAGGACAGTTGTGAGGCACAACGACGCGGCCCCGCGAGATCGAGGAAGTCATGCGAAGTCTGTCGCGCCACGTCGTCAAGGTGGGGAGGAATGATGTCAGTCCATGCTGGCAACTGATGTCAAGCAACCAACGAGTATAGCCACCGTGTTCCAGCTACGACGGTACCAGTGCATAAGTCAAAGGAGAAAACGCAGACAATGGAAAGAAGGGAAGCTGTGCACCATGTTTCCTGCATCCCTGAGCTTCAACATCGTCCGCTGGAGAACTACACAGCGCTGTTCCTACTTCCTTGAAGCTGGAATATCCCGGATCGTACTATGTGTGCTGACTGTAGGAATCAACGGCGGCGCCAATATAGTCATGTATATGCGGGCTCTTATATTTCTGGGCTGTGCCTCGTCGCTTTAGTTGAGGTGGGCCAGTTGTTGTTCAGGCAACGACTTGTTCAGTAGACCCTCGTGAGTGTTATACATACGATGTCGTTGAAACGATTCCGCCGCCAAGACGTTGCGCTGTGATGCATATGGCGCAGTCGGTAGCCTGACCTCTTCCCGAAGGCTTCTGCACGAGGACTTCCGCGAGAAGAACGGGATATTGTGATCGTGGCAGTTTCGAACCAACACGGGCGTCTGTCATAGGCGCTCAATGGCGCGACCCTTGGCCCAAAGCCAGTGCAAGTCACGGTAACTTGACCATACAAATAGATAAGTCGATACCGGTTTCCTGTATGACCGTCCCAGCACGGTGTTGTATTGTGATTTCCCCCATCTCCCTCGCCGTATAGTGTGCCCCTGAAAGGTATCGCAATAAATCGGCTGTGGTAAGTAAATATACATATCCTCTAGATAACGTTTACAATAAGCCAAGCCAAGTCATAGATCGAAAACGTGAAAGATACCATCGCGGTCTACAGATCGCGCGCCTCATCCGGCTCATCCACTTCATCTGCGTGCACCCCATTCACCCCGTTGACCCCGTTCATAATCATAACCTTGACTCCGTTGACGGCTTCCACACCGTTGATCCCATTCACCTCTTTCACATCGTTAATCCCATTCACCTCTTTCACCCCGTTCACCCCCGCACCCGTCCAATCCCACTCCTTGAGCGTCGCCTGCGCCTCCTCAGTGAGCAGGTCAAACGCAGCCTGCATATGCTTCTCAGACGTGCGCGCGGCGCCGACGGCCAGACGGATGCAGAACGTGCCGAGCAGGTCCGTCTGCGTGAGCATGATGTCCGGCCGGGCGCACACGCGCGCGTAGAAGGCGCGGTTGAGCGCGTTGAGCTGGGGTTCGCTGAGTGGTGCGGTGGCTGAGTCTGTCTCTGTTTCTGTTTCTATTTCTGTCTCGGCGTCTGCGTCTGAGTCTGCGTCTGGTTGTGGCGGAGAGGAGACGGAAAGGGGCAGGGAGGAAGCGGGAGGGACGAGGCGGAAGACGGTGAGCGCGAGGAAGGGGGCTGTGACGAGTTTGAAGAGGAGCGAGGAGCGGAGGAGTGCGATGAATTTGTCGTTCATCCGGATGGTCTGTCGGCATCGCGTTAGCGTGTCAACCTTAAGCCACAATGGGATAAGAAAGGTTTACACGTCGGATGTAGTCCTGGAACCCCTGCACACCGTGCGAGCGCAAAACGAACCAGAACTTGAGCGAGCGGAAGCGTCGCCCGAAGCCAAGGTGCCAGTTGCGGTAGTCGATGACCGTGCCTGCGTCACCGTGCTTCGTGCGGAGGAACTCGGGGGTGATGTCGAGCGCGTTGATGAGGTCTGTGCGATCGCGCACCCATAAACATGAGTTATCGAAGTTGGTCAGGCCCCACTATTTAATGCAGCAAGGGTGTTAGCATAGGAGCAGCAAGAAAGCGTAAGGTGGGAAATTAGATGGAGTGGAAGTCGGATTGTTCATCAACTTTAAAGCCGATAAAGGGACGATGAAGGAGCGACAGGGGATACGCATGCGAACATACTTTGTGGAAGTTCACACAGACGGAGTCGCCGTACTTGTTGATCGCTTCCAGCTGGCACGTCTCGCGGAACTCTGGGCATGCGAGCGCGACACCTGCCCAAGCAGCATCGACGTGCACCCACAGTGAGGGGTATTCAGCAACTGTGAGAGGTAAATTTTGTTAGGCATACACATGTCAAGTTATACGGATTTCTTGCCTACTGGCCCGAGCTCCTCGAGATAATCAACGCCTCCTGACGAGGTCGTGCCCACCGTCGCGACTATGCAACAGTACGGTCTACAGTCAGCTGTGACGCACACCAGACTATGGTTCTGCAACGTACTGAGAATGAACGGCCTCAGCCCCCTCGCCGTGTCCTCCTCCAGCGCCCTGCGCAGCGTCTCCCCACGCAGCCCATACCGGTCCTCGGACGTCACCTCCAGCGCGCGCACGGGTATCCCGAGCACGAGACCGGCTTTCTTGCCGAGGGAGTGTGTCTGCGTCGTGCAGTAGATGACGAGCTGCTGGGTGGAAACTTCGGGGGAGGCGCGTTGGTATCGCGAGCGCGCGACGACGACTGTGGTGAGGGCGCTGTCGGATGCCGAGGTCTGTGGACGTCATTCAGGTATGATCAGAATCAGGAGATGACATTGGAATGGAGGAATAGTATTGGCAGATAAGAAAGAATGTGTGGAGAGGGAGAAGAATGTGATGATGATCCAAAAGAACCAGGAGAAGTGCGGGGAGAAGGGACGGTGGGAGAAAAGTAGCCCGAGGCGCTGATGCGGACAACTCGGGGACGCATGTGAACATCGCATCGGCGACTCACCTGGATGACGCCCCCACCCACCTCCGACGCGTTGTAGAATGCTGCATCCAGACCCAGCAACTTCGCTGCCCAATCCATTACCACCGCCTCCAGCTCGGTGCACGCAGGACTTGCGGACCACTATATATCGAGGGATCACATCGCATGCGCTAAGTTAGCGCAAGAATGGTAGGAGCAGAAGAGCGATCGAACTCACGTTGAACCCCGGGTTCGCGGTGCTCGTCGCATACAGCTCGCCTAATATGCCCTCATACGTGCAGCCGGTCGGGAAGTACGCGAAGAAAGACGGGTGTTGCCAGTGCGTGAGACCTTTTTTGCGCGCGAAAACACGCAGCATACACACACGGGGTCAGGCGCGCTGCACCCGCGAAGAAGGCTGATGAAACACGGACGCACCAGGTATGATGAGCTTCTGGTAGTCATCTGCGATCTCCTGGAAGTCTTCGCCGACATCCGGCGGCGCGTCTGATTCAGATGACCAGCAGTCAGCGCCAGCTTAACGCCGGGGAGAAGGACAAAGGGAAGTTCGGACCGGGGAGCGCCTTTCTGAGGTAGCCAGGTTCGACCTGGGACTGGACGGGCTTGTCTTGGAGGGAGTAGTAGTACTCGCATATTCTGTCGATGGCCTGGTAGCCTGCCTTGCGAAACCTACACGTCGACAAAATAAGGTCAGACGTCGGTTGACCCTGAGGACACTCCCAGCGGAAAGAAAGATATTTACGTACTGTTCAATATCCATGATATCTTAGCTGTACAAAGGTCCTCTGGACGTCGGAGCGAGATGGGGGAAAGGTCAGAGAGTAAGACCCCTTGCGAGCCTGGCAGAGGAGGTGGGAGTGATGCTCGAAAGCGAGGGTTAATTAAAGCGAGGGCTAGGGCTTTATGTGCACCTTTATGTCGCGAGTTCTCATGCAAAAGCGAAGCCGACCCTGGATCAAAAGGTAGGGCCGAACACGCCGAGGGATGGAGCGAGATCGAGGAGACACGAACGAAAGGCAAATCTCACGACGAAAACGTGAGCGCACCGGGCGTTGCTTGTCCTCTCCAAATTCTAACTCCAAAAGTGATTTGTTTTAGGTTGACATCAATGATTCATGATATGTTGCTGTCATAATCAGCTGAGATAGGTGCTCATAGTATCGGCGTAAAAATTCCGAGATTGATCTTATCTGATAAACATCAGGTTTATTCAGTGTACGATCCGAGAAGCACGTTGCTAAAACATATGCTCGGATGTTTTGGAAGCCTATCGCGCCAAAACAAATTTTTTGCTTCATATTCTGATGACATTGATATTGGCTAAACCATTTGCCTATTCCTGATGCGGGAGGACGCAGATTTCGAACATAGAAGCCTGAGGTCCACTGAGCCAGCCTCTCTGCTCGGTATGTTTCTATTCAACGTGGTGGACACGAGACTCATGCGGTCCGAGACCCACGGGCCTATTCAATCTGACTGAGCTCTGGATTGTGGGTCCCATTTGTTCTGTGCTATGAGGTGTTACCCTTGGAAACGTCGATCAAAGGTAGTGTATGGTGATTATGGGACAGCATGGCAGGTCCGGTCTGCTCGAACGGTACTTGGGCAGTGTAGTATCGACTTCTTAGCACAAGGTCGATTCGTACCAGTCGTAAAAGGATGCCTCAGAACGGATGAGAGACGTGTTGATTTGAATACTGAAAATGTCAGTGGTCACAGTCTCCAACCTCGGTCCGATGCCGACCGCACCTTGTATTCGTCTTTGCCTCCGTCACCTCATGTGCGAGCGGGCTGATGGGGTCTATTAGATCGTGACCAGCTCGCTTCTCGCGTGTCGTCAGAGGACAGGTTCAGAGCTAATTGCGTCAAGATGCACTTCATCGAGACACTTCGAGATTCCATCCGAGGAATCATGCCTATGGTGTGTACGTGCGGGCGCAAGTTACGAAGAAGTGTTCCTATCAGATGTAGGAGGATGCAGGGTCACAGCACCTTTTAAGTGTAGACTGCGGAGGTCCTGAAGGTCAGCAGAGCGGAGACCTTACTCGCCAGCGTTTTCTGGACCGTGCTGAGCAGACCCTGAGCACCTGAGCACCGCTGTCTCAGCATCACAATGAACGGGCTCTACGACCGGCCTAGGGCGAGGTTTGACACAAAGGAGCAAATATATATCGCATTTTCAGGCTGTAGAATTGCTAGAAGCGACGAATACGCAGAGGCATGTTCCAGGGCAGTCGAACGAGAGCGTCAGCAGCTGAGGGACGAGATAAGATGAGCTGGAAGCGAAAGCGGCCTTCATTTTGGTAGATGCTACGGACCAGTGACACAATGCGTCAAAAGCCGTCAATGAGCCGAGATTTTGATTTGCTTGTGCCTGGGGAGGTGACTAGGCTATATGCGGTCGTATTTTGGCAAGATAAGGGCAGACGACGATGACATTTCGCGAGGGGACTATATGAGCAAGGACGGGGACTCGGTGGACGTTGATAGCTCGGTGATAGTATGAAAGGTCTTGATAAGCGGAGGCACTTCTGTGTTGCGAGCGCACCAGAGAGGGTAAGTGTAAGGTGAAAAGGCAACGACATACCAATGGAAGATAGGTATCCCTTCTCAGGTAAAGATTAACGAGCCCCGGAGAAACCTCTTATAGTACATGATTGACGCGTGAACGGGAGGATCTATGGAAGAAATAAGCGAGAGAGTCAGTTCACTGATAAGGCGCATCATGGCAGCAGAGGCCGGAACTCAGACGAGAATGAGCCTATCACAATTGATCTGGATATCTGGTGAAAACAAGTTTTGCACCGATAAGCACTCACCACTCTAAGCAAGTTAAGGCAGCCCCTGGCAGCCCTCACCTTGACTGACATGCGCTCGGTGCCCGCCAGTCAAGTTGGGGCCGTTTTGCTGGGATTCGGGGTGGTCGTCTTTAGGGTCTGGTCATCTCTGGGGCCTGGGTGGTTTGTGTTCATCAGAACGCTGGGCCAGCTGCGAGGCGGGATGGAGTATTCAGGTAAAGCTCACCGTGCCCTCCCTATGTGCATTTGAGCTAGCTAGCAAGTACTATGCATGACGGTTCCGAGCAACATGCTTATTTACGTGTGTTGATGCCACTCAGCATGTTGGTCTTTCGCAGAATAGGGGCCACAACAAAGTACTGCTCAGTCACTGCGCACGAGATTACAGCGTATTATTGAATCCAGAGGTATGCATTGTTATCATTACATTTTACATAGGGTAGATAAAAAAGCTAGGGATACACCGGTCATAGTGAAATACAGACATCATAATTTATGCACGTCTTAGTCCATGCTTGAGCGCGGAGAAAAAAAAACATACTACATGCAGAAACCCCGATGCGTGAGCCCTTTTTTACTGTTAAACTGGTCGCTGGCGCGTAGCAGTCCAGCAATAGATATAGATTGAGACAGAGACGAAATGCAAGTGGGTATACCATCCACGCGACCATTGATAATGAAAATATTCAACGCTGTTGCAACGCGTTAGCATTCTACACACCAAGGTATCACAGAAGATACTAATCGTCCTCACCTTCAAGAGAGCTCGAGGTATCCTACTTTGTGCCTCGATTCAAAGAGGCTCGTGAAACGCGCTGTGTAACATCCCGCACGCGTCGCTTGAGCCTTGCATCCCACTTGACCGGAGGCGTCGTCCCCTCTTCTGGCGTCGTTTCACTCATCGAGTGCCGCTGTTTCAGGTCGAAAGTGCTCGACGGCCGTGCGTCGACTGATCGAGCGCGCGGTTTTGGTTTGGAAGGAGCATGTATGTTGCCGGATCCGCCACGACCCGAATAGCGCTATGACAATGCGATGCCTGAGTCAGTCGGTACAACCAGGCCCAGGACATCATTCTGCGTACCTGAGGGTGGGCATCTGCGTGCGCCTGTCGCACGCCAGCCTCGTACCGTTCCTGCGCTACGTGCTGCGCGGCCATGATCTCCGCCGTTTGCGGTCGCAGCGGTTCGTCTGGGGACATGTTGTCGGTGATGTTGCCCAGTCCTCCCCGCCCGGATTTCTGCTTTGCCGATTTCTGAATAGGGGTAGGCAAAACGTCATGAGGCATTTAGCCACGTGAATAAAACGAGGAGGAATAACCAATGCTCGCCTTCGGCGGAGGAGCAAATACGGAATACTCTGATCGGGGCGAGGAAGACGCATAGGACCGGCGGCAGGGTTCCGAGCCCACTTGGGAGTCGTCGTCGGACGGGATGGCTGCCATGGACGCTTCGGCGCTGAGAGTGGTGATGTTGCCTAGGCCCCCTCGTCCTGACTTCCGCGTCGTTGGTTTCTGGATAGGAAAAGGGGGTCGTAAGGCAATTAGCCACGTGAACATAATAAGCGGAAAAACGGATACTCACTTTATGTGGGGAAGTAGACACGGAATACGCGGATCGCGAAGACGAGGCAAGCGATCGACTGCTTGGCTCTGAGCCTACTTGGGAGGAATCGTCTGAAAGGGAGAGTGATAGGCTACCCGCATCGGCGCTGCTTCTTCCAAGCGAAAACTGTACATCCGCCATTAGATAAAATCCCTCCGAAAAGGTAAGAGATCTCAAGATGCTCACGAGTGTGTCACTGATATGCGCCGCTTTCCGGTAGTATGGCTTCATACAGTTGTTAGGGAGAGGGACAAGGCGTATGACGCGGTGGCACGAAGGCGAGTGTCAAAGCGCGCGAGAGTCAACGTTGACAGTACGTGGAAAATACAATGCTTAAGAGGTGGACGTGTTTATGAAATGGTTGCTGAAACATACGCGCCTATATGCATGTGCGTACAGCACTGGGGCACAGGCTTATCAAGGTTAGCCTTATCGCAAGCTGTCTATAGGTCTCCCACGTCACATGGCCCGGACCTTGCAGAAGCGGCACAGAGGCGGGCCCCTGTAGTGGCCGTGGCTGACATCCTTCAAGGTTTGTTGCTGACGCCTAGCACCCATCCACTCGTTGCTCAGGGTCTGACGCGGGAGCAGATGTAAGCAGTATGATGATGTGGGTGATTGTTCGCTGCTCCAAGTACGTTCTAAAACGGACGTCCCCACATTGTTGGAGAGAGATAAGAGGTCGAGGAGTGCGCCGAAGTGCCTTTTGTGGAAATTTTGTGGGCAAATATCCTCAGCCCCTTGTGAGACTGTGCGACTGGACGGACGAGATGTGATCATAGCCCCGACACATACTGCTGCTCATTTGAGATGGTCGAAGGTACTGTGATAGGTTCAAATACAAACAATAGGTCCCCGTGATTTCTTGAGGACTCTGATTGACGCGTTACAGCCTCGCAGGGACTCGTTTGGACGGGACGTGGTTGGCGGGTGGTCTTGTGAAAGGTCCAGATTCATGCTGCTCAAATGCCGCCATCGTCGTGAATTCCCAGTGCGACAATGTACGCAAGAGAACCTTACCTGGACGCCCTTATCGCACTTAGGCCTCAGGTTGTCAAAAGAGAACCGGCTTTCAGTCAAGTTCCAATGCCAACAAGCACACGAACTCTGCCGGTGGTGAAGTGGACCACGGTCGCAAGGCTTATTCTTAGGCTCTTTGGTCGTATCCCAAAACCTGCCCACACGTTCATCCGGCTATGCTGTTAGTCTTCCATGCCTCCGAAGCCGGCTGTGTTCGCGTCCGATGCGGAGCGCGAGAAGTGAGAGACACGGTGATAAAAGCAGGAACAAGGCGAGAACGTTGTGGTCACATACTCGCGGGAAGGTTCATGATTACATGCCTGTGGTTGGCCGATACCTTTGTGCCCTGGTTCATGTCCACTTCTTGGTCTTATCGGAATCGCACCGCCAGTGATTTGGAGTCTCGGACAGGAAGAGCTTGTCTTGACTGGAAAGGTTGAAAGCCGCAAGCGCCGAGCTCAGGCCAAGCTTGCCGCGAACCATTGAAGACGACCTTTCGTGTTCCGCCCGGCATTCGCCGACGCGTTCTCGGAGACTTTGGACGCGCTCTACAGTCTGTACCTAGCCAAGTCCACTAACTCGGGTCCATCTATTTTATACAATGCTTAGCCTCCTCTATGCTCTGGAACATGCATGTACAGCACTCTTAATGAAGCTGGTTATTCTCGAAAGTCCAAATTACCTTCATTCAAGAGACCATCGGGCCGTACGAGTGTATACACGTTTCCGGCGTAGTAATGGAGCCTCGTCCACGTCAGGTCACCTCTCTGTTTTGTCCATTAACGTTGGGAGCTATCTTCAAGACCAACGCCTTCATAGACGGAGGCATCAATGTTGACGGTAGGAATGGCTGTGCGCATCATTGAACGTGTCCACACCCCAAACATGGTTCTCAGGTCGAATGGGTCCTCCTTGCACCATATGCATCGTCCGTGCAGAGAACAATACAAGGTTTCACCATATGGAGATGCACCAAAGGATATTAAACATGAGAGTTGACGTTGAGTTCTTGTTGTTGACAGCCTTCTCTCGCAACATGCCCCTAATTTCGAACTCCCCTGACCTTATACCTGACGTTAAAAGCTCTCTCGGCTTTACGTACATGCCCTGTAAGTGATACTATAATCTCAGCCCGAAGACTGACTGGTTCTTTCCCAGTCGCAGGGTTAACTTTGGTTTTCTACGATTACCGCGCGTCATTATCAAGATGCGTAGAAGTATCATACTCATAAACTCAAAAGTCCTTGGCTTCGCTGACGAGGTGAGTACATAGCCGAAAATGCTGCTATTCAGGAGGATGATAAGCACGTTCGCACTATCTGGTAGGTCGGGTATGTATCTCGGTTATATCATCAGACATAGTAACAAATGGTGTTCTGTATAACGCGCTGACCTTGATTTTGCAAAGGGGGTTTCCGCCGGCTAAGCTAGCCAGCCATTGACTATTATCAGGAATCATGGTTATTCGGGTGTGCGCAATCTGGGGATGCAACAAACCGGTCGTCGTCTCCCTGAACGTTCTGCTGCTTCTTGCATCGGTGACAGTGGTAGCCACAAACATCTCGACGATTTCCCCTTCTTCTGGTTTCATATGTGAGATAATTCGACAATAACAACCTATGTAACAACGTCTGACGCTGTGTTTCCTAGTCGAAGAAACAATTTACAACGGTTTCTATGTTTGCGGAAATACGCAGGAAAGCAAAGTCCCAACATGGTTCGAACAATCAACAGCGCTGTGTTTTATCACTTGAGCTGCTCATGATTGTCTTGACAGTCTACAAGTCTGTAGCAAATTTCAATACGAGTCAGAATTGGCGACAATTCTGGGATTTTCGAAAGACGCACGACTTGATGACGATTCTAGCTAGAGACAACCTCTTCTACTTCCTGTGGTGAGTACCTGAAGCTATAGGTCGAGCCGTGTTCATGATTGCGATGTCTGGAAACGTATGTAAGGGTATTCATCAACGTCATACTCACCACGATATACAGCCTTGTGCTGTTTTGTCCTAGGTAACGTAAAAAAGTCTTTTTCCCGGGCACTCGATGTGCTGAACATTTACTCAAACTAGCTACGATCAAGGTCTCAAGGACTTGACTGCGTTTAATGTTGTGGCTACCCTCTCACAATACATCCGAATATGTCTACTTGGACCGTGGCTCCTGCTACATCTCCGAAGGAAAGACTCTATCAGAATAAAGGGGCAATCTACATCTGCTGAAGGCGAATCAGCTGGAACTAACACTACTATCATGTTCGCAGGTCTGCAGAGCTCTGTATGAGCGCTAGCAGATGCTTGAGAATCGAAGGAGCCTCAGTAAATATGTAGAAGAAGATTGGATATAGCCAGTTAGAATCTTTCATAAGCTCGACCGTTAATATCGATGCCTCTTGAGACCAGTAAAGTTGGAATAGAGCTATTCCTATCTGTGTGGCGCTGTGCTTTCGAGGCCGCTCACCTATCTTAATGTCGCTGTATTCTTGCTGTATTCTTGCTGTGTTGTTGATCTCCCCGATATCACTCCCCGAGGTATGTCCCGACCTCCTGCAGAAGGGAGGCGGCGCCAGTATTATTTTAGCCAGTTCGAAAGGCGCTGGCATTGTTCTCATCCGGGTAAAATAAACCTCGGGTACAACGCTGTTCGACCAAATCGGTGGGAGCCGTAGATATGTTGTACCTTGCCACGCATCCTATGGTACCATATTCGAATGGGACTCTGATCTCACAAGAGTCATCGACCTTGCTTCGACCATCATCAACTTGGCCTCTCGTCTGTTTTTCGGTATCTCCTTCTCTTACCATCAGGAGCACTACCTAGAGTAATATTCGACTGTTGTTGCTGTGGAACCAATACAACGTCGTGCCGACCGCGGCGCGACCGGAGTAACCGTGGAAGTGCTGATAAGAGCACACGCTAAAGCTTTTTTCCTATTGGGAACTTGCGAAACCGTAAAAAGCATAGCTCGGCGCTAATCCCGAGCGCTAAGTAAAATTTCGTGGGAGAATGAAATAGCCGCCAATCAACGGGCAGTTCGGTACCTGTGCAGCTCGTGCGTCATCGTTGCCCTCCCCGAGCAAACCTCCGGTACGCCGAAGTCAAGGAATAAAGGTACGTACGGCGAACGTTCTTATCGATTGACCACTCTAGCTTTATCTGATACACGCAGATGAAGTCGCTAGATGCAGTGTCCAATCCCTTGCCGTCTCCGTGTTCGGCGCAGAATAAGACACACGAGGCCCACGAACACGCAGACGTCAACGCCACTGCCATGGCCGGAACCCCACTGAGTTCCCCGAAACGGTGCCATCTTTGTAACGTATCCGGGGAACATGTAACATCTTTGTTTATTTCTATGCTCCAAAACCGGGGGGACACTGGATGTGGCTGGTCGCGTGTCGTCACTTTATGAAGGCGCGGATCGAAACTCGGCTCGGATTCGCAACTCTTTCTTCTCTCCCCTCTTCGTGGATTCTCTTGGCTCTTCTCATTTTGTCCCGGATCCCTCCCCCTTTTCCGCAACGCTGGACAGTCTTAAGTGAAATGCGAATGGTTGACATCAGCAATGACCCGAGTCTCTTGCCGGAAGTGGAGTTTTTTCAATCTTTCTGCTACATGACCTGTGAGTGTCTCCTTAGAATTTCATTCTCTTGGAGACCTTCAGCCGCCCCTTACCATTCATTGTTCAGTCGCGACATTGACTCTGGTTTACTATGACTATCGTGCGTACTCTCAACTAAGTTGTGCTTAGGTATCTTACCGACGTAAATCATAGTTCTCCATTTCTCCGAAGAGGTAACGTACCAGTCATGGATGTTTCAGACCGAACTCACAATGGTATTTCACTCCATTAGCTCGACTATATTTGGGTACGTACTTTCTCGGATTTGGCTCTAATAAGCCCCTTTTGTTCACGCCCAAAGCTAGAAGCGCTGCTGGTCGTTTGGGAAAGTCACGTATATCTTCGTGAGTCAAACTACAATGAATATTTCTCGTTACTTGTACTCACTTTCGCTCCTAAGCTACGATACGGAGGCATGCTATATATCACGTTAGTCGAAGGGGATTAACATGTTGCAAATCAACTGACCTCGCCATCGGTTACAGATGTTACCTTGGTGAGTCGTAAACCATCAATATCTTATCCATGTCTAATTCGCAACTCTTAGTCCTCTCCATTCCACATCACCAAAGCGATAAGGTGAGAAACGTGTTAAATTTTTATTCATTGTGTGAGCGTCTACTCAGGTTCGGACATACTTAGACGTGAGTTTTTTCTTGTGCTATATCCTGCGCTTAGACGCTGAATTTTATATCCCTCCAACAGATGTAAGCGCGTATTCTCTATAGAACATATTTCCAGATGAATGACGTTACTTCATTAAGGCTGGATCCTGGAGATAATAACGAACGGTTTTCTTTATAATACACTGACGTTGGTACTACAAGGTGCGCTTTTGCTAAGTTTAGCTGCGAAGAATTGCTGAAGCAAGAAACCATGCAAGGCGTCATGGCTGTCCGAGTTTGCGCGCTCTGGAACAACCAGAAAAAGGTCGTCGCTCCCTTGCTTGTCCTTCTCGTTATCGCAGAGGTTACATACCTGGGGGCGAATATATCCAACCTGCTGCCTTCAACCGGCTTTGTCTGTGCGTCATATCGTTATGTCATTCTGGGTCTTAACAGCTGACGATAACAGTCGAAGAGACCGTATATCTTGGGCTTCCTGTCTGTGTCAACACACGACAGAGTAACCTCCCTGTTTGGCTCGAGCCGCTGAACAGCGCTGTATTCCTCAGTCTCGAGCTTGTCATGATGGTGCTTGCGTTATTCAAGTCCTACTCGCACCTCAGATGCCTGCGTGGCCGTATCTGGGACTGGAACGCGCATGACTTGATGACCGTCTTGATCAGGGACAACTTTTTCTATTTCTTATGGTGAATTTTGACTCATTGATGACATACGGGGACAAGGCTGAATTACGCCTACTCCACGCTAGGGTTCTCGTCAACATCATCCTGACCGCCATATACAGCATTGTTCCCTTTCGTTCCAGGTAAGGTTCCAGGACACGTTAAGTTCGATGCTGCATGCAAGCGTACTGATGATTACTTATGACTCCTAGCTACGACCAGGAGCTCCGTGTGGCGACCGGATACGACATCGTGACCACTGTTGCGCAGTATGTCAGGATATGTCTTCTGGGGCCGTGGCTTATCCTGAGCCTGAAACGTCAAACACCCGGACTGAACCCTACAATTTCACGGCAGAGCACGATTGCTTTTGCTGTTCTCCGATCAGAAGCGGAGACGCGTACGATGGCTTGATGTGTCTATGGATTTATTGTTATCTTGCCTTATTTCTTATGAATCATCGTTGAGCGGCGCAGTAGCATTATTGTAATGTCGGGCTGTATCTAAGCTGTATCGTACAATATGTAATTTGCTTTTGTGCTATGTTATGTCTCCGTGTAACAGTAGTAGTTCAATTTACCCTAAGAGTAATAATGTCTTTGTAGTAGCGTATCCGGTGTGTTTCGAGCCATGGGCCCCGGCGGGGAACTCCATCCAGCGAATGAGTGAGCGTGTCCGTGCGCATGCCGACACAACACGTTATCTCGTGCCAGCTGCCTCGATATCGAAATCCCTTTTGATTTCGTCTCCTCGGGCCACAGCATCTCAGCGGCGTTGACGCGGACAAACACGCTGATACCCGGCACCGCAAGCGACGATGGGCAACACTCTTTCTCTCTTCCGTCTCGCTCTCAAGGAGTTCATCGACAACCTCCGCGTGTACCAGGCGCTGCAAGCCAAAGCGCTCGCGTCGCCTGGATTCCCGCGTCCGAACTCGACACTGCCCTACTGGACCGTTCCGCCGTCCCCTATTGCGCACCATATCTCCGAGTTGCCTGACTATGCGGACGTCGTTATCATTGGCTCTGGGATTACGGGGACGTCGGTAGCCCGTGCGCTACTCGACCGGTGTCAGAAGGAGGGGAGGAGGGTAAAGGTGGTTATGCTCGAGGCAAGGGAGGCATGTTCCGGAGCTACTGGCCGGTGAGCGTGACCGAACATTCCAAGTCTCTCCCCATCTCATCCACCATGCGTATCCCGTAGAAATGGAGGACACATGACACCGCCGCTATACCATGACTACCTCTCGCTCAAGCAAGAGTTCGGCGAAGCCATGGCGCACAAGATCATCCGCTTCCGGCTGGCGCACATCGACGAGATGCGGCGCATAGCGGAGAAGGAGGGTATCTTGGCAGAGTCGCAGGCGCGGCATGTCGAGACAGCCGACGTGTACTTCAAGCAGGAGATGTTCGATAAGGCGAAGGCAAAAATGGAGCAGTGGGCGAAGGAGATGTCGTTAGAAGCAGCGACACATCGAGTGTATGAGGGTCGGGAGGCTATTGAGGTAAGCTGTATGGTTGCATGTTGGCGAGTCAGCGAAGGCTTATGCTGGTTCGTAGACGTTCAATCTGGCGTCTGATACTGTCGGCTGTATTGCATGTACTGCTGGGGCGATGCATCCATACCGGCTGGTGACGGGAGTTCTTGAACGTTTATTGGAAAGACATTCTGAGAGGTACGTTTCAGAACCGTAATTAAGTAAAGTCATCGAAGCTGATGATCTGTCAGTTTCTCCTTGTGCACTCAAACTCCATGTACATCCATCTCGGCGCCCTCCTCCTCATCCCCCCACTACGTCCTCTCGACACCCCGCGGAACCATCTCCACCTCTCACATCATCCACGCGACAAATGGCTGGGCATCGACCCTCCTCGAGCCCATGCGCGGCAAGATCATCCCTTTTCGCGGAACCATGTCTGCCCAGCGACCCGGTCGCACCCTCACTCCAAAGGCACTCTCGGGCCAGCGCTCCTTTGTGTTCTACTCTGCTAAGCTCGGGTACGACTATCTCACGCAGTTACCTGGACCACCGACGGGCTCTTACGAGCTCATGCTCGGGGGTGGATTCGCTCAGGATGGCGAGCAGGGGCTTGAGGCGCTCGCGAACGCGGACGATACGGTGTACGACCGGACGGTCGGAGCGCATCTGAGCGGTGTGCTTCCGCGGTACTTCGGGGAAGACAACTGGGGCGCGGAGAGTGGTCCGGGGGAGAATGGTGAAGTTAGTGAAGGCAGTGTCAAGTGGCACGAGGGCAGGGTGAAGTCGCTCTGGAGTGGTGTGCTCGGTATATCTGCGGACATGCGTCCGTGGGTGGGGCGCGTGCCGACCTCGGTCTCTGGGCGCCCTGAGCCGTCACGGGCAACATCCGACGTGACCGAGGAAGAGAAGGGCGATGTTTTACGTCCTCTTGCTGCGCCAGGCGAGTGGATCGCAGCGGGGTACTCGGGCGAGGGTATGGTGCACGCATGGATGTGCGGGAAGGCGCTTGCGGCGATGGTGCTCAACCGTGAGGTCGATGATGGCCTGGCAGGGTGGTTCCCAGACGCCATGCGCATAAACGAGAAGAGATGGAAGAAGGCGTCGCCGGAGGGACTGCTGGAGATGCTGAGCAACGACGAGTGAGCTACCTCTTGCTCACTTCAGGTGCTCAATTGGCACGGTGCTTTAGATTTGGTTGACTACCTTCTACTTACAGATGTTGTATCTCTAGATTTACGACGCATTTGTTGTACCATATCCACTGCTTGTATCTGTCTCAGCCCCGACGTAGACGCGCTTAGTTATAAAAACTATTGTCGGGCTTTTGTTCCGCGCGTCAACGCGCGTCGATGATTGGCTGCATCTGATTTGGACAACAAAGGCAAACAAATAGACGCGTAGCGCGTTCCCTTTAAAGTCCGTCACCTTCACCTTCCTCACTTCACTGAATGCCCTCGTGCCACTGCACGCAGTGCGACAACCAAAGGTAGGAACACCATATTTCTCATACTATCCCCAAACAATAACCTGTAATCCCTAGAGAGCCCAGATTCTAGCCTGGCCATAATCAGTCTCTACTTGCGTACGGTGGTTTGCAATATACCGTGACGTTACCAATTAACAGCAACAGTGAGCAGAAATCCGAATTTCCTCAACTTCATTCGATACTTATATTATCAGAGGAAAGCTACACTTTCAAAAAGGTTGATATATATATCTTGACCCTATGTTGGCTCCCGACGTTCACAATGGCGTCACACTTGAGGCAGTCGCCGGCGCTATAGGCGTAATGAAGGTAAGGTTTTCTTAGGCGTGCATCAGTCTTTTTGTATGTTAAGGTATTCAATTATGGATGAACAGCTCGACGATTCTACGCAGTTGAATTATGCTACCTCTAGCGACCGGAGTCCCATCGATCAGCTCCCTACAGAGATTCTCAGCCTAATCCTGCAGCTTACACAGCCTCCTTCGGTGTTCCTAGACAGGTCTAATCTAGGTGCCTGGCACTCTGTCTTCTGGAAGAGCCAGGGTCTCAAACTATCTCTCATACTCGTTTGTCGTCGGTGGTATTCGGTTGGAGTGGAACGTCTCTACCAGGACGTCAATCTCCGTCATCCAGCGCAGATCATGGCTCTATCCAACACCCTCTCGTCAAACTCAGAGCTAACTTCGCTTATCAAGACGCTGAGCGTCAATGGCATCTCATGGACAATATACAAACCAAATTTGTCACTGATATCGTTTGTCAGGGACCTCATCCATGCTTGCCCCAAACTCTCTCGCCTGGACGTGTACGATCTTCTCCACTGTACTGATGTGGACGAGCTGTGGTCTAGCATCGATTCATCCCCGGTTTTAACCCTCAATATTCACCAAGATAGCAGTCGCCTAAGTCTGTACGGATTCCAAGCATGCACGTCCCTTGTCAGCCTCTCGCTCGATCTTTCCATTCAAAGGTCCGACATCTGCGAGTCCGTGACACTCCCTTACCTCACGGATCTCCACTTGCGCTTTACGTTGGCGATTGAAAGAATCCCAGAAAGTCTCGACGTCTTGACAGAAACGTGGACTATGCCTGAGCTCCGCGCCATCTCTATCCGCACCCGGGACTGCGAGCCTGCGCCTTCGCTCGCCCGGTTTCTGAAGAAGCATGGAGGACATATTCGATACCTTTCTCTCTTCCTCAATTGGATCTCGCAGAGCTATACGACTCACGTTATCCCCACCATGAACGACCTACCGATGCTACTTGGCCCCTATCCTGCGGTGGAACATCTCGTTCTTGGTCCATTCGATACGACGTGGGCATCAGCACTCCGCCACTCTGAGGTGAAGTGGCTTGATGTATTCTTGGAGACGAGGCTTTTCAGCACTGAGGTCAAGCGGGCTTCGGTCGAGCGCGATCTTCGCGGGGCGGAGTTCCCGAAACTTCGCGGGCTGCGGCTGATTGATCGGGCGCTTACGTTTTCGCTCTCAGAGGACCTGCCTCGAGCGCTGCCTCCGCAAGAGGGTCCGGGCGACGGAGAGCGATGGACGTGGCAGTATCCGGGGATGCATATTGAGTACCGAAAGGGAGTGCTGGAGCGCATGAACGATCGGTATCTGGACACGTTTATCGATGCGTCTGTTGATGCGTTCTGTGATGAGGCGAGCGACGCGAGCTCAAGCTCTTGTTCTTGTCAGACACTTTCAGATTCTGATGTGGACGGAGAGCATGACGAGGACGAGGATGAGGCAGAACCCAGTCCACACTCTGAAGAAGATAGCGTGGGGTCAGACCTGGACACTGGCACGGACAGCACTTGGTCGCAGTGCACTGGCGCTTCTCTTTCATTCTCCGAGGTGTCCTTTCCCGCTGACTCTTCCGAGTCAGAGTTAGGACTCGAGGAGAGCGGAGGCCATGAATAGTATCTGTATATGATAGGTATGCTAATAGCCCTCTGACTTTGTCTGGCACTAAACTCTGTAGCCCTTTTGTATAATATCCGTCAATCAATCTTATTTAACCTCAATGGCTCATAAGAGCTCCTCTCCCAGATTATCACCCTGATCGATCCGAGCCGGTAGCTGCGTGCGTGTTGAATATCTATATGTCGGCTTTTAATGTGACAGGGGATGCCTAAACATGAGGAGGGGAATATAGATTGTAAAAACAATTTATTTAGAACATCATTCCCTCTTCTATCAAATTATCGTCTAAGTCGAATAATCCCATTCCATCGCCGGTCGAATGTCAATATCCCCTACGTCTTGCACCCGGACATTGAAGAAGTCTACCGCCTGCTGCGCTGTTGGCCTTCCATTCGGCTCTCTGTCCCAGCATTCCTCCATGAATGACCAAACGCCATCGTCCTGATACGGAGTGTCAATCCTGTCAGGAACTTTCCCTGTCACTATTCGAAATATGATCGCTGCATCCGCACATCCGTAAAATGGGGTTTTACCACAAAACAGCTGCGGCGCCGGGGAAGTCAGTACTAATCGTTTGCGAGAAACAGCTTCAGTCTGACCTCGTAGCAAACTCCGCCGAAAGCGTACATATCGCTTTTTGGGGTGTACGAGCTATGTCCAATACTGTCACCTTCAAGAACCTCTGGCGGTGTCCACGGAGTGCTATGTGCAGATTCCATCGTACTCGTGACATGCATCTGTATGGTGTCTTTTGCGGTCGAGAATCCAAAGTCTATGAGACATGCTCGCTGGCTATCCGATACCAGAATATTGTCCTGTTGTTTATCTCTTACTTAGCACACTCAAAGAGTGCATACGTCAATGCTAGTGCACTCACCCCTTTGATGTCGGTATGCACGATGGGAGGTTCCCAGCCGTGAAGAAAATACAGTGCTTGTGCAACATCCACGGCCTAAATGAATAATGTGGATGAATATGCGAGAAGTTATCATGATGTCAGAACGTCACTTTACCAAGAGTGACCGATTAGCACCATAATTGTTTTCGAGAAACATGCGAATATTTCCGTGCCTTAGATACGGAGAGACAATGCAGAGAGTTTTTTCTTGCTGAAACACGCCCAAGAGTGGGAGAATGTTGGGATGTCGAAGATGACTCCACACGGTCACTTCGCTGGCGAAGGTCTTCGCACTGATGTCAGTATTGAATATTTGGGGCATCGGGTATCAGAACACGGCAACGATACTTACCTTCATCAGCTTCTCGAAGTCTGACTTCTGGTAAACTCGTATAACTTTAATGGCAAGCTGTACATTTGGTTTTGCCTCCGTCTTTCCTATGTAGATGTCCCAAAACCCTCCGCGTCCAAATGGTACAGCTTCCCACGTAACATCGCGCAAGTTGAGGCACTGAGGGTAGCGTCCCGATTTTCCAGCGAGCTTGATAAGCGCATACCGTGACATGCGTTGGATTTCTGGACCGATGCTTGAGCGAATGATGGTCTGTTTCACATATTAACCCGGCAAAACGTTTGAGAATGGGGTTATTTTGGCAATGACTTACAGTTTGTAGAAGGTCCAATAGTATTTGCGCGTCCTGACCCTTCTTCTTATAGATTTCTCGCACTAAGTTGTGACTCTCCAGAAGAATAGCGAAGTGACGAGCCAGGGACCGAACGTCGCGGCTGGCCTGTATGGCTGCTAGGCCGTCGGGCAAGCCTCCAGACAAAGACAGGTGTCTGCAACCATCTTTATCGGGCTATGTGCGGTTGGTTTATAGTCAAGACTATGTAGCGAATGGGGGTACGAACTTTGATACCAATAATCTTCTGGATCTCTATCTCGATATGTTCGTGGTTTACGAGCCATGAAAGAGGCTTATCCTGGTTTTGATCAATTATTTCATCAAGTGTTCGTGTGAGTTCGAGTAGGACACTGTTTATCTTTCGTCAGCATTTAGTTATCTGCAAGACGATTTAAGCACCATTGATTTGTTATGCAATGTGATACATGAGAGAACGCGACAGCGATTAGTGTCTGACATTCACTATCAGCCCAGGCATATTAGATATTGAAAGACCTGGACAAACCGGATAGATGGGAATCAATCGGAGGTACTCCGAAGCAACGTCTAGATCAACCAATAACGTTGAAAGTTGCTCAAGTACCCCCTTTCCCAAACTACTATGACAAGCTCGAATAAAGGGATGCAGACCCTTTGCTCGCGCCACACCAGCTACAATGATATGACTTTGACAAAAATTCAAGTGGCAAAAGCTGTGTGAACATACTGGTAACGGCACTTTGGTCCAAACCATTCTTTGTATTGTCCGTGTCTTCATCTCTGAAAATATGTTCTGCAGTGTTCGTCTGAGACGTGTAGGCTGAAACATCAGTAGCCATGCTATCTGTCGCATCCCTAATCGTCGGTTGTGGCGATCTTCCCTCATATAACCCTACACTGTCTTCATATATGTTCTGCAACATTTCCTGGGTGGCTTTGCGTTGGGCGGCTTCCCGCGTGAGTGCTGTAGCTGTAGCCCAACTTTTGCCAGCCACTGTAGGCGTGGTCGATGAGAACGTGTCATGTTACGGCGTGTTACTGTACTTACCTATGGCGGTAGACGTCCATGCTGTAGGCTGATACTTCGGGCCGCTTGCACTATTTTCAAAATTCAGAGAACCGACCTTGCACAGTCCACCAACAATGGCGTCTATTGCCCGATTGTAAATGCCTGTGCTGCCAAAGGTGGTATTAAAGGGCATGTACGGCCTAGTGACGTGCATAGATAAGCTTACATGGAGACTTCGTAATCCCGTTTATGGTCGAGAGGCTGGACCCGTTGATAGGATGGCTTAAATCGAAACGATGAGAAGGGCTGAGCTGGGAATCAATACATATAGATGCCGAAGGCTTTGGAGTTTGCATGGGCTGTCCAATCGGGTTAATTGAAGAGATATCATAGAAAGATAGAATATACTCACAAGGAGACTTTCCGTCGATTTGGGCTCTACTACACCAAGCTCGCTAAAGCCGCTATCGAGGCGGCCAGATGAGGTGCGAGCCCCTTGCTTGTACTGTTTGATCGACGAAAGTGACAACAAAGGATTGTCTTTGTTGTTGTTGGCCAAGGTAGCATGAGAGCTTTCTCCACGTCTGTCCATGGGGTAGTATGTGTTTTCTGCCGGGGAATTGACCAAATCATACGTTCCATACTGCCCGTAGAGTTCTGCCGTCTTATCCGTCATCTTCTTTTGAGGAGGAGGGCAACGTCGCTAGAGCACAAGAAGAGAACAGGTGTGACGTACATTAGAGAAGAAAGTCGGCTCGAGGTAGACCTCTCCCGAATATTTGTCTTTCTTCAACAAGGGGAACCACTCTGACGAAGTCAATCAACCCTATCCGTATAACAGAGAAGTTACTACGCACCAGTAAGCACCTCTGTCAAATCCACTAGGGTTTTTCCAATCAGTTTCGGATCACGCGGCTCAGCCGAATAGCATGACAGTCTCATCGCTTTCGTCCTCTGAACCCTCATGTCCGTCCCTAGTCCTTTGGGTGGAAGCGGAGGCGGTATATCCGAGCCATGTACAGTACGACTCAGTTCGACCCCCTCATCCGCAAACATGGTGAAACGGAGCTCCTCGTCCCATTCTGGATGTTGACCTCCACGCTTTATCGCTTTGGTACGCCGTATGTCGCCATTGAAGGAGATGGCACAGTACGGATCTTGCTTCCCGAAGTATCTTTTGTTGACTAGATTTCTCTAGGCCGGATGAGAGACGAGAGAGGAATTAACGGAGAGCAGTCTTACATACCGCTTTGAGAACGACAACAACGAGGGTGCCTATTTTGCGTGGCTTTGTGGGCATTTGAGTAGGATGTGGACACAAGGGAGGGATAGGCATGTTATGCACTCCAACGGAGCACGGCAAGTATGATCGCAGCCTTGCAGTGAAGCATGCAACCGTAGTTGAGCTCCCCAGGATAAGTATAGTCCATGGCTGTGTATGGGCTCTCTCGAGTGGTAACTCTGTGCCTGCTTCAACGGAGGGCGCAGAGTGTGTTCCCACGGCTCAAGACAGCCTACCATTAATGTTACAAGCCCCTATTCCATCGGAGCGAGGGTAGAAACAAGCCTCCCTTCTGACGTTTCTTTTGTCCAAGGTCAATCCAATTCGAGATAAAGTCCATTTCGTAATGTGATTATTCCTTCATGGGCCGTTTCATGAGCTCTCTAGATATCTCGTCCCATAATCTTCAGATAGCTCATATATTGAATATCGTTTTGGTGATTATATCTCTAGTGTGCACAGCACGGTTGCACGATGTGCGGAATGGGATTACGGATACATATGTTGGCAGTTCTAGCGGGAGTAACTGTCGCTCCTCTCCCTAAGTCCCGTCGAGAATTGAGTAGTCCCATTCTACCGCTGGCCGCAGGTCAACCACGCCAGCGTGTAATGCTCGAATTCTAAAGATATATACCGCCCACTGACTAGTCGGCCTTTCCATTAGCTCCATACTCCAGCATTTCTGCATGAATGACCAGACGCTGTCGTCCATGTGCTGTCCGTCAATCCTATCGGGGGTTTTACCTGTCATTATTCGGAAAATGATGTTTGCATCTGTACAGCCTTGAAACGGATCTCTATCACAGAATAGCTGCATTGTCGGGAGGGGTTGGTCAATATGTAAACCATCGTCGACTGTTTATTTGATAACTCTGACCTCATAGCAAACTCCGCCAAAAGCGTACATATCGCTCTCTGCAGTGTAAGCTGAATGCCCCACATTATCGCCTTCAAGAATCTCCGGTGCCGTCCATGGAGCGCTACGTGTTGACTCCATCGTACTTGTGACATGAGGTAGAATGGTATCTTTTGCAGTGGCGAATCCGAAATCAATGAGACACGCTCTCTCGGAATCCGAGACAAGAATATTATACTGTGATATAAGTTGTCTTTCAGCGCACCGAAACAGTACGGAAGAGTACATGGCGCCACGTACCCCTTTGACATCGGTATGTACAATTGGAGGTTCCCATCCGTGAAGAAACTCCAATGCTTGCGCAACATCTAGGGCCTACGCATCTACTGAGTACCAACACGCCACATGTTGTCATAGAAGTACTATACCAAGAGCGTCCGGTCGGCTCCGGGATTATTCGAGAGATACCCACGAACATTTCCGTATTTAAGATACGGAGAGACAATGCACAGAATTTTCTCTTGCTGGAGCACACCATTGAATGGAAGAATGTTAGGGTGACAAAGATGACTCCACACAGTAACTTCGCTCGCGAACGCCTGTCAAGGTTACCGTTATTCGACACGTCATTTAAAAATGGTGAGAACGTCACCAGCCTTTAGCAGCTTCTCAAAATCAGACTTCTGGTAGACCCTAATAACCTTGATAGCGAGCTGCACATTTGGTTTTTTCTCGCTCCTTCCCATGTGTAGATCACCAAAACCACCGCGTCCAAATGGCTCGGATGTCCATGTAACATTGCGTAAGTTGAGACAGTGAGGATAACGTCCTGACTTAGCAGCAAGCTTAACAAGGGCATATCTAAACGTGCGTCGGTATCTGTCATATGTGGTGTTGTTACTTGAGTGAATGAGGATCTGGACCACATATAATGAAATTTGATGAGTGATACGATGCTGTTGATAGCAACTCACTGCTTGTAGAAGATCCAGCAAAGTTTGTGCATCCTGTCCTTTTTGCTTGAAAAAATCATGCGTCAAGCTGTGGTCTTCTAATATAGTGGCAGCTTGCGCAGCAAGAGACAAATAATCACGATCAACTTGTGTGGCAATTTGACAGTCCGGATCTCTTGATCGGGGCAGATGTCGGCAATAGAGCATATCAGGCTGTATACATAATACTAAGCCAACGCCGTGTTCTGAGCAAGGAAGACGAACCGCAGTATTGATGATTCTTTGTATGTCTGCCTTAAAACGAGCGTGATTTATGAGCCATGAGAGCTGCATGTGTCTATGATGACTAATCGCTCCATCGAGAGTTTGCTTGAGCGTAGCTAGGTAACTGGTGTTACTCATGTTAGTGCCCGATTATGCGCACGAATTCTCTATGCACCTCCGGTCTGTTAAACAATTCGATGCATGCGAGAGCGCAAGGGCTATGAGCATCTGTGATGCGTGGTTAGTGCTTGCGATGTTTCAACCCTTGGATGTAGTTTGACAAACAGGATAAACGGGGATTTTCCCCAAATATTGGGCGGAAAGCCCCCGATCCCCCGAAAGAAGTTCGTCAACTATCTCCTTATTCATTTTATAACAAGAAGCTACATTTATGGCACGGGTTTGTGGCGCATTAGAAATAAGAGGGTCAACTGACAAAGCTATGGTCAGCAAGGCTTCGTAGCTCACCATTAATGAAATTATGATCCCACTTCGTCCCTTCGTGATCTCCCTCCGCCTTGTCTTGATGATGCACGAGGCCACTTTGCTGAAAGTGTGCATGAGGATAGGCGATCTGGATATCTGATGCTCCCCAGGTTTTGCAGGCTTACCTCATATGATTTTGTACCGTCTTCGCCCATGGGCTGCAAGATCGTCTCCCCATGTTCATGTTGAGGATGGTGTAGCGCATCTAATATGTCAGGGGTATAGATAGAGTCCACATGCGGACCACTTCTGAGATCTCACCTTCGTATACTAGGGGTACCTCCAGCATCATATATTCTGGCTCGGGCTTACCATGGTTTGGTTTTCTTCTTTTGATTGACTTGCCATCGTTAGGACTTTCGGCGGACTGCTTACGCTTAACCGCGGCCCCGGATTCTGTAATATTTTGACAGTGTCCCATGTGCTGCCACTTGTCGATCGCGGTTACGAACGTCCGTGTGCAGCCTTCATACAAGCAGTGGTGCGTCGCATGGGAGCGCCCGTGACGGAGTATGTCGTTAGGGCTGATGCTGAAGGCGTCGGACGACGAGGCGTAGGATAAGGGGTAGGGTGAGGCACGGACGGACAGGGTGTGGCGGTGACGGACGGATCTGGCGGGGCTGGGGGAAGGGGTGTTGATGGGGAATGGCTCGGGCGGAGTGAGTTGGCGAAGCTCGTTGACAACACCGCCGAGGTTGTCCAGGTCAAAGGCTGAGGGCACGTCCTCGGTGAGGAAGGGGCCATTGCCGTACTTGTCGGCTAGGGATGTCGGCGCAAACAGACTATTTAAGTCAATGTAGGAGCCGTAGGGAGAGTCGAACGACTTGGAAGTGATGATGCCGCGTGGGTCGCCTAAGGTGATGGCTAGGTTCATGAGGGAAGAGGCGTGACGACGATGGGACGAACCGGCGCTCAGCCACAGATTTTGCCTGTAGTAGGAGTCGGATGTCGCATAGCTAGCGACGCCACTATCAGGCGATAACCACGATCCATGATGAAAGGGGAAGCACGCAGTCAAGCTGAGAACTCACGGCTTCGGACTTGAAGGAGGGGGGACAGCGGAGACATTGGGATGGCAGTCCTTGTAGACGGACTGCTGCTGTGAGGAGGTCATGAACAAGGGAGTCGGTGTTAAAGAGAGGGTGGGCACAGGTTGGTGTTCAGTGTTCAAGCTCAAGCGCGAGTGGAACGTGGCGCCCACGTGGCGTGGAGGCAGTTACTAGCATTAATAGAGGGATCGCCTTCTCCTCTTGCGCCGCGGGTCTGTTCGGGCTCATTCGCTGACTAAATAAGATAGTCACTAGCTTCGAGGAAGGGAGCGTGACTGGACCGTCGAGAGAGCATTTGAAGATACATTTGGTGCTTTATCACTGTGTATCGTAAAAGTGTATAAGAATTAAGGTTATGCTTCGAGTTTGTGCTATCCTACTCTAATGATAAGCTAATTAACCATTACACGCTACACCCTTGCAAGCACCTTGACCTGGTAAGTTGAAGCCCGGCCTGATTCTCTATCCCTTGAGATTCAACTTCAGTGAATTGTGGTAGTATAAACTCAAGTTCAATACAAAAAGGAGAGCCAAACGAGAGCGGATTTTGCATTGAATACAGTTGAACCTATGATCAGGGATGACGTGGATGATGGAATCGATTTAGGGATAACGTTTGAAACAGTGACACTGAACCACGTTGACATCCGCAAAAGGTTTGTGTGGAGAGTAAGGATAGTGTATGTATGGGGTGCACAAACTTGGCAGCGCACTGAGAAAATTAGTACTAGTGCAGCTTTGTGAAGAGCGTAATAAGGCGCAAGGCTGAAATAACAGCTAAAATTCCAGCCTCCAGTGCAATGTTGCGAGCTAACAAGCCAAGGAAGTTGAGGGTGTTACGGTACTGATGGAAATGTGAGGAGTAACTTAAACATGTCATAGTAGTTGTAGTCTGGCGCCGGAAAACGAGTCAGTCTATCTAAGTGGGCACTCTATTTTCGAGGTGTAAGGCTGAGGGCTGATATGGCATTGATGTCGGCGTAGTCGCTAACAAGCTAAATTGCTGGCATATGCGTGAGCATGACAAGGATATGCTTCGATACGCAATACGTAGTAGTAGCACATCGCTTTGTGATTTGATTTTGGGTTTAGTTCTGAGTGACATGTGACGCGATGTGCCGTACAACGTACACGTCAGGCTTGGACATGGTCCCAACATGGTCGCACACTTTATTCTTAGTCTCCCTCACGTAAAAACTCGAAGGTCACAAGTAGACAAGGTGATGAGTCGATAACGGTCAAAGGCGTCTATTGTGGCGCTCGGGGCGAGTGTGGGAAATGTTTATTTTTTAGTATACAACCCCTATATCACTGTTAGGCGCGAATGGACGTTAGCAGACGGCGGCTGGTAAAGAGTGAGAAATCGGCAAGAGGATACAAGTACTTGGCGATGAGAGTTATCGGGTGTCAAGCTTTCAAAATTTCAAGGATGATAGCCTTGCGCTGCGTGGAATTTACTCGTAGGACTGATTGGATAGTACTGTACTGTGTGTGTAAGATCTACTCTAGCTGTAGAGGCGGATGGGCGATCAAATACGGGTATCTAGAGTACTTTGTGCTACTTGACCAACGTTCCATGAGCCTCTAGATCTACCGGTTCTATGTATTGTAGGCATATGCCACCAGTTGAACTGCACTAATTGAGTGCTAAATCTGCTTGCCTTCCACTCGGGCGTCAGCCCACCCAGCCAGTCGGGTATCCTGATAGCCTGGTATCCTTTCCTTACGCTGGCGAACTTACTCTCATGCACAGTTCGAGCCCATCCTCAGTACGAAAAATCCCAAGGCAACGGCCCCCGATACACATCCGTCGTCCCCCGCGCATAGTGGTCCGTCGCATCGGGAGTGGGACACCATTCAAGTAGCCCTCTCAGCTCAGGCGCAGAGCTGGCGTACGGATGAAACCGCGCGTGCGGATTGCGCGACAGGCGCTTATTGCGGAGATATCCGTGGCAGCCATACGTGTCCTCGCTATACGGCGTGTACCCGTTGCGGTGCTCGCCCTCTCGCGCGCCCGCGGCCTCTGCGTAGTCCTCGATCTCCACGCCGACGTACGAGAAGCGGGTTGAGGGCCAGCGCAGCGCGGCGGCGTGCAGGGATGCGAAGCGCTTGGCTTTCATTGCGTAGCCGACGACTGTTATGCGGCGCGGGAAGCGGCCGGTGGTTTCGCGGAAGCGGGCGATGCTGAAGAGGAGGTTCTGGAAGGAGTCGAGGGCGTAGTTTTCGGTTGTGGCGAGGAGGCGGGGCGTTGGGTGTTTACGGGTATCGTGAAGATGTGCGTGGGGTCGCGAGCGGATATCGACGTTGGAGAGGAGGGTGGGTTTGGAGAGGGGAGGTGGTGTTGTTGCGGGGGCGGATATGCGGTCGGCTATCGATGTGCTGGGCGTGGAGGAAGGTGGTGCGGAGGGGGAGAGAGCGTAGAATGAGTCGGCGAAAGGAGGGAGGAAGCCTGCTGCGAGTGCGAGGCGAAGGTATGATTCGCCCTCTGTTGTTGTAGAGTCTGCGTGTGTCTGACCGCTACGCAATGTAGGAACAAACGATCAGAGCCCAGCCTGTGCATGAACTCTCAGAGAACGCGATCACGTACCCGCTGAATATGAGCAATGCATTCGAATCTGCCATAGCAATCTCTGTGCTAATCAACATATGCATGAGCAAAACAAACCAGAACCTAAGTTTAAGAAGATCAGACTCACCCGCGCCTGATATGCTCGACGAAGGCCTTTGTCCGTCCCCCACCTTTCTGATAGTCCGCAAGCACCCAATGTTCCTCATCCCACACCTCGTCCATATTATCGCCAGTCCATATCGAGTGACCAGGCACGATCACGAGATGGTCAACCCCGCCCATGCCCTTTGTATCGTTCGGGCTCGCGTGCCACGGGACGGTATCGAGCGCTCTTGCAGGCGGAGAGAACGGGCCGTACGCAGCGTTGGAGGGCGCAAAGTAAAGCGCGAGATTGAACAGGAAAGAAAGTGAGGCAGCGAAGGTGAGCGCGAAGAGGCCGAGGTTGGTGATACGCGAACGCTGGCGGAGGTGGGTCCAAGTGAGAGGGCTAATGCCGAGGAGGTCGAGGATGCGACTTCGTGGTGCATTTGCCGTGGAGAACGACGAGAGCGGGGTGCCTTCATGAGGCTTTAGCTTTTCCTGCGAGTAGATGTAGTTGTATCCATAGCCCGTCGGTGCGCGGCGTCGTGAGCTCGAGCTGGACACCGGAGCAGGGAGCATTGGTGGCGACGTCGAGACACGGAGTCGAGTATATAAGATTAGCTACAAAAATGTAATGAACGTGCGTGAGAAGAAAAGCGGAGGCAGATTCCTAGCAGATCCGTGACACGCCAAAGCCGCATTGCCCTTGTCCTCTTCCCTAGCCCATCCTTTCTTCTCCTCGTCGTTCCTACCGACGTCAGCGATACAAAGGGACACAATTTCTGAGGGCAACATCCACGACGACAATGAAGCGCGTCCAGTCTAGCGGGAGAGCGCCCTCCCCAACGCCCACCGCCTTCTCGGGCATCTCAAACTATCGCACGGACTCCTACCGCCCCTCCCCCCGCGAAAAGACAAACAGCAGCCTCCCTCAGACGCCCTCCATCGACTCCCGCACCATCGCCCGCACCCACTTTGACGAACTCTCCAGCTACCTCGCATCCTACCTCGCACGCTGTACGTCTCCCTCTGATCCGATAGCGTTTCATTAATTGGCTCAACGTGTCTTGGACGTCTTCTTGGCTTCCGTGATTCTCTTATCCTATTGTAGCACCACCCGAGTCCCGCTCATCCGCAAGGCAGAAGCTCACAAGGCTCACAAAGCAGCAGTTCCAGGAGCTCTCGACGGACGTATACGACGAGCTTGTCCGCCGCAAGAAGAACTCCGCTCAGAATGAAGGTGCATTGCTACTGTTCTTCGCATGCTTTTCACACCCCTCACGCTATCTGTGTCATCGAACAGTCCCCTTCCTCCCCGTCCGTGACGACTTCCATCCCAAGCGCAACCAGGCGCGCCAGAAGCTCGCTACACTCCCATCCTCGCGCTTCGAGGATCTGTCTAGCGACGTGTACTATGAGCTCGCGAGGCGCTACCCAGAATTTAAAGAAGATGTATGTGCATCCATCTCACTCGTCTTATTCACTTCCGCGCACCACCTCTACCCTACTCACATCTTATCCCAACCCAGGCCGACCCATCCTACACCTCAGACGCCCCACCCACGATCTACTCCCCACGGTCGGACACCCAGGGCTCCCTACCACGCTCCGGCTCCATATCCGGTCGGCTCTCAACCGATAGAGACCGCGACAGGGGCGCGGACAGCGGGTACGGTGGCTCCGCCAACGAGAGTTCAAACTACGCACCGCGGCGCTCGGAGGACCACCCGCCTCAGCTTCCCCCGCTGAGCGGGATCCGCCGACCGTCGCAGGACATCGCGCCACCCAGAGGCTCACATGACACCCAGCGCAGCGTCGGAGGAGTGCCAGGCGGAGACTACGGCTACCAGCGGCGCCCAAGCGCAGCCACGAGCATCCACAGCGACTCGACGGGCGCGACGAACGCGCAGAGCGGGACGGCCACGAGCGCGATGATTATCCCGAACAAGTCGACGATCGCGGAGGAGGAAATTGAGGTCCCGTACGGCCGTCGGCGCGGCGCCGACCGCGAGTCGTTGGGGTTCCACGACGAGCGGGATGCGTCGCTCGAGCGGCCGGATACGGATGTGGATGAGGGGAGCGAGTTTAGACATGGGGACGCGGGCGAGCGGAGCGCGTCTCCGGTGATTGGGTTGAATGGGCTGAGTGCGAGGCTGAGGGGCACGGCAGATGCGGAGGACGAGGATCCCGGAGGAAGTCTGAGTCCTGGGAGGGTGATGAAGAGTCCCGACAACGGGGAGGACTATTATGACAAGATGTCGCTCGGCCGCACGTCTGTGACGTCGGATCGGTCTGCTGGCCTCGGTGGTCCACAGCGGAATATGGGGCGGGCGAGCGTTACAGGGGAAGAGGCGGACAGGCTGAGGCGGGAGTATGAGTATAAGATCGCGACGATGCAGGCTAGGATTCAGGGTCTCGAAAGGGAGGTGCAGAGTGGTGGGGGCGGGCAGAGGGCTAGGGAGGTCGAGGAGGAACTGGGACGGATGAAAGAGGTGTGTTCTCTGTCCTTTGCTTTTAGACCTTTTCATATCTTTTCGACACTGACGAATTGGATTGCTCTTGGATAAATAGAGAGCAGAAGAGCAGAGCGAGCGCATGCGCGCACTGCAGCGTGAGCTGGACGAGATGCGGGATCTCCGTGCGAGGGAGAAGGAGCGTGAAAGCCGGAGGTCGCGGGACGACGAAGACGAGCTGAGGATCCTGCGAGAGCAATGTGAGCGGCTGGAGGCGGAGCGGGCTAATGGTACTGGAGGCGGGGCTACGGTGCGTGTCGTCTCGCCCTTTACATTCACATTTCTCGATCGTGCTGACGCCGACGTTATCCGCAACTGCTCATACACAACCACAAAGACGGACCCAGATGTCATCGAACAGCTCCGGTCCGACATGGAGGGTCTGCTCTCTGAGCTCACAGATTTGTCGAGAAGGAACGACGAGCTCATGGCTGCGAAAGAGGCAGACGGCGCGCTCGTGCGCGAGCTCGACGCACAGCTCAAGGAGTACAAGCGCAAGTACGAACAGGCCAAGACCGAGCTACGGGCTGCCAAAGGTACGTCGCTTCCTCCCTCAAACGCCCCAAACTGACTGCTGACGCGGGCTTGTTTGTAAATAGCAACATCGCAGCTATACGTCTCCACGCCCAAACCGGACGGCACGCTCGACCAGCTTCCCGTCGCACCGAGCGGGGTGCTGGTGGACGTGCACGTCACTGCGTTCATCAGCGCGGTGGACTCCCTGCTCGCCGCGGGACGCTCGCACGCGCCCACGCGCGTGCTTGCGCCGACGAAGGCGGTTGTGACTGCCGTGAGCGCCATGACTGAGGACGTGCGCACGTTCTGCGCCTCCGCACCCGCTGCCTCATCAGGCATGGACCTCGAGCACCTCAGAGCGCTCAGGGAGCGCGCGGAGGCGACGCTGAGCAATCTCGTGGCGGCGAGCAAGACGCACGCGACGGGTGCGGGTATGAGCCCCGTGAGCTTGTTGGATGCGGCTGCGAGCCACGTGAGCGCGACGGTCGGGGAGATCGGGAAGCTCGTTGGGGTGAGGAGGGCGAGCCGGGCGGAGCAAGAGGAGTTTGCGGCATCTGCTAACGGGTTTTCGAGTTCGGCTTCGGGGATGTCGAGTCCGGGGCTCGAGGGGAGGATGGGCGCGATAGGGGCCGCGACGGGAGCGAGCGGGTCGTTCTCGCCGTCGCTTCGTTCGTTGGACGAGATTAGGAACGGGGCGTATGCGCATGATCGTAGCGGGAGTCGAGGGTCGACCGGTAGCGGGAATGGGTCAATGAGGAAGGAGGATATGGGGACGGTGTCTTGGGCGCCACAGCGGACGATGTCGACGGCGACTGTGCGGGGCAATGCTAATGGAGAGTACACGAGCAGTCCGCCGCCGGTGGTTGCGTCGCCGAGGGGTCTTCCTGGTGCGACGGCGGTGGGGAGTGGAGGGCAGGAGGATGAGGTGGCGCCGGAGGATGCGTGGACGGAACTGAAGGTGCGCTTCCCATTCTCTCTACTCTATTCAAGTCCACTGACGCTTTGTGTGCTACGCCTCGCCCCGCCAGCCCTACCTCGAAGCGCAAACTGAATCGATCGTCTACGCGATCCAAGCCGTTCTCTCGGGTGTGCGCTCGCCTGTCCCGCCCCCGTCGCTCAACGAGAACCTGACGCAGATCATCACGATCGTGTCGAGCATCGTCGCCGTGTGCAAGGACAACATCCCGCCGTCGTCTGCGGAAGCCGGCGACGCGATCTTGCGCGAGCTGGGCGACCACGCGAACAGGCTGAGCGAAGTGCAGAGCGCGGAGGTGAGCAAGGAGACGCGGCAGGTGATGGCGAAGAGCAGCTTTGCGGTCGCGAACGCGATGAAGGGGCTCATGAAGCTGTGATGCGACTGGCCCTGGCAGGCGATGACGGCGCGTACATATTTGCTTTGTTCCATGCCCTCCCGTACGCTACGTACTCGTTATAATTCTGTTTAGCAGGTGCCTTCTCCCTTGTTCATGTGATACCCCCCACCACTTTGTCGTTCCTCTATTCCTTTTTTTGCCTCCGATCTTGTGGCTGGTCTCTTCTCCCCTGCTCCGAGCGAGCGGGATGCCTTGAGTTATTTGCTACTGTATATGCTTCGCATTGTTATCGTTATGTGGTTCTGGAACTGGAATGTCGTTTGTTAATCGATTCTGCTGCTTTTCTGTTTATGCTAGCGCTAATCAATAACTTTTGAATGGCTACAGGGTCTTGTTTCATGTGGCCTTATATTCGTTTCGGTATTCTTCTTTACTGTATGTCGAGTCTCGAAGGAGCCCAGGCTGTCGCCGTGGCACGCGCTGGCTTGCTGATGGTATCTGGTTCAGCGCAAATGAAAATATGGCCAAGGTCCATCTCCGTCGGAGCCGACATAGATCAGCGTTAAAGTTCTTCAGAATATGGAAGGTAGCGAGGTCTACGGACCATTAGTGTTGGTATTGTATTGCTGGTGGTGATGATCTTGGTTGGTCCCGGATCGGATTGTATTAATGTCGCGAAACAGTTTGTGGCGTGCACTGGTCTGGGTTTTGGCATTTGTCTCCAGGAATGAATGGTTTGAATCTTTTGGCAGCTGGGCTGTAGTATGCAGGGCAGACCTGTGTTTACTTATCCCTGTGAGCTAGAGCATTCTAGCTTGTGGATCGACACTTACCTGGCTGGATGTACGTCCATCGTGACGCGTGAATGCGCTGGTGTGTGCGTTGAGGGATATTATTGGCGCAGTCAGGGGCTGGCGCGCGCTTTCGCGGTCACATGGCCGTGGGTTCCGGCGCTTTCAAGCGCTAGCGCGAGAACGGACGCGGTCGCCAACACGAGACGACAGGCACCATCTTCCGTCGTCACTACCACCACCACCTACCAATGCACTCAAGTGGGTCTCATCTCAGCAGCCCCTTCAGGAGAGAGCACTGTGAACTACAGAACGAGCACCCGAAAGTTCGCGTGTGCAGTGGGCGCAAATCAGAGCCTCTTCAAGTTCGCCAGCCCGAATCCGATGCACGATACTTTCCGACTGGGGTGAGCTGGCGGACGCTAGAACAGTGATGTTCACCTCGATCATCAGACTGGGACGGCTCCGTCGTGAGTGGATGTTTCTGTTCTAAATTTGCCCGCTGTATTCAGTGATCGCTCTTCTAGTACAGCCTGTCATGCATACTCTGGCCTTGGTTTGATGGGACACTCCATCACTTGCTGCTTTGAAGAGAAACGCTGCACTCTGGCGCATACAAATCTCTTGGCAGAGGTATCTTGGCCCCCGTTAAGTCAAGAGAAAAACTCAGACCTTCTGGATGTTTCTCTCGCACACCTGCAAAGAGCTGACGACGAACCAGGAACATGATCGACTACAACCACCGATGGCGGTCAATTCTGCAGCGTCTATTTTTGTCTCCTTCACCCGCACCTTCAGCTGCAGCCACGTCGCCGCCGCTCGCCGTGCACTGCTCTCGTCTCTTACTCGGAACTCTCACCCGCGGCTGACTGAAAGCTCATCATTTTTATCGTCTATTTTTATGCCGATTTGTCTTTTCGGCTTGTTAACTGCGATGAAACCCGCGCCCGGTGAGCTGGCAGCCTCTTTGTCCCCTTAGCCGCCCTATCGGACATACACTTTGGTTTTTTTGGTACCATGTGTGACGAGTACATCCTGTGTAAAGTCCCTCGGACTTCTGGTCGGCTCTTGATCTCGAGCAGAGCTGTGGCTCGAACGTGCCTTGCGACGGGGATCTTACAGGAAGTGACATCCGTGAGCTGGCTGAGCGAACGCGTATAAATACTGGGATATGTGCTCTGCTGCTCTTCAGTTTCATTTGAACGACCCTCGCCTTTCAACTCTCAAAACCATGATGCTCTCCTCCGCCTTCGCTGCCCTTGCTCTGTTCACTGCCGCCGCCAGCGCTGGCAAGCGTGGTCTGTGCTGGACATGGTGTAAGTCTTGATAGTGCACCTCGCTATTCATCAATGCTAATATCTTCTCATAGATGACTCGACTCTGTAAGTTCTGAACCTCTTTCCAAAAATCGCCCATCGTGGAGCAAACTTACCATGCCTACAGTGATGCCACCAAGTTCATCAACGACTCCGGCGAGGTCGTCGCCATGTGAGCATTTACGTTTTGTTCGGTTGACCCTCCATGCTGACCCTCTGTGTTTCTTGCCGCATAGCTACGACTACGAGACCTACGCGCCTCCCACCTCCAACGGCATCGGCAACCTTGGCTTCATCGGCATGCAGCGCTGCACGGACTGTACCTCCAGCCCCATTGCCGACCTCGCGTCGCGTCAGGCAGCGCAAGGCTGGGCAAGTGAGTGTCCTTATGGCTTTGCGATTCAGTACAGTGCTGATGAATGTCAAAGCGGTCTTCACTCTCAATGAGCCTGATACCAACGGCATCAGCGCGAGCGACGCCGCGTCTTGGTACATCCAGTACATCAACCCCCTGGTCAGCCTTTCTTTCGTTTCGATAGTCCGGAGAAACACTCTGACATGAGATACGTTCGTCGATATAGGCTATCAAGAAGGCGCTTCCTGCCGTGACATCCAGCACGACGTCCGGCCAAGGTCTCAGCTGGCTGGCAGAGATGGTCAGCGCGTGCGCTGGACAGTGCTACTACGACTACATCAACTTGCACTGGTACGGGTGAGTATTAACCTCTCATAAACGGTATCATAGCCACAGCTAACGACGTCTCCCAGAACCTCCTTCGCCGAGTTCCAGTCCTACGTCGAGTCTGCGCACAGCCAGTTCCCCGTACGTACCCTACCGCCTCGCAAAAACCCTCTGTAAGAAACGCACACTCACCGTCGCACCTTCCACTGTAGAGCCAATCGATCGTGATCACCGAGTTCGCGCTGCAGAACCCCTCCGGCGGCCAGTCGGACCAGGTCTCGTTCTTCCAGCAGGCGTTCTCCTTCCTCGACGGGCTCAGCTACGTCGAGCTCTACTTCCCCTTCGTCGCGACGTCGCCGTCGCTGCTCCAGGCGAACGACGCCGGCGCGGTCTCGTACGTCGGCACGGGCTCGTGCTTGTACAACGACGACGGGTCGCCGTCGGCTGTTGGAAACCTTATGTACTAAGTTAGCCTTGTGCAAGGCGAAGAATGGTTTTTTGAGGGATGGGTGTTAATTTTGATTTTGGGGTATGGACTTTGGGGCCGGGGTATTGTGTAATAGCTTATTGGGTCATTATTTCTAAATCATTGTATACAATGAAGATTATACATTGTGTGCATGCATGAGATCTTATTCGACGCTATCATCACGGATTGGATCACTCGTGTCTTCGATTGTATTTCTGTCCTTGGTGTTGGCAGCACAAGTTGGGTTTGGGTTAATGCCGAGTCATTGACTGGCAGCTTTCCTTTAGCTCATGAGCCAACGCGTAGCAATTAAGTAGTGACCAGATCTACATGAGATTGTAGGTTATGTTGACAAGGTTCGTGTTGACCATAGAGAACGGTTTTCTCACCCTCATTGGATGATATCGCAGCGACTGGTGACGATAGGAGAGAGCGAGCGCTGAATAGAAATCATGATGGATCGAACTATGAGAAGAAACCTCGATTATAGCTGAAGCACTTGCTCGTAGGCTTTGGCGAGCGCCCGCTCCGCCACGCGTCACGGTTTAACATTTGATTCCCACTAGCACTGATGTCATCAAGAGTTTTATATAGTTGGGCGTCAATCATTGTTGATCGTTCGCCGGAACTGCTGTGAGAAAAGGAAAACACAGCAACCAAGTGTCCTTGCCCCGAGGAATCACCAACGGTTGCATACAGCATTGTGCTCCATTGAGGTGCATAACAGCGCGCCACCTTGACTCCCTCGTCAATCCGCTTGACTTTTTACTCAGATGCCTCCAACTTCGCGGGAAATAGGGGTCCTCGTCGTCGTTGTTCTCAAAGCAGTACGTCAACCTGCGCTTCATTGCCTCTGGCGTTTGTTCTTTACCCGGCACAGAGAAACCTGGTGAACAAAAGGTACTTTGGAAAGCAAGACCCATACTGTGCCATCACGTTCAATGGCGACAAACGGCGCACCAAGGCGATAAAGCGCGGAGGCCAACATCCAGAGTGGGACGAGGAGCTCCGCTTCACCATCTTCGAGGAGGAGGGGGACGACCCGAGTTATACTGCACATGGCTCGGACACGCCACCCCCGCCTCCATCGAAAGGACCAGGTAACGATATGAAGATCAAGGGAGGGACGGAAATGAGGCTGTCGTGCTATTCGGATGAACTGCACAAGCATCCGAAGCTGGTTGGGGAGGCCCTGGTAGATCTGACGGAGGTCCTTACTAAAGGGGAGACAGATAGTACGTGGCGACGTTTCTACTGTATGTCTTTCACTCATCGATTTTGCCAGGATGTTTCCCTTTGTTGAAGAAAGAGAAGTATTCGGGAGAAGTCTACCTTGAGTTGACCTTTTTCGCTAATGTACGTCATTCCTGCTAACTCGTTCCTGTTTGTACTCTAGTAAGCGTTCCTTTTAGAAACTAGCGCCTCGAAAGAGGGTGGAAGGTAATACGCCAGGAACTCACGTCCGGTATGGGGCATATCCTCATGGAATGTATCCGTCGGTCACTTCCCCCGGAGAAAACACCTACTATTCCGTGGACGAGCCTGGCGAAAGTTCTTGTGCCCCTTTGATCAACCACAACGAAGTCAGTCCTTTACGGTTGCATCCGTCGTCCACAATTTGTAGCCATGCTGCCAGTAGCGTCTTAACTAGCCGGCTCGACCGTCGCACCGGGGGCATTGACGACTTTGGTGTTTTCGGCAGTTATCCAATGGCGAGTCTCCCAATCTTCCTTGTCCATGACAGCTCTCTTGCTTATCCTCTTGGGAAAATGTATAGCCGTCATCACACGTAAACACCGATTCGCAATGTCGAATCCCCGATCCTCATTACATTGAATCACTTCAATCCGCCGCTCGCTCAATCTTCCACGAAGACACAAGTTCGAAGTACCCATGTGAGTTGGTTAGGGTTGACACCTGGCCAAGGATGATTGTTTAGGCAGGATAGCTCTGTACGACTGCATTAGTGGTGTCGTTGGAATGAGCGGATTGGACTTTCTACATTTTGAGGATATCGCAAGAGGCCCGCAATATCAACTTACAGCATGGACGTCCAGTGTCATAGGTAAGTATATTAATACGCAGGGACATACGGGAGCTCTCATCACCCTTACGCGCACAGTTTCTGGAGAGAGGTGGGCTACTGCCACAGCTCACAAGCGAGAGACTGCCGAACATGAAGCTGCCCAGACGTTTCTGCAATTGGTCTACGAAGAAAGTACAGGGCTAAAGGAAAGGCTGAAACAATTGGCGACTCGGAACACGACGGATAGCCTGTCTGCTGATGGTACGGCTTCTTCATCGCAAACTATCAATGTAGTGCATCATCAACGGGAGGGGAAATCATTCGAGACAGGGAGGAAGCGGAACGAAAACATGGTCGCCAGTGGGTTTACACGTGTTGCTACCTATACTTTTTTGATATCCTTCTTTCGTAGCTGGCGTGGCACGTACACGGGCCTGGCAGCCCTCTATTGGAGCTTGCCGTGACAGTTCCGAGAAGGAGCTGCTAGAGCAGATTTCAGCGTATCTGTATCTAGACGTTGCTTCACGATATCTTCGATCAATTCCCATATATCCGGTTTGTTCAGAACGTTCAACGACCAAAGTGCCTAAACTGATAGAAAATAACAGGCGCTCGTTGCTGCTGCATTCTCTCACGCATCACTTTGCCTGACAGATCGACGGTGCGTTCACAGCCTTGCAAGTGCCCATATACTGATACAATAGAAAAACAGCGTCCTAGCTAGGCTCCAAAGAACACTTGACGAGACAATCCATCAAAACGAGGATAAGCCGCTTTCCTGGCTCATATGCCATAAAGATGTCGAGGCGAAGCTTCAGAGAATTGTCGGCACTAAAGTATGTGTCCTCTTCCGCTACACTCACTGATCTAAGCCCGTCGCCCATAGCCCGATAAGGACGGTTGCAAACATGTGCCCCTGTACAAGCTACCAGACCATCTAGTCACAATACGGGACAGCCAAGACGTCAGGTCTCTGGCGTGCTATTTTGCTTCTATTCTGGAGAATCACACCTTAGCACGAGAAATATATCATCAAAAAGGTCAGGACGTGCAAATATTGTTGGATCTGTTACAAACCGTAGGTCATTCTCCACATAGTCCCACTTCTGAACGTTGCTCCAGTTTTGATGTACGAAATAGACCATCACTCGCTCAAACGTAGGTTCCAACATTCAACGTATGTTGCGATATACAGTCATCAAACTCGCCGGAAAATCGGGCCGTTACCCTCAGTGCCTCAAATTGCACGGTGTTACATGGGAAACTGAACCATTTGGACGCGGAGGCTTTGGAGACATTGACTTAGGAAAAATGGAGACAAAGCCAAACGTAAAGCTCGCTATCAAGGTTATCCGAGTTTATCAGAAGTCGGACTTTGAGAAGCTGATGAAGGTGACTTTCACTCTCTTGCTTTTCGATTCCTACCTTATGCAGTATTGACCTATGTGAGAAATGACTTTTTCCAGTGAAGTAACCGTGTGGAGTCATCTTCGGCACCCCAATATCCTTCCGCTTATCGGCGTGGTTCAGCAAGAAAGAACTCTCTGCTTTGTCTCTCCGTATCTAAGCCACGGAAATATTCGCATGTATCTCGGGAACAATCCTGGTGCAAACCGGTCCTTCTTGGTAACGTGGCCTTCTAGCATTCCAACGTCTCGGAATTGTCTCACATATTCATCCTGATATTGATCTAGGCGGTGGATGTCGCACAAGCGTTGGATTTTCTTCATAGCTTAGAACCTCCCATCGTGCATACCGACATCAAAGGGGTTAGTGCTGTAGCATTTATGAATGCGCTATTTCAATGTACTAAGTGAGAAATAAACAATAGGACAACATTTTGGTCTCGGATGCTGAACGAGCATGTCTCATAGACTTTGGATTCTCAACCGCAAAAGACACCCTACAGGTGCATGTCACGAGTACAATGGAATCTGCACGTAGTACCCCGTGGACAGCGCCAGAGATTCTTAACGGTGATACCACTGGTCATCATTCGTACACTCTAAAAAGCGATATGTATGCTTTCGGCGGAGTTTGCTATGAGGTCAGAATAAATCGTTTCCTTACAAAACATTACATATTAACGCATCTTTCTCGGTGCTGCAGCTGTTCTGTGGTAAAATACCCTTCTTTGGATGTGCGGATGGCACTATCATATTCCGAATAATGACAGGGCAAAATCCTGATAGGATTAACACGCGGTATGTGGATGATGGTGTTTGGTCATTCATTGAGGAATGTTGGAATAAGGAGCCGACCGAAAGGCCAACAGCGCACCAGGCCGTAGAATTCTTCAACTTTCAGGCGTCAGACGCTGGGGAGATTGACATTCGGCCGGCGATGGAATGGGATTATTCAGCTTAGAATATAATCTCATAGACACAGGAATAATATCTGACTTGACCGCTTTTGCAGTCCATATCCCTCTCCTCATTTGGTTTAGACATCCCCAGTCACATAAGACCCAGCAACAGGAAGAATTTCAGTATACAGAGAATCGTATTCAACAGCCTGTTCTTTCATATCATGCGTAATCTACTACTCAATCCTGAGTAATGAGAGAGGGCGAGCGAAGCTTGAAAAAACGGTGGTTTGGTGCATTTTGAACTACATCTTCGAGCGCTCCGTAAGTTCTAGATGCATCACTCAATTGTGCTCCGACCTATCCATGCGTAGGGTAAATGGGCGTACCTGACATCAAGGCCTCTAAACATGCATCGCACATGTTATCGTCTTCCCGGCTTGGCACGAATGGTTTCTTGCACGAACTGCACTCCCGTTCAGGGAGCATGCTGTGCGCTTCGCGTTTATGATTTTCCAGCTGCGCTGGGCTTCCGGTAACAAACGCACTGCATTGGCTGCATAGATAGGTGCCGCGGCTTTTGGGGAGGTTTAGTCCGTTATCGCGCTGGGAAATATAAAAGATATTTGAGACTCACTCTACTTCGTTGTGAGCAATGGTCTCGCTGCGCTGCGAAGTGCTTATACTATTGCCATCCTCGGGCCACGGCTGGATTCGGCGATAAAAAAGAGTAGTGACTCGTACACGTATCCTTTGTCGATGCTCTCGGGATCCCGGCCATGTCTTGAACGTGTGTGCTCGCGTCACAGTATGCTTGATTGTCCTACCGCACTGTACTTGCAGCCGACGCATCTGTAAGGTTTCATCCCCAACCTTTCATGCGGCGGCGAGAGGTCAGAAAAACGTTCTGCCACAGATTTGGAGGGATAGCTCACGCTACCGCATTGTTGTGGGTCTCTAGGCTTCTTCCCGACGCGAAGTTGTATCCACGGTCTTCAAAAGTGCATAGGATGTGTTTATGGTCTGTTGAGTCCATCAAGAAGACACTTTATTGAGGATCTAGGAGAGGATAGAGGTAAGTACGCTGTTTGCTTGGCCGCAAGAGTTGCATAGGTGCTGTACCTTCGGGAGCTACAGCAAGTACAAAAGATAGCGGTGGTGTTTCCACGGACGAGCCACCACGTCCATTAATAGAAGCTGTGTCGAATACGATCATGGATATTTCGTACATATCGTCCTTTCCAGCACGTCGGGGACACATAGAAAAAAGACGTGTATGCTTGATTTCCGAGGGAACATATTCGATAATACGCTCGAGAGCACGTCGAATTGGATCCCAAAGCGTTATCTATAATTTTATTTTATTTGTTTTGTTGTGTACTTCGAAACGAGACTCTGTATATACATTGCCTTGTCTATGTAACAGTGAAACTGGTAGACTGAGATGAAACATCCAAGGGAACATGCAACATTAGGTAAAACAGTCATACACTATGGTGTATCAGCCTCACAGAATATACTTCGCAACAAAGATCCCGTGACAGAATGCGAGCAACCACATCAAGGTCATGTAAAAGACAGTGATTCTCTTCACGTCGCTGAAGTAGGAGCTGTCCAGATGAACAATTTCGCCTGTCGGAGGCGGCAAGAAAATCGCTTCCTCAACTCTAGTTCCCAGTCTTTGTAAAAGTCCTTGCGACGATGTCCGATTGTGCGTCGACCCTGCGGATGCACGGGATGCTGCGGAGGTCCCTTCTTCAAGTCTTTGTTCGGCGCTGGAATCTAGTGTGATTGACGTCTTCATGAGTGATGGTGTATGGTAGTTTGCTTTTAAGCGTGCAAAACTGATAGAATACGACTCCAATGGAAATTGAAGAGATGAGAAGTATTGGTGAGAGGATGTGCGGATATGAGGCTGAGAGATGCTCAGACTGAACGAAAGAGGACTGAACTGGGGCTAAGTCCAATGCAGAGCGGTTACGTCTCCGAGGGATATTTATATGGTTTTTGAGACCAGGTACGAGACGAAGGTAATTTCGACAGAGGGGATTGAAACAAGAACCAGGTACATGCGCATGTACGCGAGCAATCAGGGACAAAGCAAAACCGTGGGGAGAACAATAGAAAATCTAAGATAAACAAGCGAGACCTTGCTGTGGACGAGGGTCGATGATCCAACCGAGGCTATGAGATAAAGACAGTAAACCAGATATGGGAATTTATGCTCTACCTAGGGCTCGATGCGGAATGTTCGATGCGAGATAAAGCGACGAGGACAGCCCCAACGAGGGTCAAATGTGGCCAGGGCCGTGTCGAAGCGTGCGGCTCGAAGTGATCGAATAATGGCGCAAGGATGTCGCAAATTTAATAGTTCGATTGCAGCCATTTCCGATTTTGGTGCCTTGCAACCAGCCTGCAATTTAATTGAGGCGGAAATGCAGCGGAGGTCTCGCGGATTTTAGAGTATTTTTAGCAACTATGGTTGAGATTTTATTACGTCTAAGCTGCAAGCAGTTGCAACGCTCCTCAAAGTGGATTGCAATCGCCCGTGCCAGTTGCAATGTGCTCCCAGTCATATAAAATACTATTAAATCATTCTGACTGAACAGTAATTGTAGTTGATTGAGACCGGCTGCAGCCGGAAAATGAACTTTGCGACAGAGCCAGGGACGTGTCTAAGCGTGCGCTGAGCGCGACCCTTACAACCGTGATCAAAAGGTGCCCAGATTATACAGCCGTATTATTGTAGATCGTAAATTGGTAGAGGTAACTCGAGTCTGAGGTAGATTAGGAAGAAACTCATGTAGGTTCTCATGCAGGTTTGCATTCACGCGATTGTGAGCCCAGAACGTGCAGTGTGAAGTCAATGTGACAATGGTTAAAGAGTTAGAACTTAAAAGGAG